TGCAGGACCCACCTTTGGGAATCAAATTCTGCATGTTCTTGTGGATTGAGCGCCTCCCTCAGGAATATCTCGAGCTCCTGGATCAGCGGAAACCTCAGGCTGCGATTCTGCTGGCCCATTTCTGTATTCTGCTAGAAAGGAGTGCTTCGTCCTGTTGGTACATGGTGGGTGCCGCCGGACAGCTCGTGACAGATCTGTACAATACCTCGGGTGAGGAGTGGAGGGCGTGGATGACCTGGCCTCTTCAGCAGATCGTTCATCGCGAATGTCACGATGACAGGAGCACGCTGACATCGCCTCTCCACGAGGCCCTGCCTGCATCAGATTCCTTCCCTTCACGCTCGTGTTACGATGGGACTGAATAGGCAGGCTATGTGGGACCACAAACGTCCTTCGGCGGGAGTGCGGGATTGTAGAATGCGAAATGCGAAGTCCGAAGTGCGCGAATGGGTGGGTCCGAAATTCAGGGGATGAGAACCTTGGAGTGTACATGTGTAATAATGATACGCCTCATTTGATGAAATGACAGCTCTCTCCGCAAAACCAGCAGTGCTCGGGGCTGAGAGGCCCTTGGAAAGCCCACAAATCGACGCTTGCCATTGTTCTTCCGGGGGCTGACCGGTTCTTGCCAGCGAGGCAGGTGGACGACGGATGACTGTGTCGCTTGTCTTATCTCCGTCACAGTGCAAATGCGGACGCTTTTGCTTTCCATCATGGATTTGCGTGGCCGACTGCATAGGGTATGTACGAAGAGATCTGCGCGGGTTCGTAATCGCGGTTCTAGTTCAAATATAGTTCAATGGCTACTCCACCAGAGAACACCTGGCCAGGGTACCGATGTACTGATTCGGCTAGTCCATTTATTGTCCACTATGTTCGGCGTATCAACTCACCAGCTCCATTTCCCATTGGATTGCTGCATCCAAGATCAACTGTAACAGATACTAGCAGTTTGATCTTTGTAGCTGTTCCAGGCCACGTTCTCTCTCAGGCGGTGTCATCGTAGGCACAGTATCACTTCCCAGAAACGGGAATGGACCCTAGCAAAGGCGGAATGCAGCATCAGAGGGGGCACAGTGAGATTCATGGGAATGAGTGGGCGTTGCCCAAAGAATAGGGACGCCTTGTATCTCATAAAAGTGTCTTGTTACCAGGTTTCCTCGACTAGCTTCATCTTCGATCCTTTTCATGCCATACCCTAACAACGTCAAGCAGCGACCATTGCAACAGAGCTTCCCACGTTTGCTAGAGTCCACCATGGCTTATCCGACGATTGCAGAGCTCGTGGAGCGCAGCAAGTCCGTCGGTGTACATATTTCGAGGAACGGCACACTAACCCATGGTCCAGAGAGACTGCCAAAACTCACAAGCCGGTACTGTCTGGCAACGAGCGACGAGCCAGGGGCATCAAAATGAGCGCAATTCTCGTCCGTATGTCGTTGTCATTCAGCGTAGGAAGAAAAGACTAGAACTAACGAGCACGGGCAGTGGCATGCATCGACCCCCGGTCCACTCCAGAGCACATCTTCGACCTCAAGCCCGCAGGTAATGAATTCCCCAGGGTATATAGGCCCTGGGGGTTGATCCTTAACCATCCCAGGTGGGAAGGCTGACTGCGTCAAACAGAAGTCATCGTCCACCGAAGCGCGGCGGGGAACGTGCGCGGGGCGATCGAAGACATCATCGCCCTGGACGTGCTCGTCGGGCTCGAGGAGATCATGGTCATCCACCACACCGACTGCGGCGGTCTCCGGTACACGAACGAAAGCATGCGCAGGGAGATCATCTCGCGCATTGGGCCTGATCATGCCGACGTGATCAACGCGATGGACTTTCTGCCGATTGCCGAGTACGTTCCGATTGTTGTTGTTTTTCTCCGGCGGGTGCTTGATCTTTCTATGCTGACGCCTTGGCCCCGGAATAGCGTCGAGGAAAGCACGAGGGGCGATATCGCGTGGTTGAAACAGTCGCCCCTGGTGCGAAAGGAGCTCTCGGACAAGGCACAGGGCTATGTGTACGATGTATTCACGGGCGAACTGCGTCGTGTAGCCTGAACCACGAAGCGCGGGAACTGCAAGAATGAGGGTTGGCAATCGCAGCTGGAAGCAAGCTCTCCTACGAACAATGGTCAAGAGATGTTATAGGATACTCGACATCGTCCCAGAAAGACCGTCCGCCTAGTCAAATCATATACTTCGATCATCACGATAATGTGGCATTCAAATTCTTTATTCCTGGGTGTATATAATATTCTGCAATGGTCAAGCATGTCTGCAATTCTGTGAGCTTTCGCAAGAACGTAGGTTAAAATTGGCACAGCAAAAGAATTCTTTCTGGATTTGTCCCAGCAGATAAACGATAAATAAAGTAGCCGGATCACAGAGGAGTTAAAACTGATCAGCTCCTTATTCGAAGAAGAGGTCTCGTTCAAGGTCAAAGTTGAAAAGATACTCGACGTCGAGCGACGGATCGATCCAGATATTCGCGGCCGAATTCTCTTGGCCGTTTTGGTCCGAGATATCTTCTGCCTGGGGTAGCGCGTTGCATATGGTCTGAGCAGTGCCGGACTGCTTCATGATTTCGAGTGATCGGTTCTCGCGCACAGCTCTGATGGCCCCTTCGACGATCTTGGCGACCTCGCCCGCGGTGTAGTGAAGATTCTTGACCTCGCGCAAGACAACCAAACAGGCATCGAGTTGCTGCAGACTTCTCGCCCGGATCGCCTCGCTTGTCGACCGGGCATCCAGCAAATGGACACTGACTGCCGCGCATATCGTGGCAACTCCAAGAGCGGGAATCACACTCGTCATCCCGGCTTCGTGCAAGTCCTTGTGGATGCGAGTCATGTCATCCGCAGCTCTTCTCATCGCTCTGGCGTGGGCTTGATACCTGCAGAGCTCCTCATCCAGGTAAAGGTCCGGCGTCTCCTCCATGCATTTCGTCCATTTCTTGATGGGGACTTCAGGCTTATGCAGCATGATGGCGGCCATGAGGAAAGTCAGCTTGACCATGGACACGGTCAGAAGGGCGCGTTTCGAGTCGAAGTCGTCCGAGAACCGCCACAGGTCGAAGGGCGCTTGATGTTTCCAGTCTTGCAGCTCCGAATCCATCTGCCATACTCTGGAATCTTGAGCCCCCGGAGAAACACTCCGTCGATCGACGGTATGCAACAAGCGCAAAATCCGGTGGATGATGAGACAGAGCTTGGCCTTTTCAATGCAGGCTTCTTCGAGCATATGCTGTGAAGACGTCTCTCGGCCGCTGCTGCCGAAGTCTGCATGATCCAGCATGAGTTGATCAAGGGCCATTATGCGCGGCGGCTTTCCCATTGAGAGACAGACGTCGGATTCTTTCATCACCAGCGTCCACCAAAGACGTCTTTTCAACGGCGAATCGGCGTTGTTGGCTGTTTTCTGGAGAGCAATCGAATAGGCCTGGGTCAGAGCAATCCCCGTCCAATGCATTCCATCCTTGGGATCGTTGTTGCTCGACCAGCTAATGAACAACAGGGCCGCTTGACACATTGTCATACGGTCAGGTTCCACTTCCATATCAAGGAGTGCCTAGAACTCATTAGAAAACTCTCTCACGTTGCCGTGGTGGCCCACCTTTGCCTTGGAATAGAAACTATTTCTTGCGGCCGCTTTGCTCTCGTATCCATATCTCTTGATCTCATCGAGCTCCACGGCAGCGAGGCCAGCTCCAATCAAAGTGTGATAGAGCAGGAGCGATATTTTGCTTGGAGACTCCCCAGCAATGGCCGAAACCACGTCTGGAACATCAACGACGGGAAGAAGTGGATGAACGAACTCGGCGAACCGCTGAAGGATAATCCTTTCAAAATCTGGGTGGGGAAAGTCGAAGCATTTTTTTGCGCAGAGGTACTGCCAATCCTCAGCTTGGAGGGTTTCGGGAAAGGGCTTGATGAATGAGGGCAGGTCGATGTCTGTCGCTAGCTTTGCGAGGCACGAGAGTGCTGGGGCAGTGATCTCCGGATTGAGGTTCTGCCGAGGTGTATCGTGAAACGTGAACGCCGGGCTCGAAAGGATGTCGAAGGCACCGCGGTCATCGTGCTGGGTCGGCGCATCGACCTCTGGATTCGCGTGAAAATGTCGATGAGACGAGATGGAGGAGTCGGGCGTCGGAGGGGAGGGTTGGACGGTTTCGTGTCTTCTGCGCTTCCCATCAGTAGGCCAAACCCGTAGAACCCACAGTGAACGTACGGTGGACGCCTCTTTCGTCGTCCTAGCTCACATGTAACCCCATCAAGTCGGCAGTTTGTACAAGACGCTGGCTTCTGAGCCACGATATCGCAACGGACCTTGCGCCGACGGCACTCGAGGCATGCTTGCGAGGAACGTTTCTTTGGGGGTTTGTTTCTGATAAACCTATATTTCGACCCGGTCGGGGGTGAGAAGGTTTCGGCGTCTGGCTGTAACGTGGTCATGTTCGAGGGGAGCGAGTCTGGCCGCCGATGCTGCTGGCGAGAGGTCAATGGCTTTGAGGCAGTAAGTAAGGAGTCCCACAAGAGTCATGCTCCGTAGAAATGGTCACACGCTTCGAGTCGCGAACGATTCAAGTGTTGGAAGGTCTTATCGCAGTTGAACGAGCTCAAGCAGCGCCGCACCTGCAGGACCACGGCCGTCCGCAGACCAAATTCCTCCTGCAGGGTCTGCCGCCATCGCCGATGGGAACAACCACAGGATCTTGCGGACTCTTTCCCCCGCAATGTTGGGGGAGAGGTGGAGCTTCTCGTCTAATGCAGACGACCCCGCAATCTCGGCTCCTCGGTTAGCCAAAAACAGCTTAGCACAGGCCGTTCTTGACATTTCCACATTTTATCATCGCCGAGGCTGTAATGTTCGGTGCACGGCTCCCGCGACTGACAGCTAGCCTTGACCAAATGTGGTGAAAGTCCCGGTCCCTTGTCAGGGGGCTTTCGCCTCAGGTTTCATTGTGCGAGTGCTGTCGTCTGAAGGGGGCACTGTATCCAGTCCAAAATGTCCATCATAACACGAAAGAACTTCACCTCCACTTTCCACAATGACACATATCCAGTCTTGCAAGAACGACTGAAAAATGCGGACCTGGCGAACAGGGCAGTCTTCATCACAGGGTCGGGAACGGGCATTGGAGCGGCGACGGCGCTGTCTTTCGCGAGAGCGGGGGCAAAGGCCGTCTTTCTCTGTGGTCGTACGCTCTCGACTCTCGAGGAGACACAGCAACAAATCTTGAAGGAATGTCCAAATGTCATTGTGGAGAAGTTTGTCTTCGATGTCACCGAGGGCCTCGAACGAACGCGGCAGGTCTTCGCAGAGGCATGCAAGATAGCCGGCCGTCCGCTCGACATCCTCATGAACAACGCCGGCTATATCGCGTCAATGCCCACCACACCATCTCCGGGCAGCAACTGGGATTTCGATAGGTACTGGAAACATTTCGAGGTCAACGTGAAGGGGCCACTCGCTCTGGCTACCGCATTCCTCGAATATGCGTCTGAACAGCCAACGCTTCTGAATATCTCATCAGGTGCGGCTGTGATTGATTTCGTTGCTGGGCTGTCTGGTTACGGCGCAAGCAAAATGGCAGCTTTCAAGATGTTCAGCTACCTTTACCACGAGCAACCCAAGCGTGGCCTCAAGGTGTTTCATGTCCACCCAGGCGTCGTTGCTACTGCAATGGCGAAGGAGGGGAAGTCAATATGTGATGATACTGGTACGAGAAACCCTAGGGCATCCTCGGCTTGACTGACTTTGTCCAGCCGAACTCGCTGCAGACTTCCTCGTCTGGCTGAACGCCCCCGAAGCTGCGTTTCTCCAGAATCGATTATTATACGTGAACTGGGATGTCGAAGAGCTGCTGGCGAAGCGTGAGACCATTGTAGCGCAGGACCTGTTGACCCCTGGCTTGCGAGGGTGGGACTCGACGGCTATGTAACCTAATACTTAGAGCTGCCTACACCCATGACGCCAATATACTCGTCCTCCTTTGGTCTCCTCACAATTTCTCCGTCCTTCTTCTTGGTTTGGACACCACCAATACTTCCACTGGTCTTGAACCCCATGTAACCTTTGACTTTATCCGAGCACGTAGCCAGGACGTCATCCATGACGGACAACGAGTAGTTCTCTTGCTGTCTCATCCAAGGCCGTGTAAAGAACACGAGGATAACCGGTCGCTCGCTTCCGCTGTCTGCTGGCATCGTGTTCGCACCCGTCGCATGCCACAGTCTGCTTTCAAATACCATGCAAGTTCCTGCAGGGCCAGCCGCTGAAACAGTGTCAGCTGAATCGTATGGGTCATCCGGCGCCCAGTTCCCCTTGTGGCTCCCTGGCATGACCAAAGTTCCACCATTCTCTGGGGTGACATCTTCGAGGAAATACATCAGGTTCATCCCAACGGCAACGGATCTGATGGGTGGTTGAATTGTGATCTGGTCAGTATGCATGTGCATCGGCGTGTTGCCCGGCCGAGCAATATTCGCGGTGTAGGAGAACAAGATAGCGTCGTCTCCGAGGAAGTCAGGGACCATGTCTTGAATGGTCTTGTTGTTCTCCAGCAAATCGATAAACTCCTTGCCCTTGTTCGGCAAGCACCAGACCCGTTGATTAGGCTTCTTCTCGCCGCCGTCAAAGAATCCAATCCCAGCATCAGCCTCGCCTTTGGCTTGGTCCATGAGACGCTTCCTCAACACACGGACTTCCTCTGGAGACAGTGCATTCTTGACGAAACCATATCCCCAGACATCGAGATCTCGTTTAACCTGCTCGATGTCCTCGGTGGGCTTGGGCAAATCCCTCATATCCAGTCGGTCAAGCTTGGGATGAACGGCGTTGAACGGTGTCAGGGCATCGACAAGTTTGACTCCGACTCGGGTGGGACCAGTGAGCATGAAGATATGGCCCCAGTTGAGAGCGTAACGGGCGTCCATGAGGCCATCAACGAATCTCTTGATCATGACAGCCGTGATGTAGACCTGAGCGTCCAAATCTTCAGGTGTTTCGCCGGTAATGAAATCGAGGGTCGCAGGGCTCTCCCGCGCATCGATCAGCAACGGGGGGTGATTTGGTCCAAGAGTGAGTGATAGTTTGGCTGCAACGAGAGACATATTGTCCAACTTGGACTTGATCAGATTCACTGCTCGGTCATAGTCGGCCTTTGGCACATCTTTCGAAAACTTGGCAAGGTTGACATGCTTGTCAAGGTCGGCCACTTTCCCCTTGATCTTGAGCGAGACAGGCTCTGTCTGTGTGGCTGTTTGGGTCGCCATTGTGGATTGGTGAATATGACGGTTGGCGAAGAATCCAGGAGGCGAAGAGATGGGAGTAAGATGTTCTTTTATCTGACAGGGTGGGATGCAAGGGGAAATCAGCACCTCTCACAAGGCTCATTCAGCCTTTCGTCCTTCGTTTTTGGTCCGAAAACCCCCCCACTGCAAGAAAGTCCTTATCAGGTAAGCCTCGGGAGTTTCGTGTTCTGGATCTCTGCGTCCATTGGACATGGTTTGATTCCTGAATTTAGTCTCCGCATTGTTACTATTCAAGAACCGAGGACGTGCAAGTCTGGAAAGGAGGAGATGAAGCCCGCGATGTTGACGACGCTGCTGTTCTGCCATTAGTCACCAACAAAGAATTACACTTGGACAGTGATTGCAACAGTGGCAGTCTATCCGAAAATAATCGTAATGCTATACAGGGTATTGCTGTAATTAGGGCTGTTCAAGCCTGAGCTTCTGCCTTTGGGAACTGCCTACTGAGATAATTGTACGAGGTATTTCCCGTCCTTGCAATGTTGGCGTTATAACCCAAGCCCAACCATTCCTTCATTTCGTCACTTAGAGTCTCTTGTAGTTCACGAGGCAACTTCGCCGTCCAGTTGACTTGCTGTCGGAGGAAGGGTTTGGTGTAATATCCAAACATCAAAGCCCGGTCTTTATCTTTCGTGATGTTGGCACCGGATGTGTGCCAGACACGGCCGTCCATCAAGATAATACTACCTGCTTTCGCTTCGAATGGTCGGAGCAACTTGTCGGCATCTGAGGGAATGTCTTGCCTCGACTCGTATTTGTTCGATCCGGGGATATACAAGGTCGCACCGTTGTCGCCGTACACGTCGGTCAGGCACCAAATGACGTTCAATGCCCAAACCTCCTTCCACGGCTCGGGCACCACGATGCTCTGATCGCTGTGAAGTGCCATAGATTGACTGCCGGGTCGAGCAATATTCGCCGTAAAATTTGAGATCAAGAAGTTATCCCCCAGGACAGATTTGACCATATCGAGTGCCACTGGGTGGACGATGAGGTCTCGGAAGATCTGGTCCAGTTCAAGAAGATAGAAGACTCGAACGTTGGCCTCGTTGGGGTCCAGGCGAGGAATGTATGTCGCATCACCCCGATTTTCGCCCGCCTCTTTGGCTTTCCATAGTCTGTCGAGGGCATTCGCCGTCTCTTCTTTGCTCAGAATATCAGGGATGACCGCCCACCCCTCTTCGCGCAGATGCTCTCGCGCAGCCTTGTACAGCTCTTCACGAGACGATAGTCCACTGGCGTCACCCATGGTTCGGTAGAGGATCTATTCGATACTCTGATGCACGGAAGTGGCTGTCAGTCGTCTCGATTACAATTTAAGGGCCCAGACCCTAATAGTCTCCTCGGATAACTGGAAGGGGAGAGATGTGGAGATCCGCGGTGTCCATGCTTCGTATCTTCCATTATCCCAGGCAGGGAAGAATGCGGGGACTGCTCAGCTTTGGAGCTGCACCTCTCACGTCTAAGCTTTTCGAACGCGGATTCCAGATGTTGGTCTAGAACCACGTCCACAGGAAGCCAAATACGCGTACAATTTGGTACCCGGATACTCCAACTTGAAATGCTGGTATACAGAGACTCGCGCCCCGTGCTTACCTAGCGCCCCTCGAAGATCCTTTGACGGGGCCCTTTCAGTTGGCTCAACGTTAGACTGGGTGCTTACTGTTAATCTCTTCGTCCAATTTCCAGTTGATGGCGTGCGCTGAGTTGGAGATCTTCCGAGTGACCTTCCCACTTGTCTTGGGCTATAACTGTTGACCAAGGAAAGTTAAATTCTGTTTAGTTATGCGAAGATCAACAGGCAAACGAGAGGGCAGAGTCGGCTCTCATCACCGACATCTTGGTACTCATCAAAAGCAACTTTGCTGCATCCTCTGTACTGTTGATTGTTCTGCACTGCATGTATCGCCAGCACTTCCACACTCTTTAAAAATAGCCAGGCTCGTTGACCTCTTCTTGTACTCGCCGCTAGGCAGCATGGAGCGTATACAACGACTACACGAACCTTGATTTTACCCACTAGCCTACAGGACGTCGAGACTGGAGTTGAAGGATGGAGGTTGGAAATGTATTGTGGGGGGGTTGATGAGCCATTCACAAATGTGAGTGTCAAGAAAGATGAATCTCTCCATATAGAGGAGCTCGAAAGTCGAGACATAAAACGTGAGCACTGTGGTGTTAGTTGTGGTTTTGGAAACCTGTGTGACGCAGGTTGTAGGGATATATACTCGGGCTTTTCCCCAAGCTTTGAGGGCTTGCACAGGCGTCCAATACATATCCAGTAGGTGGCCGGGGCATTGAAGGGTTTTGAATGTCACCCCCAAGCCCCAGGCTCACAGGTTCCACGCCCGGGCTGATCCAGGCACATGCGGCCAATGTGCCGCAGGCCGCCAAAGGCCGTGGCTTAGAATCCCTGCTCATAGGCGGACTCACTCTTCCAAGTGGCAACCTGACTGGTTTACGAGGTGACAGCGAATCAAGGCTGAAAGGCGGCCACCACCTTGGCCGCGGATTCAACTCAACAGCAACGAGCAGATCGGGGCGCAGCCAGCAAAGGCTGGTCGTCTCTCGCGGCCACGGCCAGGCGGCTTCAAAAGTCGCACTGCTTCGCAAGAAATATGGTTCTGTTTCGCCTCCTCGGATTTTTGCCTATCATCCATTGCCAACCTACAATCCAACCCATCCACAATCCATCGACAGTCGTTGCCGCGGCAGGTTATTTGCTTTGCAACTTGTGAAAATGGCGCCAAACGATCAAGATCCAAGCAATCAGACATTCCCACGGACAAATACAGGTTTGTCATATACGTCGATCAAACGGTCGGCAACCAACTTCCTGCACCTCGAAAGGACACCGCCAAAGCCGAAGCCTGTTACGCAGAGTTTCCCTTGTTATCGATTGCCATGGGACACGTTGCGGACCTGGCTGGAGAGGCAGTTTCCAGGCCACACATTCGAACGACGGGTACGTGTCGTCCCTTTGCCAGCTGAACTCCCCACGCCAACGCCTTAGGATAGGTTAGTGACGACCACTTCATCTTCCAAACTCCCAGGGAATTGACAGATGTAAGTCGCTGTGTTGCCCACAGTGTCCTCGTGACCCAGCCTAACGAGAGCCTCAGGGAGAACGGGCCGCAATCTTGGACGAGAGGGACCAGTAGTACGATTCCTCGACAGGTGCGGAACTCGGCGCTTGGTGGCCAAGTCTGGGCCCTGCTGGCACCTCGTGGCAACCGCGGATTTGGTCCGACATGGCGCCCGTGATGCTCGGGCTGTGCCACCGGCATGGGCGTGGAACAGTCAATCTCAAGAGGCAGGCAGACTTGCAAACAGCACTGCCTGGTCTATATGTTTTCCAATATATCAGCATCCTCTTTGCAGTCGGTGATCTTTCTCTGCTCCTCGGCTTCCAAGATGCTTTTGTTTTTCTCGCTGTAATTGCTCCAGCCAAGAAAGCCGTGCCATTGAGACCTCCTTTCCCTCGCGAAGCCCTAAAAGAATGGTCATCAGCCTGACCCCTGAATTTGAGGCATCATGTGCAGACAACCAGAATTACCCAATAAATCTGGTGTACAAGAGCGCCTCTCTGTTCAAGCTCAGATCTTTCAAGACACAGCTGGATGAAGCTTCAACAAACCTCTTCTCGACGAGCGACCCCGGTGCAGATGTTAGATTTCTGGACTCGGCGCCACAACAGACACCTGGAACTCAGGCTGGACCTCGGAATCATGGTAAAATATCCGCCCACGCAATAGCTTAGGCAATCCTAATGGAGCGCAGACTTCCAAGAGTTTATTATCAATGGTGATGCGACACTCCGTGGCCACCTAGGCAATACAATTTCAAGAGATCCGCAGACTGGGACTCGGACGGGGCACCTGGCGACGAAGGAGGATCCAATATGTCGGTTCATGTGAGTTGTGTTCGCCTACCAGAGTCCTGCTCTGGAGCTGCTAACAGGGTTATACAGCTTCATATGGGCTGCCCATTCGAGAGCGAAGCTGAAGATAACCCGCCTGATGCTGGCACGGATATTGAGCTATTTCCAGGTCATGCAAGGCTATCTCCACTTCGTTTCGGTCTTTGGTCAACAGTCGCTGCCTTACAACACACGATTCAGTGGCTTTCGCTCAGAAACGGTGATTTCTGCCCCTGCTCCGGGGTGCGAGATGCCGGACTTGAAAAGGAGTGGGCGCCAGTACCAACTTTGCTACAATCTCAAGTCTGTGGCGTGCACTTCTCCCGTCACAGAGCCAACGAGGACGAAACAATGGTCTATTCGACAAGTCGCTCCTTACCATCGTTTTGATGTGGTGTTCGGGACGGCATTGTGGCTCATCACCAAAGGTGATCTTTTAATGGAAGAGTACATCAGGGATTTGGTCGGGCCGCAAGGACGTCTTCAGGACAGATCGTTTGGAAGCCCTTCTGAATGTTTCGTATCCAGCCTTGCAGTGCATCTACTGTTTGTCAGTTGGGCAGCGGAGGGGTGGACCGCATATCTTCGATGGCTCGAGGAAGTAGTTGATTCGGAGGTGAGCTGCTGGGGTTTCTCAGCTTCCCTTGCACATGCCGTGTGCAGAGTACTAACACGTTGAGCTTGCAGACCAAAATTGCCGTCATTGGGCCACGAGGCTTTGGGGACGGTCGGCGTGAGTATAAGCCGGAGGACCTACAGAGGGTTCAACAATTCGAGGAGAAAGCAAACGAAGCCACCATGGTCTTAGAAGGAAACATTGATGTACTTACATCGCTCCGTGGCTACTACGAAGAGCTCCTCCACCACCGGGACTTTGACCTGAAAGCTTCATGCGCTCAAGAGATTGGGACATTCGCGACCCAGGTCAATGATGCCGTCTATGAGACCAGGATGCATGTCTCGCGAGCCAAGCTCCTCTTGCGCATCATCTCAGACCGAAAATCACTGGTTCGCTCCTCCCGCTCACGTACTCACAAGTCCACCTACTGATTTGAACCGCCAGGTCCTTCAACATCTGCAGACCCAGGCTGCAGAGAAGATGGAAATCATGACCGTGTTGGCTCAAAAGGAAGCCATTGCGATGCGCGTCATCACCGTGGTCACGCTGATCTATCTTCCAGCAACATTTGTCTCGGTAAGTGACTGGCCTCGGAAAGGCATCAAACCGTGTGTTAACCATATGTGCAGACCTTTTTCAGCACCGACGTTGTGAAATACCAGAACCAGGACGATGCTTCAGGCGCAAGCTTTTCCGAACTGGCCATGCTGAGATGGATTCAAGTCACACTTCCACTGACCTTTGTGACCTTGATCGGAGGATGGTGCTTTTACAAGCGATCCCAGAGAAGGCAACACGAGCGTCTGCCTTTCTACGCACCCCTGGAGCTCAAGCAAACGTGAGGCAAACACAGACGCCCTTCTTACATGGTCTCAGCACCAAAATGAGGTTTTGGTCGGTGTAAATAGTTGGATGGAGAATCTAGATCTCATAACGTCGGCTGCTTTCCTCATGTTTCACAACTGCCACAATACGCTGCCGTCCCTGTGCATGCCAGTCACTCAGCCGCACCAGACAATGCAGCTGAGGCGATGCCCAACCACTCAATTGGCCCCATCCGCCCCCCCTCCCGTAGCCTCACCAGCGTTTTCTTGCCTAGGCGAAGCTTGCCCCCTTAGGCGAGGCTTGGCCAGAGGAGACAAGGGGTCACAACCAAAGATGTTGCTGGGTCGAGCTTTAGACTTTCAGGTGCTTGCATGGGTTGGTTACTAGGCTTGCCAACGAGAAGGTTCTCGCCACGGGTCGCCGGACAGGGTTCGAGGGCTGAGACCCCACTACCTCGCATGCCCTCCCCTCATGTATTGAACATGCGAAGGCTGCTCGAGGGGACTTTGTGTTCTTCTTCCCTTCCCTCATTCATTCCTACACGGCTGCGCTTCATCATCTGTCTGCAAACAGCTTCCATCATATGGCTGACTGGCGCACTCTGGTCACTTGAACGCGATTCTTATACCCTCATTTATACTTCGTCCCAGCCTCGGCGCCTTCGACCATTCCTCAGCCTGAGGCTGCGAATATACCGCAGCTTCACAATGGCGTCCCAGCTATCGCAGCCTCACGGCCCTCAAGCGCTGAACGACCTCCTATCCCATATCGATCGGTGCACAATACAAGGGCGCGGTGGTGGACAGTACGTTCGGGTGGATATGCTGAAGCAGTGGTGGGAGGGAGGACCTGCCGCCAGAGCCGGGCCTGGGAACCGTCACATTGATCACATTCTCGAATATGTGTACAGTCAAACCCCGGGGCCGAGCCTCCCGATCGGTCCAGACGAAATCTCGAGGGAGAGATATGGCTGCGTTATCGTCTTCAGCATTTTGCTCCACATTGGGGGAGTCGATGCCGGTAGATCCATCCACCAATACCAAAACCACCGCATCTTCGACGACCGCCTCCCCGTCAAGCTTTACGAACTGGAAGAATGCAAGCTTCCATATGCCGACCAGTTCAACCGGGCACAGTGGGCATTCTCTCCGCCATGCTTTGACCTATACACTCATCATATCTACCCGGCTGGGACCATTCTACCCATTTGCATGGACGAGCCAATCAACCCTGGAAAAGGTGGAACTGCCACCTTGTGGCAGATTGGAGTACAAGAAGAATTCGTCACGCCAAAGCTCAGAAAGAAGGTCGAGACCTGCAAGTTTGAACATCCTAAATTCGGTTCGGTAAGAAAGTGGCTACATCGACCTGGCTTGTTCAACGTTGACTAACACTCCACAAGTGCTACCAGTTTGCCCTGAAAAAGTACGGCGAGGGCCACGCGCAACTGTTCAAGAACGAAAAGGAAGCCTTCGGTGCGTTACGGGGCAAGGAAGGCATGATTCAATACCTCTGCGACTATGAACAAAAGGAGAACACGACCTCGCCCGACGGTGTCGTCAGATCAGTCGTAACGCACAACATTATACTGGAATACGCGGAGCTCGATTTGGACTGTTACTTCCAAGAAAAGCGGCCGCCCATTCTCGAGGGCGAAGTCGCCCACTTTTGGGAAGACATGTTTGATGTTGCAGGGGCCGTCGAGAAAATCCATGATCTCACCGTGACCCGCGGTGCCGTTGAGCATAAGTATTATGGGTAATATGCATTGCCACTGAGCCTGGAGATCGACTGACCGCGTCCTAGGTGGCATGCTGACATCAAGCCGGACAACATCCTGATTGTCCAGGAAAAATTCAAACTAGCCGATCCCGGCTTCGCCCGGTTTGAGAAACAAACTGATAAAGATCGGGTCACCATTGCTGGAGGCACAGAGACCTACAGTAAGGCCGTTTGCGTCGTGGATGCTGGAAATATTGGCGCCACCAGCTGACGTTTCGCAGGCGCACCCGAATGCTACAGAGCTGCTCAAAGATCCAGCCTTGGGCTCTCCCAAGTAATCTCCCAAGTAAAGCGGACTATTGATATTTGGTCTTTAGGTTGCGTCTTCTCGATCGCCGCGACTTGGGTCGTCCTAGGATATGACGGGATCCGCCAATTCAGAGCGTTTCGAGATACCGCGGTGCGGGAGGCCATGAAAAAGCAAAATCTTGACCCAAACGCAAGGGCAGAAGGGGTCAAGCTCACGAGAGGAGACTATTTTCATGATAGCAATGATGTCCTCCAAGCCATTGGCGACTGGCACCTGTTCTTGAGAAGATTCCTCAGAAATGGAGATACGCTCACCAGTCGAGTGCTTGACGTGGTGGACAAGCAAATGCTCAAGGGTGACCCGGATGATCGAATCCAAGCCAAGAACCTTTGTGGCATTTTGGACAAGCTCCTCAAGGAATACCGGGCCCAACAGCGACAACCCTTGCTTGGGAGCATCATGCAAGCTTTGCTTCGCGTCGATGAAGACGCTCCACTACGACCAGAACCATCTAAAGTCCTGTTGGAGGGAAACCTAAATGCCCCTAGGAAAAGACGTCCTAGCCAGCTAGAACCACCCAAGAAGACAACCCATCGTACAGAATTCTTGAGGTCGGCACTTCACGAGCAAGGGGTTGTCCTGGAACAGGATGCAGTCACCAAACGGATCTCTCAGGGCGGCGAATCATCGCATAACGACCGAGGCTTGCATATCCCGGACGGTCAGGGCCAAGGCTGGTCAGGGTATGGACGTGCGGACGACCTTAGTCAATTCACTTGGGCATCTGGTCAGCCGACGTTCCATCTCAACTATACCAAGACCGGATTGCCCTCAGGCCCGCCGAGGGCTACACGAAAGTCGCAAAATGTTTTCCAGGCCCGGTACGACATTCAGAATCAAAAGTCTCGGTGGGGATTCGGGTCAAAGAAGGACAACTTCCTAACAAAGTACTTCTCGAATCGAGATATTGTACGTGAAATCATCCCCCCTGATGCTCGCAGTGGCTTTGGAATTGACCGTGACAGGTGTTTCTCGTCGACAACGCGGGGTCGATGAATGACGAGTGGGGCGAGACGATCAATCTCCTGGAGATCCTCGTAATGAAACTGAAAGGACAGGACGAGAACGGCATGGATTTATACTTTGCCAACGGCAAACAAAATCTGCAAAATTGCAAAGACCCGGAGACGTTCAAGAAAAAGATGAGACAGGAAGGGGTGCTGCCGGTGCAGGGGGTGAACACCGAGCTCCATCTCTCGCTGGGGAAAATACTGCGCCGGTACCTAAAATACCTACAAGATGAAATGAAAAGGAAGGTCGCCTTGGAGGACGTCCGAACGATGACCGTCATCGTCCTGACGGACGGGAAATGGGACGGGGAAGCGGTCTTTGAACAGATCGTGGACTTTTGCAGGGACATGCAGAAATGCATGAAGGGAACTCTCTTGTCCATGGAAAACAGGCTGGAGAAACGGCGGGTGAGTATCGAATTCGTCCAACTCGGAAACGATGCAGATGCGACGGCAAGGCTGAGACGGCTGGACAATGATCTCCCCTATAAGGGTGCCGAGTAAGTGTCTTCCTCCTTTCGAGAACGACCTGGGCCTGTTATCTAACATGGCGGTCTCCTAGCGATATTGTTGACACCGAACCTTCGCGGGGGGACGTCAACAAAATGATCCTCGGAAGCTTTGTGGAAGAGTTCGATAGTCGTGACGACGATTTGTCTATGGTCGAGAACTTCCCGGGCCCTGGTCGTCCAGTATCAAGGATGACGATGGATACAACGCGGGCTACGAACCCTCCTGAGATGGCACCGTCTTTCATGTCCAATTGGAATTACCAGCACGCTCCTCAACTTCGAATCGACCGAACAGACACTCACCAGACTCAGCGGACAGCGCCGGGATTACCCAATTTCTCACATTTCAGGCGATGAGTTTCTTGTCCTTACAGGAGCTTTTGCCAGGGTTTATTATGTCTTTTGGCAACGGATGTCTTTCTTCTTTGGATACGTGCATGAGATTAATTGATACCCCAAGGCATGGGAAGTTGGAGGCGCAGAGTTTGTTTGGGACCGCGGAAATCTGTCGTGACGGGTGAAAACACCGACTGAATTCAAATGGTGCAAATGGTACGCACGAATGGTAACCAAAAGCTGGGATGGGCATTATGGTTCAAAGGTTCAGGTGCGGCTTTGACTTAGGTTTTGATACATGTTACGATATGACGAACGGTAATGAGGCGAATGAGGAGGAGTAAGATGGATGCATTGGATGTAGGACTTCGACTCCAGAGGAACGATGATAATCACTACAAGACCGCTATAATCCTCTTTGACAGAATCTCTCTTTACTTGATATCCTGGACAACCTTCCTCCTCGCCCACCGACTGATAACCCATCTCTAAAAGGCACGAACCTCGTCGACTGCATGTCTACCGCACACCCAGCCCTCTTCGATGAGAACCACATCGACGCACTCGGTGACTGGCCCCTGCAATTCCTCGCAAGAGAGGACGACTTTACATTCACGCCGCAAATCAAGGAACACACCCTCAGTCCATCGCGATCCTCATTTCGGCGACAGCATTGACGACTTTCAACCCGAATGATGGCATTCTGCCGATGTCAGGGATATGGATGGCATATGTATCAGATAGGATAACGACTACAGGACTACATCCATCCAAAATCAACTAATATCACCGTCACAGCTTGGAGATGGCGGGCACCTTTGCATTGGACGGCACCTTGCGCAGTTTGAGACGAACGAAACACTGTTCTCAACTCCTCAGGAAGTTTGACCTTGAGCTTGTCTATCCTGGACGGCCTATAAGTCCCATCTGACGTTCTTCATAGCCCAGAGCGGCCTGGGAGTCCTTGTTTTGCGGGAAAAATAAACCGCCTGTTTTGTGGTCTAAGCTACATGGCCAGAGGATAATTTTGGCTTTGTATACGAGTAAGTAACCTTGTTAGCATCAGCCAATAGACCCCCTGGCAGATCGTAGTTCGAAACTCTCCTGTTCAAGGCCAGACTTCCCGTCGCGTGTCGCAGCAACCGTTCCGCATCCTTTGGGATAGCCGACCATCCTCGGTTCTCTCCGCATTCCCAACACGGACCTCCGAAGCATTAAAAAGTGGATGATGACTTTCCTGACGGACCAGCTATGGGATCATCTGAGTTGTGTGAAGATATCGCGACTTCCTTCAATCCAGCCTCGTCCACGAAAAAAAAGATGGGTTCCCTGGGTGTCGACTACACCCGCTACCAGGACATTCCCGAAACCAAGGCCGAGCTCGACTGGGCGGACCTCATCACCATCGACCTCTCACGATTCGACGAGCCTGGCGGCAAGCAGGCCCTGGCAGCCCAGCTCAAGCACGCCATCTCGACGGTGGGGTTCTTCTACGTGACCAACTTCGGCCTCTCGGAGGAGGAGGTGAACGAGCAGTTCGGACTGGCCAAGGCCATCTTCGACCTCCCCGAGGAAGAAAAGCAGAAGTGCCGCGTGGGCACGGACGGCCTGGGCTTCTTTGGATGGAAGCCCCGGGGCAGCCGGAAGCAGCAGCACGGGCTGGTCGACAACCTCGAGCTGTACGACGACCCGAAGTGGTGCGACGCCTACACGCACTTGCCGCGCCCGGCGCCGCTGGTCCAGGCGGCCGCCCAGGCGGAGAAGTTCCAGCGGCACATGGCGTCGCACGTGCTCCGGCGCCTGCTGGTGCTGTGTGCGATCGTCATGGAGCTGGAGGACGAAGAGGCGCTGTGGAAGCTGCACAACTACGAGGCCCGGTCGCAATGCCACCTGCGGTACATGCTGTACCACCCGCGGACGGGCGAGGAGCTGGCGACCATGCGGCGGCACGGCGTCGAGCACAACGTCTACGGCCACACGGACTTCGGCTCGCTGACGCTGCTGATGCGCCAGCCCGTCGCCGCCCTGCAGGTCCGGCCGTACGGCGAGACCGAGTGGAAGTGGGTGCGGCCGCTGCGCGGCAGCATCACCGTCAACGTCGCCGACACCCTCTCGTTCCTGACCGGCGGCTACCTGGAGAGCTCGATCCACCGGGTCGTGCTGCCGCCTGCGGACCAGCGCGACGTCCCGCGCTACGGCGTCATTTACTTCGCCAACCCGGACGACGACACCCTGCTGGAACCGGTCCGGAGTCCGCTGCTGGACAGGGAGAAGGTTGAGGGCAACAACAACCGGGCGATGCCGCCGAAGGGCGTCCGCGCCGAGGAGTGGGTCAAGATCCGGTTTGCGAGCATCGACGCCAACTACGCGAACAACAAGGATAACAAGGTCGTCGTGCAGAATGTCGAGGTGCCCAGTTACGCGTGAGACGACGGAGTTGTGGAGTTGGCGATCGGAGTGCTACCGTCAAATCAATCGCCTACGAGCAATCGCAGCCCAAATTCTTTGCACGTTCATCGACGAGGACACTGAGAACTGACTTGGACATAGGGACGGCGTGCCCATCGGTACAGTTGGTGTAGGATCTACTTTGTCGACCGGTGGCGGGGTGTTCTACCCGGTCAAGTAGTCTATGTATATCGGCTCAAGTCCAATCGAAAGAGAGACTGACCTGTAAAAACAAAAAATCAACAGCAATAGGAGTGACGAGGAGAGTCCCTAACCCTAAGTTCCTAAGGGTAGAAATCGCCATTCAGGGAAAAAGAGTCGTGACCGTGAAGAAGAGAGTGTCTTGGTTTGGAAGCGAGGATCTAATAGGTGGTATAAACGCGTGGGCACAGTCGACGGGATCTTCTCCTACTCATGATGTACCAAAAAGAAATGCACGAGGCAAAGAGCGCAACAGAATGAAACCTAGGTGTTATAACCGACGAAACGCTATTGTAGCCAGATTCCAGCTAGCTCGTTCCTCATTAATGTGCCTGACAATATCTTTGGTGCTGTTCCTCCCCGCCTGATATTCCCTCATTGAGTCCCTCCATGGATGGCGGCCGTCACGTTGCTAACACCCATGATCCATTCCTCATGACCAATCCATGCTGGCATCCAAATCAACCTCCAGCAGAATCTGCTAGAATGAAGTCACAACCAGACTGAGGCAGCGATTCAAGCGAGCTGGTCGACTCTCGAGACTTCGACATCGCGGGCACCGTCCTTGCCCACAATCTCTCGCCGTCTCACCATAACTTTCATCGTACTTGCTTTCCTCGGATTCTTCGCTTCGAACACCTCATCCAATTCCTCAAGAGTCCTCCCTTTGGTTTCCACAAAGAAGAAGTAGATGAACAGGAACTCAAAGCAATCCCAAAACACGAAGAAGACATAAAACCAGTACTTGATGTTCTTCAAGGCGACCGGGGCGGCGAAGGTGTTGACAAATGAAGCGAGGCCAGCCGTGAATTGGAAGAGCCACATGCCTTTGGCTCGCATTTCGTTCGACATGACTTCAGCAGGGTATATGGGCTGCATGCTGGTGTAGGCGAAGGCGAAGACCACACCGAAGATGTAGATAAAGGCGATGCTCGCATCGGATGAGCTTTTAGATCCGGTATTGACGTATCCCGCTGCAGTGCCTGCGGTGATGGATAAGCAGATGATCATGCCAAAGGTGGAGCCCAGCATCATTTTACGCCGTCCAAAGACATCGTGGAATCGAGCTCCAGCAGCGGCGGCAATCCAGCCAGTCAAGGCATACACTGCGTTGAGCAAGAGCACTGTGTTCGTGTCCGTGACCCCGACGTTGGTAAGCAGCAAGGGCAGATAGTAAGATATCACACTGTCATGGTCAGCAGGTTGTCACAAGAGTGGGAACCGATACCCACTTGTTTCCAGAGAACTGGCCAAACCAACTCCAGGCCAGATTCAGCATGCTTCGATATCGCCTCGAGCGAGACTTGACGAGAATACGAAGATCAAAGAAGTTGCTCCACGAAGCCAATGGGACATCGCGTAAGTTGTGTTGAATTTCGTTGAGTTCGAGGTTGACGATTGGATGTGAACTATCGCCATTTGCATGGTATTTCACAACGAAATCGCGGGCTTCTTCGAGACGATCGGTGGCGACCAAGAAACGAGGAGATTCTGGAAGAAACCAGACTGTGAGACAAACAATGCCCGGGCAGAGTAGCTGAAGCCATAGGGGCAGCCGCCAGTCTAGGTTTGAAGTAAAATGGAGATGCGTCCCGTAGACGGCTGAAATAATGTTAGTGATCCTGGTCGGCCTTCGCGCGGAACAGCTTACCAAAGGTGGCGATGATTGAACCCATATACCAAAGGGTGTTATAGAGCCCGGATACAGTACCACGGTACTGGTTCATAGGATTAATGGCTTATCCTGTATGAAGGAGGTCATCCTTACCAGAGGTGGTGCGATCTCGACGACGTACATTGGTGCGGCAGTTGTAGCCCAGGTGCAGAAGAACGACAGCAGGAAGCGCCCACCAATGAATATAGCCACTGAGAATGTCAGCCCCAGCCTGTACACTGTGAGGCAAGTTGACCTACACGTCTTAGCTGTGGCAGTGACGATCGTCCCGACAATCACGCCTGCACAGCCGAGAAATATTGGCAGCTTTCTTCCTTTCCAGTCTGCCAACCAAACAAACAGAGCGCCTGTCATTTGTCCGACCTGGAAGATGGCAAAGACGATCCCCGTCCCCGCCTGTTCATTCTCGGAAACGTCGTAGTAGTGGAGATAGTTGGGTAAAGCATTTATACTGCCCATGAGGGAGCCATCGTAACCTTTCATCGGGTTAGACTGTTGCACTCCAAATTCTAATACTGGCACTAACCGTTCATGGTCGAACAAAGATACACGACAAGACAGCAGCCGTAAAGGGCAATATGCCCCCGTCCCCATGGGTTAGGGGCATTCTGACCCAGGGCAGCAGCAAAGGCCGCATTGGCAGCGCTGATTTCCTCGTCTGTGGCGGTAACCTTGGAGTCTTCTAGCTGATGGACTGTTTCCTTTTCCTGAACCATTTGGTCAGCTTCCAGCGGGCAGAATAGGAGAGGGGTATGCTCACATTGAGTGTTGCCATGATGAATTGAGCAGGAGAGATTTGATAGTATTAGGCCTCACTCTGGGAGCCAGGACGATCTGCCAATTTATATGCTTCCCGACCGGAGACCAGGACTATCGACAGCACGGGCATACAGTGGGTGGAGATCAATTACCGCATTGGACACGGAGTATGCACTCCTCCGCCCCATAATAGGGAAAGCGTAGCCTGATCCCCGACCATTTTGTGAGGGGAAAGTCACCTTACCCCATGGGCAGGTGTTGATCTTTGGGTGTACGCGATGGGTATGACGTTCGCTTAATCGTCTCTGGAGTGATGAAGAACTTTGAGGTTGCATGAGAAGTGGATATGGTCGGCCCGTGGTCCTCCTCTTCATTTGTCGAGACTGAATGGCTTTGCTGCACGTCGGTCGTGGCTGGGGTGCGAAATGAACAAGGACAGTTAGTCGTACACGATGGCGAAGGACCGCTGATTCCGTGAAATAGAAGCTTACTGACGCTAGGGTTGCGGCCCTTGGATGGGCTGATATCGTTCGTGGCGCGAAGCTCTCTGGCGTCCATTCCAAACTGATATAACAGCGATATTCAGTTATTTGCGTGACAAGCTTGGGCCTAGCGGCTAGTTCTCTCACTTCAGAAACTTGAAATTGAAATCTTTGGTCTTCTACCCATGCGCATGCGGCAAAAAGGCTATACGGGTGCTTGCGTGTACGCTGTGACCTGCCTTTCTCCTCGCCTGTCACAAAGCCAGGTAGGCTGAGAAGTCATATGCAGACTTTGCCGTCAATGTGCGATTTGCAATAGTCTGAAAGCCTGTATAGTCTGGGCCATCAAGCTGCACCTGTTCAGAGTCAGCCAACCTGGATGATATCTGTTCGATGTTGCGCTAACCTCAAACACAGCGTTGCTGCGATCAGAACCACAGTAGCAGCTTTTGATCGGTCCCGGAACGAGCTCCCAATATACCCAGCTGAGGCCAAGCTCTATAAACTTCTCGAAATTCCAGGCAAGGTTGTTTGCTCGCGCAGAGGCGACGACCCCCCATTCTTCTACAAACAGCTTTTTGGTGTGTTGAGCAGCGAGAGCGGTCGCGTTCGGCACCCACTGAGTCCAATCGCCATCGTATCCGTGTAATGCGATCCAATCGATTTCTGGACAGGTAAACAGCCATGGTCTCCAGTTCCAGTCCTGGTAGATATTTCCGCTGCCACCAGCACCTCCAGTGGACACAGCAATGGGAGCGGTGCCAATGTACTTTTTGAACTGCTTTGCGCGATCACAGAACCATGTTGGGCCAACACTGTCAAGCTGAGTGATGGCCTGGATCATGGGTTCGTTTTCAATATCGAATGCAGCTATTGCTTCTGTCAGCTGCGCCCAGGGCTTTCTAAAATTTGGTGACTGATAGTTCATGATGTGACCAATTCTGTTGTCAAAGGCGGCAACTGCTGCGGGATTTGTGTAGAACGAGTTTCCCAGAGTAATTGGTGTTCCAGAGGCAGGGCCAAACCCCCCAAATTCAGTACAATAGGCGTCACAGGAGTTCTGCCCGAATGCGTTGCCATCATGGATGGAAATGATGAATTTGATACCACGACGATGGCCTTCCATGAGGAGATCATCAATGGCATCAAGAACGGTGTCGTTGTAAACGCCCACAGTCTCTTCGAGGTTGGGAATGGTCACCGTGATATTCGTGCCCTTGTAAGTTCCTGGCGATATACCATTAATCCAGATCCTGATGATTCGTGCTCCATCCCGCTGCAGGCCATCGAGCCAAGCGGTGCGGGTCGCTTCGTCGAGCCCTGAATCAATGAGTGACAGCTAGTGCCTTCATTTGACTTTACTGACCATGGGCATAATAGCTTGAAGTCCCCCAAAACATGTCGTAGCTGCTATTCGATTGACCTACATGAGCTGTGCAGAAAGCGAACAACGAGCCCAAAGCGAGCAAGCCCAGAGATATGAAGCTGATCATGATGAAGTCGTCCTGGCAGGTTTTCTTCAACGTCGAGCGACTATGAAAGGACGAATGCGAGTCCCACAGGGTTACCTTCGGTTTAAATTGTTGCAATGCGATCCCCCTTCGGTGATCATCCTCATTTCTTGCTCCTTGTGATCACCCTCGTTGTTCGTTCCCAGGTGACCCTGGGTCGCGGGCTGTGATACCTCTGACCTCGGGTGACAGGGCCCACAATCACCTGCACCATCCCGTCGATGCCAGGAAAGGCTTGAATCAACGAGGGTGTGAGTCAGCGAGGCATCCATGCTTGAAGCTTGAGCTGTGAGGGTGCGTCATTCCATAGCATGCGATGTCAAATTGAGGTTCTGGAGAGAGGACGTCTTTGGTACCAACAAGCACCAGTCTGAAAAGGAAGCGGACCAGAAGGCTCCGCTCCAGAAGAGGCAATCGGACACAGGCAATCATTAGCAATTGGGACAATGGTTGAGTCGGATGTCGGCAATGGGTGCGACGGGCAGCAGATTTTGTGGTGGCAGAAACTGCGCTTCTCCGCATATTGAAGGATGCGCTTGATGACTGCTATGACGCACCGTTGTACGTTCGCGCATTAACCCACCCAAATGTATTTATTCGTCGACAAGGAATCCACGAGATTCCGAAGCATATTGAATCAACATTCAGAAATTGCTTGCCCTGTGAGCCGGATCGCTCAAGTCCCACACCCCTGGCTAGAACATGGGTACAAGCGAGCAGCTTCTACACCTGAAAAGCCACGAAAATGGAGCGAGCTGTGGTTTGGATCCTGACACAATCCTACCCTCCACTGTTGCCCACCGAAACACCTCCTCCTCTGTGACTAGAGCAAAGCAGTATGTTGAGCGAGATGTTTACATTCACCTCGGAGCCTATCATCACATTGCGGGTTTGGAGACATCAAGCAACGAGGGTGCGGCCAGAAAATTACCCGGGGACGGCCGGCAACCCCCATCCCCTTCGGGCACAATTGATCGCGAAAGAAAGGTTCCAGAACGTATCAAAACATTCTTCGGGTCAGGAACAGGCACGCTATGTTTGGCGGAGAGTCAGAACCGAATCAAATCACGATTGAAGCATGCTGCTCCGTGAGCTACACTACGATCTTGTCTCCGCCTCCTCCAGTCGGTTGATCTCAGACCCTCACTCCAAATACTTTGTCAGAGGTGTAAACAGCCGTCAACAAGTGCCAGCCAGTCTTGATATCTCTCCTGGCAAAACAGCTGCTTGGAACAACATTGCGTCAACTCCTAATCATATCCGATGGAAGCGTGGAATGATCCTGTTCGCGTAAACTCAACACCGAAAATCAGATTCATGCTTCCGCCGGCTGCACACATTTCAAGCAGCAATTCGAATTCACCGCACAACCCCATGGGGGCGGACCCGGGGTTTCTCGTTCCACCGCCTCCAGTCCTGACTTATAAAAACCATTGATACGCCTTCGCCAAGGCATTTTCCATCCCTCTATACTCTCCCCTGGCAAATCCGTATCTGAGTGGGCAAACTGCACAATTATTCAATTCAGCATGCATTCTAAGGCCGTTGAGACGTCCTTGGGCGTGGAGAAGGCTCATGATGAGCTGATTGATGACGAGGTCGCCCTAGAGAAGCTCTCGGCTTCAAAGACGTATGATTACTCTGGAGCAGCAAGCAAGACCGATCCTGCGGAGATTGCCCTTGTACGAAAGCTCGACTGCCGAATCATGCCTATGATCTGGGCGATGTATTTCTTGAACTATGTGAGTGAGATCCAGTGCAATGAGAACTTAGCTAACTATATGCGAAGCTGGACAAGAACGCAATTGCGTCAGCCCGCCTCAATGGGTTGGAAGACGATATCGGCCTTACAGGCTCCCAATATAACACCTGCATTTCGATTCTCTTTGTTGGGTAAAATGGAATTATTTGAGCTTCGATGGTCAATGTCCGCTGACTGAACCACAGATACCTGTTGATGCAGCTGCCATCAAACATGCTCATGGCATCCAAAAAGATTCGACCGTCGATTTACATGGGCTGCTGCATGGCTCTATGGGCCGTATGCTCAGCATGTACTGCCTTGGTCCAGAATTACCGCGGGCTCGTCATTGCTCGCTTCTTCCTGGGAGTCGCTGAAGCCCCTTGTGAGTGCTCATCAAGTATACGACGAGGAAGTGTTGCTGATCTTTACAGTCTACCCGGGTGCTCTGTTCCTCCTGTCGATCTTCTACACGAGAAAAGAGATTGCTACACGTATTGCAATTTTGTATTCGGCGAATATTCTCTCCACAGCATTCTCTGGGTTGATTGCGGCTGCCATATTTTCTACAATTGACGGAGCGCACGGAATCGAAGGCTGGAGATGGTGAGAGACTCGATAGAATCTTTCTGACACTCGCTAACTTGTGGATGAGGCTATTTATTATCGAAGGAGTCGTCACGTTCGGCATTGCGCTACTGTCTATGTGGGCGTTGCCAGACCATCCCTCGTCGACACGCTGGCTTTCCGAAGGTGAGATGGCAATAGCCCAAGAGAGGATTGCTCGGGATACTGTCGAGAGAACGGAATCTCAAAGTGCTCTCCAGAACTTGAAAATCGCATTTTCTGACCCGCGCCTCTATCTTCTGGGGTTGATGCAAAATCTCCATCTCTCTTCCGCCGGATTCAACAACTTCTTCCCCACGGTGGTTGGTACCCTCGGATTCGACCGCACAGTCACTTTAGTCCTGACATGTCCGCCATTTGTGTTTGCAGCGATTTTTGGGCCCCTCCTTGCGCTCAGCTCTGGAAGATTCAATGAGCGGACGTGGCACATCACCGCTGGAATGGCTATAGGGGTGTCCGGCTTTGCCATAGCAGCGGCGACTCTTAACACGGCTGCTCGATATGTAGCGTGTTTCCTGTTCTCGGCCGGTGTCTATTCCGTCAACTCATGCATCCTCGGATGGGTGTCTGCGACACTCGGACAAACAGCAGAAAAGAAAGCGATTTCCCTGGGGTTCGTCAACATCGTGGCCAATGCATCCTATATTTACACTCCATATCTGTATCCAAGTTCAGACGGTCCACGATACCTACCTGCCATGGGAGCCAATGCTGGCTTCGCAACTGGAACAGTCATTTGTGCATGGGGATTGAAGATCTGGTTGATGGCGGAAAACAAGAAATTGAAAGCCAGCGCCGGGGATGGTGGACTTGCATATGCTTACTGAACCCCATGTCGTACGATAGCAGTGAACCTTGATGCCGAATGAGCTTATGCTGTTGGGGTATCACCAATTTAGGTCTCGCTGTCGCCGCTGAAGTCACAGGCGGGAGGTCCTCGATCTATGGTCTTTGTCAGGATAGAACTCAATATATGACTTTCCTCGATCGTAAATTAAAAAAGACCCTGCAAACTTAAGCTCTAGCTATAAGCACGTCGCAATAGATGCAACATCGATGCAGTATACCAGCCTCGTGGTCGTTCGATGGCTGTGGTGGCTTCAGCTCGTGATCCGAAAATCTACCGTCACCAGCCTTTTTAGCCGCAACGTCAGTCAGACAAACCAAAATATCTTCCCGGTCTTGAATCCCACCTCTACCCTTTTCCAAGTCCAGGCTTGCGCTCGAATGGCATGCTCCCTCTCGAGTGCCCATAATGTCGTCCAAATCAATCGCGCCGATCGAGATAGGGTCGTTTACCGCCTCGTCGCCCGAAAAGACGGAGTTCATTGGCAGCGCGAGCGGCGTCTTTTTCGTCAACACCGTCTTTCGCGCCTTTGCTCGATCGGCCTACAACTCCAAGACGCTGGCTTCCAATGACCCATCGGCACAGAATGACCCTGGCTCGGTCGACAGTCGGCTCGTCGATCCAGAGACCCCCATGCAGCTGGACCACGAGAGCGCGGGAATGAGGGTCCTCATTGAGAACGAAACTGGGCCGAACTCCTACGGCGTCAAGGGGCATGGACTGGGGATTGCGCCAGAACAAGAGTCCGCCAGGGAGCTTCTAGTGCTCTACCTCAAGAACTGGCATCCTCTGTTCCCATTTCTACATGGGCCGACCCTCTTCGAAACCATCCGCGGCCTGTACGAGACTGACGGGCAGCGGAAGCTTTCACTGAGGAACCGTTTATGCCACGCCATCATCTGCCAATGCATCTTCAACATTGCGGCGCTTGACCAGCCCGATGGAACTCTTGCCCCAGAATCGCGACTGGATTCCCCCGCTAAATTGCTCTCCCTTCTGGGGTACGTTGCCAGCAACCACGACAACCTCTCATTACAGGCTCTGGTGGCCGCTCAGCTCTATCTCGTGGCGACCATGTCCCTGCGGGCGGCGTCGACGATAGGAGGAACCCTGACGCGGGTGATGTACCACGCAGGTTTCCACCGATGCGCCTTCCGGTATCCCCAGCTGTCACCTCACGAGTGCGAACTGCGGAAGAGGATCTTCTGGACCGCCTACGTGCTGGATCGCTATTTGAGTCAAGCACTGGGCCATCCTCTGGGCATTCAAGATTCCGACCTGGACGTTTGCATCCCGGGCATGGACGAGCTTCACAAACCGGTCAAGGCAAGCCAGCAGTCCATCAGTCGCCTGCCCGCCGAGGCACTCCTAGCTCATCTGCCTCGCGGCCATCACAGGCGTGACTCGCGCTCAGAAGAACCCACGACCTCAGAACAGGCTGGCGGCCCCGCGACCGGCTCGGATCCAGAGTCTCCCAGTTTGGATCCCTCGATGGACGCCAGTTTTTCGCAGCCATCCCAAAGCTCCCAGATCCTGGGCCATTATGTGCTCTATTGCCGGCTCACCGGCCAGGCAGTCCAGATATTCCACATCTCGCTTCAAAACCGGATGATAAATGCAGAACGAATGATGGAGCTTCAGTCAAACGTCCACGCGTGGTGGAATGGCCTGCCTCAGGAACTACAGGACGAGTATACCGGGGACGGAGTGAAACTAGCCCGGACTTTCACCTTCTTCTTTTCAGTACTGTACAATCATCTCTTGCTTCTCAGTAACCGTCCGTTTCTGTCCCTCTCGCCAAAGTCCCTAGAATTCAAATCGAGTCTGCAGACATGCATTGCAGCAAGCCGACAGATTATCACGACCTCGAGGCGTCAACACGACCGCGGCTTGATTGTATCTTGGCCCGGAATGCTATCAGCAACGTGGATGGCAGGGCTGGTTTTGGCTTTTGCTTGCACATTGAAACGATATCCATTCAGCAAAGCGCAAAGGTGAGCGGAGTCTTCGCACTTCTGAATATGTGCTAACGCTAGGCAGAGAAATTGAGGATTCCATTCGCAATCTCTCGGCGATGGCAAAGAGCTGGAACAATGCGAGACACTGTGCAGAAGCCCTCCAGTCCCTGTTGGAGAACCTGACAGCACAATATAACAGGGGGCAGAGTGTCCTGGCCTCTCCCTCATCCTCCAACATGGCTGGCACTGGAACTTCAATGCCAGCCGCAGCCGGAGGGCCAACAGAACCAACTGCTGCGCAGCTCCCCTTCACTGAATCGAGTGAACCCTCCAGGAAAAGGAAGAGGACCAGTCGGGGCCAGCAAGGACAGAAGCAACACCAAAGCGAGTTGCCTGACACGACGAACGGTCGCTCGAGTCAGTCTCAAACAATCAACCAAGACTTTGACGCCGACTCGTATCAACTGCCCAGCCTCAACAGCGGGCCCATGTTCCCGATTCTCGAATACACAGGACCGGATTTTGGTTTCAGCAACGGACAATACCCAACAATGGACGACTTTGAGTTCCTCGGCCTGCCAGTTTCGGACGATCTGTACCCAAATAATTCTGGAGCCTTTGGTAACATCGGATGGGAGGCGATGGCGAACGGCTCCGGCAACATGCAGAGCTGGGCCACTTGGGGCACCCCAAAGATTTGAGCAAAAGAGAGGCTTCTGTATGTCTAACGACTTCAGATTCTGTCACCCCGTTTCGATGACATCCTCTCACCAAAGGAAAGTGTCCTGAAACTCTTTAGAGAAGGAAAATTTGCCACCTGCGGTGCCTGGATTAGCTACAGAGGTGGAAGACCGTCGATGGCGTACACCGGGCACCTGAGCCGTACGGGAGGAAGTGGCAGCAAGGTCTTGAGGATCTGACACCATCGCTCCGAATGTCTGGGCCGTGTCTTCGTCCATTGGGGAGAGTGATTCTTGATCTTGTGCTTCGCTCGGAGTGTTCGTCAGGTGCGATTGCTGTTCTTGATTCTCTCCAAAGCTTGTCATCTCCATTGAAGACGGATTCTCGACTTGCTCCTTCCACACAACCACGTCGTCGATGGTATGCAGAGGAAATTGCTCCCAAAACGCGATAGCGGACTTCTTCTCCTCGGTGGTGCTCAAGGTCCCGACGGTCAGGAGTTGCGGTATTCGATCTTGGACTTCGGAAGAGAAGGCCACTGTCAAGCTTTCTTGTGGGCAAGCCGCAAGAATTCGCCACAGCACGCGCTCGGTCTCTTTCAGTCGTATCTCAAGCGCTTCGATATAGCCTTTTGCGGGACCTCTGTTGCCCGGGGGAAGTCAGCAGGGCCATCATTCACCGGGCTCCCTAAAAATCACAGCCATTCCAGAACCACTGACCTCTTCTGACTTCTCGGCCATGAACAGGTCTGGGCTAGACTTCTACAACGGCTGCAAATGGGTCTTGAAGCCGTCAGTACCACACCTCTGGAAAAGCGAGGACCAGGAATTCATGGTAGCAACGGACCTGTTGCCATCGCACTAGGGAGCTTCGTCAATATCGATCCCTAGAGTTCAAATCCCCGGTAATGCAATGAACTCATCGCAAGAGCCGACGACTGACCTTCTGTTTCCTTGCCCTACAGGCATAGCAAGCAGAGCGGCTTCTGGAGCCCGAAGCACTGTCGGACGAGGGTTTAGGCTGAGGCATGGGCTAGCGCAACAGGACAGGCCCGCAAGCGATCTTGTCAGGAGTGGGTTTGCCTCGAGCAGGTCTGCTGGCTTTGGGCGGTCGGCGTCGGCATAAAATTGTTCTTCTCATCAAGATGAGGTGCGGACAACCAAGACTGACCAACGTGCGATTAGTCAAGTTGCGGAGAGAAGATTATCCGATCGGACAATCTTTTATGCGCCGCCGGCCCCATGGCCCACGAGCTCGGAGTGAAGCCAGAGGCATTGCTGATATATGCCATGGAAGATGGGAAGGATAAAGCAGAGACTTGTCGCCAAACTGCTTTTGGACAGCAGCAGGTCGCTAAGTCATGTTCGAGGGCTTCGAGACGTTCGACATCACCACGCAGACGTCGCCTGAGGTGACAATACATGGTGTCAAGAGCAAAAACGGTGGGCACAACCTCCCGCCTCTGCTTCTTCTCCATGGCTTCCCACAGACTCACCACATCTGGGATGCTGTTGCTAGTCAGCTGCGATCGCAGTTCGACATAGTCGCCCTTGACCTTCGCGGATATGGGGAGTCGTCTACCCCGCGGGACCTGCCAAATTACGCAAAGAGCGCAATGGCGAGAGACTGTGTCATGGTAATGGAAACGCTCGGTTTTGATACGTTTTGGATCTGTGCACATGACAGGGGGGCAAGAGTCGCGCACAAGCTGTGTGTCGACTATCCGCAGAAAGTGAAAAAGGCGATTTTGCTCGACATTTGTCCCACTCTGGCCATGTACACATCGACGAACTTCGAATTTGCGAGGTCTTACTTCCACTGGTTCTTCTTGATTCAGAAAGAACCACTTCCAGAAACCACAATATCCCAAAATCCCAGACGATTTGCCGAGATGTTCATGGGTGGAAGACAAGCCAGCGGACTGGACATCTTCAAGCCCGAATGTTTCGATCGGTATGTGCGCAATCTTGGAGGTCCGGCAATCGTGCATGCCATGTGCCAGGATTATCGAGCAAGTGCGTCCTTGGATATGGATGAGGCAAGAGAAGATCTCGAAAACAACAGGCTCGTCCAATGCCCGTTGATGGTTCTTTGGGGTCGTCACGGGGTCATTGAAAAGTGCTTTGACGCAGTGTCCGAGTGGAAAAAGGTCACCGCAGCAGATGTGCCTGTCGAAGGGCACAGCATTGACTCGGGGCATTACATTCCGGAGCAAGCCCCCGATGAAGTTGTGCTGGCGATTCAGAAGTTCTTCTCGTGAGCTTCGAGTGATCGATGTCGCTAACGGCGACCATTTCCTCCAAGGGTCAAATTGCTCTGGCCATTCGACTTGACGAAGGGGTTTCCACCTGTAACATCACATGCCAGCTGAGCTCCCAACATGATGGAAGTACACTACATCGGTGTGTCCTCAGTTCCGGGACCCTCCAAGGGCTCCATCGCCAATGCTGAGACTTCAAGACGAACCGACCCTGAACCATCTGATGGAGGAATGGAAAGAATCCACGACAGGTTCCCGGACAAAATCCTGCCGGTGCCGATCGTTCCCTGCTGGACCTTTCCCACTGCGTTGGGCCTTGGTGTCGTTCGAGACTGTCAAGTATGAAGCGGAGCCGATATAACTGTATTGCCGAGAGTTCGAAAGTCTGGTCGCTCTTCGGCAGAAAAGTATCTGTAGATGCCTTTAGAACCGTCTCTACAAGGTTGAAATGATACAAACTCAACCCAAGGCTGCGCAGAAAGGCGGAATGCTGCGAGTTTTAGGCTGATCATCAGCGTCTCGTGCTTGCCGTGCCGTCCCCAGTGCCTACGTTTATATCACTCGATGCAGAGTCCGCTCTATACAGCTCAAAATGTGCCGGGAGAACGACATCATCAGAGGAGTCTAAATGGGATGGCTGGATTGACACGCCTTGGTCCGAACAGCCTGCTTGAGGATCTTTGGAAGATAGAAGCAACCTCTCTTCGTGAGCCATGAAGCGCTGTACCGACTCCGGCAAGCCACCGCGCCCACGCCGACCCTCCGAGCGCACAGGACGAATACCTCCCGCATACTGGGTCCATGAAACCATTTTCTCCGCAGGAACAGTTCCCCGGACGCCCTCTGGGGCCCTCCCCCGCCTTTCTCACACCCGACCGGGCCAAACAAGCAAAGCCCATCTTGTTGCCCAACAGACATCGTCATGTGCAGCTGCGAGGGCGGATGTGGCGCGGACAAAGGCGGAGTGAGAACGCAAGCCTGTACGTACTCATCAACGTCCCCCCATTGGACAGGACTGCATGTTCCCTTGACTCCTCACCACGCAGCTCGCTGAAAACGAATCTTTAGATCGAGATTGGCTGCAGCGGGGGGATGCCGGGCTGGCGGCAGGGACCCGGGCGAAGATGTTTGAACGAGGGGAGATGCGTCAAGAGGGTAAGGGCAGGTATGTAGGTACGTACTTGGTACGTAGGTATATACCAAGTGGCAGCCACCCCGTCACATGTAGCTGGTACATGCACTTCACCGCCTCGCTGTGATCGAGAATTGTTCTCTCCCTCTCTCGACCCTGGGACGCTTTCTATCTTCTGGACACACAAAAGAAAACAACACTCCGTCAAACAGAAAGCGGACAGATCGTTCAAGTCCCCCTCCCCCAATCAGTATGGGCCTGCTCAGCTTTGAAGTCGCTGTCCGGCTCGCGGAAGTCCTCTTGCCTGCCCTTGCCATCTATTGGCTCCTCTATCCCTGGTACTTCTCGCCCCTGCGCAAGGTCCCAGGTCCTTGGTACGCCGTCTACACCAAATGGTGGCTGGTGTACAAGACCTGGCGCGGGGTCCGTGCAAAGACCATTCACGACCTTCACCTCAAGCACGGGCCTTGGGTGCGCGTTGCCCCGGACGAGATCTCGACCTCGGACAGCAAGGCGATCGCGCCCATCTATGGCGTCAACTCCGAGTTCACCAAGACGGCCTTCTACACCTACCAGCTGCGAGGCATCCCGGAGCTCTTTACCATGTCGGACCGCAAGGCCCACGCCAAACGACGCCGCGAGCTGGCGCATCTGTTTTCCATGTCCACAATCACCGAATACGAGGACATCATCGCCCGGAACGTCCTCGAGTGCATGAAACTCATTGCTGCAGAGGGCGAGGCCGGCAAGGCTAGTAACCTTTATGATTGGTGGCACTACCTGTCCATGGATATCATCTGCGAGCTGTCCTTCGGAATCGGGTTCGACATGCTGCACAAGGGCGATGAGAACCCGTACATCCAGGACATGTACGGCTCGTTGACCATCGAGCCGGTCCGCTGGCATTTCGGGTGGCTGAATCGGTACGCCAGCTGGGCGCCCTTCAAATTTGTCCGTGACGCCGAGGCTTGTAGCGTCCGCGGGTTTCAGAGAGGCACGCGGATTGTGCGAGAATATAAGAGCTTGGAGCATAAGGGGGAACGCAAAGATCTGCTGCAGAAGATGATCAATGCCAGAGACGAGAACGACCAACCTCTCCCGGAAGACGATCTGAATATCCAGTCGACGAGTTTCATCCTCGCAGGCTCTCACACGACGTCGTCGTCGCTGACTTGGATCGTCTGGCGCATCCTTTCAAACCCCGAGATCCACCGGAAGCTGAACGAGGAGCTTGACGAAGCACTGGGAACCGACGACCGTCGCGCGGTGCCGCCACACTCCAAGCTCGACGGCCTCACCTATCTCAACTGTATCATCAAAGAGGGCCTCCGGATCGACACGTCAGTGCCAGGCTCAACGCCTCGATACGTCCCTCCGCAAGGCGCAGAGCTCGGCGGCTATGACCTTCCCGGGGGGACCATCGTCTCGATCCAGGCATACACAACCCATCGGCAACCCGATGTCTTCCCAGACCCAGACCGATTCTGGCCCGAACGTTGGCTGGACGAGACACCGGAAATGCGCCATCTCTATGTCCCGTTCGGGGCTGACGGCCCGCGCAAATGCATCGGCATCCACCTGGCCTACATGGAACTGCGTGTGATTCTTGCGGCCTTGTTCCACCGGTTCGATCTTCGTTTCGCTGGACCTGTCTCGGACGAGAGTATGGATATGCACGAGCTGTGGCTTGCTGCGCCGGCGGGACAGAATCTCAGCGTCATCGCCACGGAGAAGGAGTAGAAGCGGGTCGCAAGGGGTGAGTCCTTTTGAGTGCGTATTCTCACGTGCGCGTCAAGCGATATAATTTTTTCTAATCTCCGCCGTCATTGAATGTGAAGGGATCGACATCGTGAGGACACATGTAGATCCAGGTGCTGGCGTCAGCGGTTTGGCCAACACCAGCTGGTACAAGTCCGTCTTGTTGTATGGTATCTTGTGTTCTTGTCCTCCACGTAACTTCATACGTTCGACGGGTGCTTTGGGAAGGCTTTGCGGGTGGTTGACTTCGTCAGGCGTCCTGCCATTCACGCAAGGAAATATCGAAAAGATCCAGGGCTGTTCGTATTCAGGGACGAACGTTGGCCCGAGAGTTTCAGGCACGCACATTCATGACATTCTAGAAGAACAGTTGATGAGGGCCACGGGAAAAGATTGGGGCCCTTTAACTGGAATGGGACCTAGTTAGGGATGATGTCACCGCCAATGGATTCTGTCTTGGGCGCCTGTGGGCGGGGACTGGCCTGTTAGAAGCCGCTGTCCCGGGCTGGTGGGGGTTGCCTAGACGCCTCGTATCAGTACCTGGTGACCCTCGAAGCCCCAAAGAGACACAGCCCGCGAGGGATGCGGCAAATCGATCCACTGGCGCGCCACCTACGGCCTGCGACCCTCCGGCTTCAAACATCCGATACACGAACGTTCATATAATAATGTCTCCATCTCCCTCACGCCATATGTGACCACACCCAACTCGCACTCTTTTCTCACAATATCACAACCATGGGGTCGATGGTGTGGGAAAGGCTCTGGCTACGCCTGAAGCCTGTCGTGTGGCCGCGCTGGACATGGAGATACATTCTTTGCTGCTGCGTCGCCACCTACCTCGTCTACTGCACTCTTTTCTCTGGCCCTGTCTTGTCGTCGAGGCTACCGCCATACACAGGTCCTTATTCCGTGGGCGCAATCGACGTTGAGGTCCCCGTCGAGACCCGATCTATCCACAATGCCACATTCAAAGACGGTGGCCATCCGGCTTTCCAGGTGAGCGAGATCGCGTGTGGCGAGCGAGGCCAACAAGCTCTGATCATGTACCACAGTTGGAAACCGTCTTGTTCACTCTCTATTACCCCTCCGACAAGGACGCCGTATCCTCCAAACCACAGCATTTTTGGGTGCCGAAGCCGCTCCGAGTGACGGGCAAGGGATATGCTCGAGTCGCTCGCATCAGCAACTTCGTCACTAATGCAATGCTCACATTTGGACTGTGGGCATTGGTGGGAAACACCAAAATCCCTGCGCACGTCGACGTCCCTCTGGATCAATCCCCAGTCGTGCTCCAGTTACCAGATTTCCAAGACTACCCCGTCACACACGAGAACGGGTTTCCGGTCATGGTCTTCTCGCACGGAATGGCCAGCTCCCGGACCCAGTACACCCAGTATGTTGGGGAGCTGGCAAGTCGAGGAATCGTTGTGGCTGCCATCGAACACCGAGATGGCAGTGGGCCGGGTACGATGATCATGAAGCACGGCGCGAAGTCGCGCATTTTACATCACTTTGATGTCCGTCACTTGACGTTGGTCTATCTGCTCCTAGATTTCTAGCAACCACTGACTGGAAGCAGGCTTGACTCGCAGTTGGATGGGGACACCTTCAAACAAGCCCAGCTGGATTTCCGGCAAGCCGAAGTCGAGGAAACCGTCCAAACCCTAGAGCATATCAACAGGGGTGGCGGCGACGAAGTTTTCGTGTCGAATTCCCGGTCCGAAGGACAATATCTGCACCAGTGGGAAGGACGACTAGCCCTGAACAACACTACGATGGGAGGGCACTCATTTGGCGCCACGCTGGCAGTGAGTTGAACCAACAGCGCCGGGCCTTTCCCTCTATCTAACATTGCACAGCTCCAGACATTGAAACAAGGCCCTTCCAAACTTCTCCCATTCCAAGGTGCTCTTGCTCTTGATCCGTAAGTCATCTACGTGCGTTCCGGTTGCAGTTCCTGACCGCTAGCAGTGGGAAACAAAGCGGGCCTCTCAACCACGATGTTCAAGTGCCGACTCTGATTCTCCATTCAAATTCATGGTCGAAAAGCCATTCCATCTTCTTTGGCAGACCACATTTCGACGTGGTCAAGGATGTCGTCCAGGGTGTTTTGAGGAGAGGAAAGGATGCATGGTTCCTTACGTCCCGTACGTGCTTTGTTTCCCCCATACGACGTCTAATTTGGGTGGATAAGTCACTAACTCTCTTGTACAGTGGGCACATCGCATCCATCAGTCACCGACGCGCCACTGATTGAGCCGTGGCTGCTTCGGTGGACAACAGGCTCCACGATCGATGCACACGAAGGCGTCAATCAATACGTCAAGGTGTCAGAGAGGTTTTTGAGGTTCCAAAGCACTGGAAACAAAAGAGGCATCTTGTCACAATGCGTCACGCATCCAGAATACAATGTGGAAGACAAGAATAGGACGGACGCTGGGCCCTTGCCCAAGGAGTTCCGCAAATACTGGCAGATCCACGTCGCGCCGTGCGGTCCAGAAGAAGGAGAGATATAGAAGACGGCCTGATTGATATGTGTTGGACGCATCCAACTCAGCCCGGAGTAATTTACTCTTGTATAACGATTTGGGATCGGGCTATGCTACGACTAAACGACTATAACGCCTGTGGGAGATCCGAGTGGTGTGACTTATTTGCCTTCCGAGCTATAAGACTGGAGAATATACTTCCAGTCTCCATGTCACTTCTGGAATACAATATCCGATTGGTTTTCGACGCGGCTCTTTATCCCTCTGCCAGAAAGCCCCGATTGGATGCCTCTGTAACGTGACAGAGATGCATTGTCGGTTCTTCTCGTGGTCTCCAGAACTTCACGCATGGCCGATACAGAACGGCCTTCCAAAGGGAGGATCTCTAAGTCGCTCAAATGGCTCTTCTAACGCTACAGTTTGCCCAAATCCTTCCGCCTCTTCACCGCCTGGTCATACTCGGCGTCAATGTCGTCCGTCCACACCCAGCGCATCCGGTCAATCACGCGCTTGTGAATCTCGGGCACGCACTGGTCGAAGGGGAGATCCTTCATAATGTCCGCCTGGGCCTGGTACACCTCGACCGCGTCTCTGGAAGTGCGCTGCACCTTCTGTGCGCGCGGGAGGCGTACGTCCTGGTATACCCTGGCCCACGACTCGAGGCTGTCTTTCTCGGACGACGAGCTTCGAAAGTAGTCCTGCAGTGCTCGGCCGAGGATATATCCATCCTCAATCGCCTGGCCTGCTCCAGCGCCTGTTGCGACTGTGTCAGCACGGGCGAACTCACACCGTATATCCCCCAGAAAGACTGACCTTGGTGAGGAGTCATGGCGTGGGCAGCATCTCCTAGTAGCACAGCCTTGCCTCCGAGATACACCCACTGATCGAGAGGTTTGCGGTCATTGATCAGCCACTTGGACGGCTGTTCGGGCATCAGCTGGATGACCTTCTGGACTCTTTCCTCGAACCCCTTGAAGGCCTCAAAGACGTCATCCTTCTTGCCCACCGCCGTCCAGCTTTCCCTGAGGTCGCCCAGGTTCTCCTCCTTTTCGGCCACGAACGCGACGATGTTGAGCGTCTTGTTCCGGGAGATGGGGAAGCACAGAAAGTGCCGGTTCTTCCCCAGCCATGTCACCGAGTACGTCTCAAACCCCCACCAGTCCTCGATCTCGGAGATGGGCACTAGGCCCCGGTATGCGATCCGTCCACTGTAGTCGGGATTGTCGCTGGTGAACTGTGCCCTGACGGCAGAATGGATGCCGTCGCAGCCGACAACCAGGTTGGCAGTAGCGGTCGTCCCGTCCTCGAATCCAATGAACACCTCGTCTCCTTGCTCCTAGTTGTCTGTTAGCTTGCTGATCGCATCGCGTGTAGTATTGAGAGGTGGCATACCGTAAGTTTGCGACACCGTTTGTTGGTATGAAGCCTGGCTGCATCCTTCTGCTTCACGATATCAACCAGCAGGTCCAGAAACTCGGCGCGATGCACGGGCAATTGCTTGATCTGGTCCGTATCCACGGACGGCACAGTCACCACATCCGTGCCATCGTCGAACTTGCGAAACGTGATCCAGATGCCACTGCGCTTCCCGGAGATCTTGGACACAGTCTCCCCAATGCCTATCTTATGGAGCAGCTTTGCAGCATTGACGCCGATGCCGACGCCGGCACCGATCTCCTTATACTGGGGAGCTTGCTCGTAGACATCTATGTCAACGTGCGAGCCACAATGATAATGGAGCGAGAGGGCAGTGCAGAGCCCGCCAATGCCACCTCCTATTATGGCCACCCTTAGCGGGGGGCGGTTGATCGCTGCAGGCATTTTTGGCGAAGGAGCTGGACCCGGGGACTGAGGATCGCCTAGACTATTCTCTATGATTGGATGATGGACTTGGTTTCTTGGGTAGCAAAAGACTCGCCCTCGCGGGTTTCTTGCAGGCTTATGGCACGTTTTCGACAAGGCATGGGCGCATCTCCAAATATAGTCCCCGCCACTTACCCTCCTCTATCACCGTCCAGACGCACAGCAGGATTGAGTTTGATAAGTCCCCGTGGGCTCCTCGGCACAGAGTCTGGGGTTTGAGCGGAGAACGGAGCCTCCAATGACCAAGCGTTGCTCAAGCTTGTGGAGAAATGCTTGTGCGGATCGAGCATCAGGCGTGCAGGAGATAGACAGTCACACGGCATATCTCCCCGAGAACAAGTCTACCGTCGAACTTCATATCTGTTGCTCTCATGCCCAGACTCCGCCCCATGCAGGCCAAGACGCCCTTGGAACGGTCGACAATTGTGCTGCTCTCTCCTCGTCGGTGAGCCCCATGTCCCCCATCTCAACGTGCCGAATGAGGCAGCTTCAATAGTAAAACAACAGGTCAGGAGGTCGAGGAACAATCCCACTTCCCCACACGATTCTCCCTGGTCAGTGTGCGCATCCATGCAACTACCGAGCACACAGATCTCCACTCCCTTTCCTTGCCTAGGCAGGAGCACATCTTTCTCTGCCATGGCCGGGGAGGAGAGGCTGCTGCGACCTTTTCGCTGGAGAACTTCTACCCTTGTCGATCGCTCAAATTGACGTGGTTTTTCCTTTTGTTCCCAAATCCATTTGTGGTCCAAACCCCAGGAACAACGCCATGGGATCGCTCCAGAACAAGGCGGAGGTCCTGCACATGGAGCAGGACAAATGGTCGTCTGAAGGAGCCGCTGTCGACATTGACGAGGCTAAACGAGGCGAGGTCGACGAGAGGGAAGGAACAGCAGGCCTCAAGCTCGACAAACATGGGCTTCCTCTTGTACCACAGCCGACAGATCGCAGGGATGATCCCCTTGTACGTGAGACGCTCGCAAGGCCTTCGATGGAGCAGCTCTGTGTCTCAATAGCTACTGACTGAAATTACAGAACTGGTCGCCATTGCTCAAGTTCTTCGTCCTTTTCCAAGTCAGTTTCCTCGCCTTCCTCGGGCCCATGGCGGGCGCAATCGTCAACCCGGCCTTCGTGCCACTGAGCAAGCAGTTCAACATTACTGTCGTCCAGGCTTCGTATGAACTTACGGTGTACATTGTCGCCGCGGGCGTCGGGCCCTTACTCACCGTTCCACTAGCCAACGTGTATGGCCGAAGACCCGTCTACATTCTGGGCAACCTGTTGGCAGCCGTCACCAATATCGCCGCCGGCTACTGCAACACCTGGACTGGGATAATGGTGACTCGCGTGTTCAATGGCATCGGTGCGGGCTCTCCGGGTGCCATAGGCGCAGCGACCGTGTGTGACATGTACTATTTGCACGAACGTGGGTTTTACATGGGCATCTTCACGTTTCTGCTCACCAACGGTCCTCATGCTGCGTCGCTGTTTGGCGGCTTCATTGCCCAGAATCTGGGTTGGAGATGGTGCTTTTTGATTCCAGTACGTCCCTCGAGACTCTGCGTCGTCTCCGCGCCACTTTCTAATGAGGCTTCTTATAGGGTTATGTCCAGCTCGGCACGTTCGTCGTGACGCTCTTTTGCCTGCCCGAAACCATCTACTCTCGCCAGTCGACCGCCACCAGCGGGCGTGAACGATCTTTCACGGATCTCCTGCTCTTCAGACATTCTGGCTTGCAGAACCGCAAACTTCGGGTTGGAGACTTCCTCCGGCCGTTTTACATGCTGAGGTACCTCTCGATTGTGATTCCGGGCTTTTACTACATGACCGCGTTTGGGTTTGGCTCGGTGCTGTTCGCTGCGACGGGGTCGAGCCTGTTCCGCACAGTTTACCACTTCAACGTTGCCCAGACCGGCATGTTACTTAGCATTCCGCTCCTCATCGGTTGTTTGCTGGGCGAAATGAGCGCTGGGTGGCTCACCGACTACATGGTCTACCGATACGCCAAACGTCACGGAGGAAGACGGGAGCCAGAACCACGTATCAATGCGGTGGCTCTGGCTGTCTTGTGCCCGATCGGCATCATCATCGATGGCATCTGTCTGACGCACTACAAGACCGTGCCTTGGGTGGGCGCAGCATTCGGCATGGGCATTGCGAACTTTGGCCTCCAGATCGCGACTACAGTCACCTACAGCTACTGCACAGATGTATGTGGTCTATTCCCATCCCATCCCCTCCTGCTACGCGACATTGACGCTGACTCGCCACAGTGCTACAAGCCGCAGAGTTCCGAGATCTCCAGCATCCTCAACGTGTTCCGCAACGTCTTCTCCATGACCATCTCCTTCTACGCGTGAGTACCCCCACGTCCCCTCCTCCCCGATGATGGCCGAAAAGATTCTCTCAAAAACTGACCTCATCTCGCGCCACCCGGACAGGATTCCACTAGGCGAGCAGATCGAGTATCAGTACGCATGGCTGACTTTTGCCATGATCCACATCGTCTTCCTCGTTCCGATGGTTCTGCTCCGGTTCAAGGGCACGCGGTGGAGGAACAGCGCTTGGCAGAAGCCTCCCACGTTCCACAACGACATCTAGACCCTGGGATGGCTTCCTCGTCCCCGTCGAGACCAGAGAGAGGGTACGGCGCTCTCGATCGCCTTCCACCTCCCCTGGACTGCAGGAAGGGAAGTCACCAGGTACCCCATGCCTTTGATCGAGGGGCCCCCAGGTATATGTCATAGAGTCAAGACAGACAGCCAGAATAGCCAAAGCATCCAAATGAAAGCCAGAATGTGCCACAGTCCTGGCGATGTCACCACATGGAGTGACTCGAGCTGGTCTGGGCGTCTATGTGACATTTTCCCCCTTTACTCCTTCGTTCTCACCTTTTCGGGAGCCTTTTTCTTTTCTCGAGGTCTGGATCGATCGCGGTATTAGACGTCGCTTGGTTTGGCTCTAGAACTCGACCATCACTTTTTTTCACGTGGGAATGAGCCCGGAGTCTTTCCCGTCTACTCCAAGATGGCCATGCAGGCGAATGAAGACTGCTGATGGCGTCATCTCGAGTCCACGGAGGTGATTGACCCTTGTTGTTTCGCCCTGAGGATCTCCTGTCAATCAACTTGGTCGAACACCTTGTCTCGCTCGGCACTTGGATCCTCGCGAGGGTCCATCCGTGGCCAAGTCTGCGCTGTCCCAACGCCAGAGTATGTCCGCCAGCCAGCCCACCTCGTCCGGAGGTCTGCCGACGAGCAGGGAGAAACGATCGTTCCAGATATCGCTTCGGAAAGCTTTGCATCGCCCAGCCAAGCGAAAGGGGCGAAGGCCACAGTTTGGCAATATGCTAACTCCTACTGGTGTAAACATCTGCTATCAAGATTGCATCACGAAATGGGTTTCCCAGATGTCGTGCTCCAGCGAGCGGTGGTCAAGGATTGCAATATGTACAGCGGAGATGTCGCCATATGGCCAAGATCGGCTCTATCACGCAGCTGTCTGCATGCTGGGGTGGGAGTGCCGCAGACAGATTTGGGGGTCAATATGTTTAAATACCTGTCGTTTCTCTCCAGAAGATGGACGAGACATTGGCGCAGCAGTTTGACGAGTTCAGTCGTCGACAACCATGGCGACCGTCTTGACTCGACCTCTCCAGAGGGAGAAGGACGAAACTATCGTGACCGGAGAGATTCTACACAGCACCCCCTCAGACTCGAAGGAGAGCATCCCAACCACCCCAGCGGGCGCACTCGAGCTCGGTGTGCCCGCCAACGAGAAGAAGTTCTGGTGGCAGCGCGGTCGAGGCTACGACGCCGACGCCATCGCCACCCTCCCGTCCGTCTTCGACGACCCGGAGACGGCCAAACACTACCAGCCTCGCGCGGACTGGGAGAACCTGCGCCGGTTCGACCCGTCGGCGAGATGGACGTGGCGCGAGGAGTACGCGGTGCTGCGCAAGATCGACTTCCGGATCATGATCTTTGCCTGCGTCATGTTCATGTCCCTAGAGCTGGACCGCTCGAACCTGACCCAGGCCGTCACGGACAACTTCCTGGGCGACCTGGGAATGGACACGAATGGTTCGTGATTGCCAACCGCCAGGACCCTCGGTGTGTTTGTGAAGTGTTTTTGCTGATCGTGTACAGACTACAACTGGGGAAACACCGTCTTCAAACTCAGCTTCCTCTGCGCCGAGCTCCCCTCCCAGCTGATTTCCAAGTGGATGGGGCCCGACCGCTGGATCCCGACCCAGATGGTGCTCTGGTCCATCGTCGCCGGCTCGCAATTCTGGCTCTCTGGTCGAGCTAGTTTTCTTGCCTGCAGGGCCCTACTCGCGCTCTTGCAGGGTGGATTCATCCCCGATGTATGCTATACCTCTCGTTACCTTTCACGCGCAGGAACTGACGTATCTGCCAGATGATCCTCTATCTCTCGTACTTTTACAAGCACGGCGAGCTTTCGCTACGGCTGGGCTTCTGGTGGACGGCCATGTCCATAGCCGACATCATTGCCAGTTTCCTGGGCGCGGGCTTGCTGGACCTCCGAGGACACCTTGGCTACGCCGGCTGGAGGTGGCTGTTCTTGATCGAGGTCAGTGTTCGACGTGGAATATACATTTGCGTCTTTGTTGCTGACTGATGTTGAAGGGGCTTTTGACTTTTGTCCTCGGATTGGTTGCGTTCGTCTTGATGCCTCCTGGTCCTTGCCAGACCGCCAACTGGGCGAGAGGCAAGAAGGGATGGTTCACAGAACGGTCAGTATTTGAAGAACCTGGATGCTTGTTATGATGCTTTTTGCTGACACGACGGCAGCGAGGAAACCATCATGGTCAACAGGATCATCCGCGAAGACCCCAGCAAGAGCACCATGCACAACAGGCAGCCCATCACCCCGAAACTACTCTGGCAGAGTCTGACGGACTACGATCTCTGGCCCTTGTACTTGATCGGACTGAACTTCCAAACTCCCATGAGTAAGTCCCTCGTTCGTTGCTCAATGCAGGACTTTTACTGAGGATACAGCGACCCCGACCCAATACTTGACCCTGTCACTGAAGCAGTTGGGGTTCGGCACCATCAAGACGAACTTGCTGGTGGTGCCCTCGACGGTCGGGCACATTATCACGATGCTGCTCTTCACGTACCTGGCCGAGATTGTGGGTCAGCTCTGGATCTTCGGGTTGCTCGCGCAGCTCTGGGCCCTCCCGTTCCTGTCCTACATCTACGCGGTCGACATCAATTCGATCAACAAGTGGACGGCGTTCGGCGTCATGACCGTCCTTCTCGCGTATCCGAGCACGCACGCGATCCAGGTCGGATGGAGTTCGAGGAATTCCAACTCGGTTCGGAGCCGGACAGTGAGTGCCGCGGTGTACAACATGGCGTGCCAGTCCTCGGGCATTATCGCCAGCAACATCTATCGGCAAGGTAAGTCTCGAAGCCTGACGAGGGTCTGTAACCCTGACCGCTGACCCGTCGCCCTTAGATGATCGGCCCCGTTATCGTCGGGGCAACCGAGTCCTGGTGTCCCTGTGCGCCTTGAACGTGGGCATCTACGTCTTTGCCAAAGTCTACTACGTCTTGCGCAACCGGTACCGAGACCGGGTCTGGAACGGCATGACCGAGGAGCAGCGCGCCGAGTATCTCGCCACCACGACTGACAAGGGGAACAAGCGGCTGGACTTCCGCTTCGCTAGCTGAATAACATTCCTGAATATGCAGGACGACGGAGTGGCAGTTGGTGTGGGGAGGGATAGAAAGACGGAGAGGAATTGCAGGAGCTGGGGACCTGGGGTAGCCGGTAGACTAGTGGGGTGGCTGCTGCGGCTTTTGGTGACCACGGCCGTTGATCTTGGATCTCAAGAACATCTTAGCCGGACGATAAGAGGGGTGGGCGAATAGAATGAATGTGATACTCGTGCGGGAATTGCACGGGAGTATCAAGGCAGTTGGTGGCTGTAGAGGTGTTTGGACCAGCCACCCATCATTCAACCACCTATCGCACTTGCTGTTTAGTCCTCCACATGCACATACGGTCTTGCGTAAGAAGCAGCGTAGAGGGAGAGTCCGTTCTCACGGCTTAAGAGACGGAACTCGCCAACCATTTTGAAGCGAGCCTTCGATTCGCTGGCCGCGAACAACACCCAAGAACCAGCACCACCAACTATCCAAACCACCCCCAAACCCTGCATGAACCTCTACCTCTTCGCCCTCCTCGCCTTCCAACCACATGCCTCCTCTCCCCCAGCCGATCCCTGCGATGCGATAAAAGATACTCGGTCGCTGCAGCACATGTCTCTCTTCCCTTTCCACGGCCAAAGCCCGCCCAAGACACCATCTCATCCTATATTGCGCCATCACGACCCGGTCTTTCTCTCTTTCCATCAAACTGAGTTGGTGGTCGGGTGGTGCAATACAAAGCCCATCTGACGAGATACGTGGCCAATACTTCATCACGCCCCCAGGATTGCGAGGGACGTCGGTTTCGTGCTTTATCGCGCCATGTATATCGCAAATGATGTGAAGAATAGAAATTTCCCCACGCCAGACACCGGATGCCGGATACCGGCTCGCTTGGTATATTGGGTTTTTGGGCAAGAGAACACCACAGCACAACACAGCCCGACCCCTTTTCGTGCGGACTGGACAGGGCATCACGCTAGGCGCATCTGAGGGATGAATAAATGGGAGAGAGCTCAATGTCGACACGATATGGGTCTCGGTACCGCCCCTGCAGGGAGTTGCCATTCGTCTGGCATGGTTCTAGCGACTAGTCCGATCCATTCGGTTCGCCGTGGACACGAGTGATAAGATGCCATTTTCCAAGATGAAGAGCCATTCTTTGCATTATTCATCGTGCCACCCAATTACCGTGTCGGGACAGCACTGACAAGAGAAGGAATGAGGGGGCGAGACGGCATGTCGGCACGGTGGAAGGGCTTTCTGGAGAGCAATTGCGCAGGAGGAGCTCGTCATCCAGAATGGACTCGAGGGTATATGAGGACGAGGTGTTTCGCTCTCTAGGTGAGTCCCTTGTTTGTTCTCCCCCCATACCTCTCACCCCAAGTCCTTGTCCCTTACCACCCTTCCAGACCGAACGGTATCTGGAAGAGATATAGTATTCAGGCTATACAAGACACCATCTCTCCCAAGACTCGGCAGCCATGGCACCCCCAGCAGCTGACGTGGACCTGTACTCGCACACGAGCTCGGGGCCCATCCCCATCACCAAGGTCAATGCCCAAAGCACCCTCAAGGAGCCACTCAAGTACTCGGGATCGCTGGACCAGTATAAATCGTTCGACGTCACAAAGGTCATCGGCAGGGAGTTCCCCGACCTGCAGCTGAGCCAGATCCTGCACGACGACACAAAGATCCGTGACTTGGCCATCACAGGTGTGTACCCAAAAGCTCTCTGTTGTCGTTGGTTTGGTGGTCAGGCAAGTCTAATGGCCGGCTCGCACGCAGTGTCTCAACGAGGCGTCGTTTTCTTCCGCAACCAGGACCTCAACATCGAGGATCAGAAGATCTTGGGCCAGAAGCTCGGCGAGCTCACGGGGAAGCCCGAGACGTCCAAGGTATGAGAGTCCTCGTGGCCAGTCCGGGGGAAGATCTGTGGCTAACGTTCGACAAAACCCCAACAGCTCCATCGTCATGCTTTGAGCAACAGCAAGCGCGGCATCGCCGTGGACGAGAACGGGAAACTCGACGACGAAGTGTCCGTCATCTCGTCCGAAGTATGTTTCCTTCTTTGAAATGGTCTTGTCAGCAAAGAGGCTCGACACTGATTGAACGTGCGTCCCACAGCAAAACCGCAAGTTCTACAAGGACCGCTTCTCCGCCCAGTCCAAGGTGCTGGCCAGCCAAGGATGGCACGCCGAGTAAGTGTGGTGGCCACTCGCTTTGACACCGCGCCTTGGGAATTTCCGTATTGACACTGTTGTCTTTGTGCCAGCATCACCTTTGAGCGCATCCCGTCCGACTACGCCATCCTCAAGATCATCAAGAAGCCCGAAGACGCCGGCGGCGACACGTTGTGGGCGTCGGGCTACGAGCTGTACGACCGGCTGTCGCCCGACTTCCAGAAGCTGGCCGAGGGCTTGACGGCGACGCACCACCAGCCGAATTTCGTCAAGGTGGCCAAGGAGTTTGGCGAGGACCTGATCGAGCAGGACCGCGGGGCCCCCGAGAACACGGGCATCGACTTTGCCGCTTCGCAGTAAGTCCTTTCATCTCCTTCCCTTCCTCCCTCGCTTCTCACCAACCACCTGTGCCACACACTGGTACTTCTCTGTCTTGTTGTTTTGTCGTCGACCTCTATCCCCATGTCCATGTTCCCCCAGCTAACCTGTTTCTTTTCAGCCCCGTCGTGCGCACCAACCCCGTGACCGGGTGGAAGTCGCTGTTCGGCGCGGGCCACCAGATCGAGCACGGCTGGATCGACGGGGTCACGCCGCGCGAGAGCGAGATCCTCAAGGCCTACTTCCTGCAGCTCATCACCGACAACCACGACCTGCAGGTGCGCTTCCGGTGGAACGAGAACGACCTGGCCGTCTGGGACAACCGCTCCGTCTTCCACACCGCCACCAACGACTACGACGGCAAGCGCCAGGGCAACCGCGTCGTCTCCCTCGGCGAGAGGCCGTACTTTGATCCCAAGAACTCGGTCTCGCGGCGGCAGGCTCTGGGGATTTAAAAAGGATAGAAGGATAAAGGAGGTGGGCTTGGTGGCCTGGATTGGATGCCCTGAGGTAGATAGATCCAGAGACAGGTAGTTGAAAAGTCCGATTAGACCTCTATCAGCCATCCTCGTGGGATTGATCGTCCGAGGAACTCCGCTGTATACTCACTCCTTCGAGAGCGGGTCTTTTGTCTAGACTAGACGCCGAAAGGTACGCAGGTCTGTGAAATCGATGACAGATAGGCAGAGTCAGGAAAGCGATGGACATCAGTGAAGGCGACATGTTGAGTGACTGGACTGCCCCGGCGTCGAGCGACGCGGCGCGCTCCCCACACACGTATACACATACATATAGACCGCGCCTCATGCTCCGGTACGCTATCCCGGGCTTCACAACTTGATGCTCTTGACCAGGTTCGTCTTGATGCCCGTCGCCTCGCCCCCGTACCCGCCGCGGCCCTCTCCGCCTTTATACACGGGCCTGATGGACGCGAGCTTCTTCATCTTCTCGTCAAACTTCTTCCTCTTCTTGACGCGCGGGTTGCGCACCTCCTTCTTCCTCTTGGGCGTCAGGCCCTTGTTCTTCTCGATCGCGTACGTGATCTTCCTCTTCCCGTCCGGCCCCACCTGTTCTTCCTCGTGCACCTGCGCGCCCTGCCTGGCGGCCTCGGCGTAGGCCTCTGCTCGGGCCCGCTTCTCGGCTTTCTTCTGCCTGGCGTTCGTGACCAGCGTGTCGTAGTACTCGTTGGCCTCGTCGTTGATTCTCCGGCTGGCCTGTCGATCGTCGTCGTCGTCGTCGTCGTCGTCACTGTCACCGAGCACCTCCCTCTCGTTGGCGGTGGCCCGGCCTCGCTGCTCGGCCTCGCGCATCAGACGCTCCTGCCTGTCCCGAATGCGCTCCTTGTAGGGCAGATCGTCGTCGCCGCCGGCCTGTCGCGACGCGGCGCCTCGTTTATTCGCTTTCTGCACAATCTGCGAGGTGTAGAACCGCAGCGTCTTTTTCCGTCGGGCCTTTTCGGCAGCCTCCTCTTGAGTCAGAGGAGATTCGTCGCCAAAATCGGACTCTGCTTCCACGGGTTTGCGCATTGAGGAGGCCAGGAGTTCTTGCAACTCGTCCCTCTTTGGTTTCTTTGCCTTCCTCGACTTGGTGCTCACTGCTGCAGGTTCCGGGGAGGGTGGCTCCGGGGACAGCAACTTTGCCTTTGTCTTCTTTTTGACGGGTTTCTGCGAGGCGTCCGGGAGCGGATTCGGTGGCTGTATGGTTGATGGCTTGGTCTCCGGCATTTCAACGGGAACCTTTGGACGGAGCGATTCAGCTTCTTGCCACAGCTGGCGACAGCGGAAAAGGTCCGACATGACCGGGTGGTCTCGCAGTTCCCCTGGGGCCAGCGCCATGCCTGTCTTGGTGGAAGTCAGTAGAGCCAGGTACATGGCCACAGCCCCGAGATATGCTGACAAGGCTCGAAATTTTGTCAGTGTGACACCGCCGTCGTCATGTCCTTCCATTTCGGCTGCTTTTCTCAGTGACTGGTAGGTGTCTTGCAACGAGAGAAAGTCCTTCGTCAACGGGCCGAACTCGGGGTATCGCAACTTCAAGACTTTGATGCGTTCGGGGATGCTCGCAGTTTCAGGAATTTGGAGTTCGGGCAGTTTCTCTACTGCCGATCGCTTCTCCTGAGCTTGCTGATTCTCGTCAACCCAGGCACTCTCGTCGAACCCAAAATCTGCCTCGGTCATGCTCTTGAGTTGTTTCAGCTGCAGCCTCCTAGCCTCTTGTTCCTCTTCTAATGCATCGGCTTCGGTCTCGATGACGTCGGCATTGTAGTAGTCGGCCTTGGATGTTCCCCAGTGGCCGTCGTCGTCGTCCTCCGCCTCGTCTTCAGATTGGGCGGTGGTCCCCTCATCATCTTCGGACTCGTCTTCAGTAACCAACTCTTGATAGACCTCCTCGTCAGACGGCTCCAAGTCCCGCTCTTGTTCTTGCAACTTCCTCCTCCTTTTGGCAGCCGGTTCCTCCTCCAGAAGGACCTTGTCTCGTCCAGCGAAAAACTCGTCTTCGGAGTCGTTAAAGGTTTCTTCGGCATCGTAACGATCATTTTGTGGACGTCGGGCAGAGGTTTCGACTACCCGTGCAGCCTTCCTTTTTTTGGCCATTTCGAAGGACCGCCCTCAGGAGATTTGTGCTTGCGTAGATCGCACTGGCCGAATCTAGTGTACTGCCTCAGTAGACTCGCGGTGTCGTGGCCGACAGTTGAAGATGGAAACTTTTTTTGAGTTGCGGGCTTGGCGTACGCAACCGCTTTCGGCGGGCGCTTTACCGAGCAGAAAAGAAAATGCACAAACCCTTCATCGACGGTGGGAAGTCGAAATATGCTTCAGGTGGACCTGCAAGACCCGTTGGCCCCTATGCGGTAGATTTTTGACAGGCTTGCTCACTCGGCACGAGCTCTTCCGCAGCCCAATTGCTCCCCGTGCCTCCCTTGCGTGTCATCTTTTAGCGCTGCCCTGAAGTCGCGAATACGGGCAATTTGACTGAAGGGGACCTCGATGAGCACTAGTCACGGACTCCAGCACTCACTAACAACAGCATTCGTATTTTGAAGCTTGGAGCCTTCTTCACAAGGAGACACTCTCTCTGATGTCTTCGGACTGGTGGTCCCAAGGAAGCTTGACGATCCTCACCGTCCTCGCCCTCGCCCTATCCACCTTGCTCGTCGCCAGAATGGTCTTCCCGTCCAAGAACCACTTCCCCGTCGAGGGCCTTACAGCTATCGTGACCGGCGGCTCCCAAGGCCTCGGGCTGGCCATCGCGCAAGAGCTCTCCGCCCGGGGTGCCAACGTGGCTATCGTTGCGCAGGACATCCCCAAACTCGAAACAGCTGTCAAGACACTCCAGAGCCGTGCCAAAAACGCGCAGTCCCAGCGATTCCTCCCGCTCTCCTTTGACCTCCGCGCCCCGGAATCTGCACCCAGGATCTTGGAGGAAGTCAAGACATGGAACGATGGAGAAGCACCAGACTTGATTTTCTGCTGCGCAGGACATTGCTACCCGTCGTTCTTCGCGGATGCGCCGGTCGAGAAACTCAAGGATCAGATGGACACCGTCTACTGGAGCAGCGCATGGATGGCCCATGCGGCGATCAACATGTGGAAGACACCCTCATCCAAAGCTGCAAGCAATGGGAACAAGTCTGTGTCTCGTCCAAGACCGACCCGCCACCTGGTATTCACCTGCTCGACCTTGGCTTTCTTCCCCGTGGCAGGCTACAGTCCATATTCGCCCTGCAAAGCGGCCATGCGTGCCTTGGCCGATACCTTGAACCAAGAGGTAGAAGTGTACAATGGATCTCGTCAGAACCCGTCCTTGGGTCCCGTTCCCGACGCCGACATGAAAGTCCACATCCTGTTTCCCATGGGTATCGTCTCTCCGGGATTAGAGAATGAGAATAAGATCAAACCGTCCTTGACATTGCAGCTCGAGAAGGACGACAAGCCACAGCAACCCGAGGAGATTGCCAAGATCATGCTTCGACGCCTGGGAGCAGGCGACTTTATGATCAGCACAATGTTCCTGGGCCACTTGATGCGCGGGTGTGGAATGAGTGGAAGCGTGCGCACGAATGTAATGGATGTCTTTTGGAACTGGCTGGGCTCTATCGTCATCATTTTCGTGGCTCCTGATTTCGTCTCAAAGTGCAAAACTTGGGGCAAACAAAAGGGGATGAATGCCACCACAAATGTCAGCTGAGATCGCGCGAACCTCATGCCGAGATACTCGTCTCCTCGGTGACTGTGTCAATCTCCAGCATGGCGCCCAGTGAAGACACGAGTTCCTCTTCCGTCCAGTCACGATCAAAATCCTCACCCAAAAACATCCGGGATGCCCGCTCCGCACTCCTCAACGCTTCAATTTCGTCCTCTCTCAATGCCGAACACACCGCCACAAGATCCTCTCCTTGTTGCGCCAATCCCGCTATTACAATAGCTCGCTCGACAATTTCAGCTGGGACGCCATTCATTGCTGCGCACTGGACGCCGTAGGACAAATTACTGCGGCCCGAGCGAAGATTGAATAGATAGGTTACTTGACTATTATCCTCGCCGGCACAGGGGCTGTCTCTTTCGTCGACTTGGACCTCCATGTGCGCAAATGCAACATTTTTTGCATCGTGGAAGAGTCCCAACTCGAAGATTTCGTGAAAGTGTGTCGCGACTAGCGTCTTGGGTGCTTGAGGTCCCAGGGAAAGCAGGTGATGGAACACACCTGCAGCGAGGCCAGCACCATCAAATGTATCAGTGCCTTTCCCGAATTCATCAATTACCACCAAGCTTCGTCGGGTACATGAATTCAAAGCCATGGCAATCTGTTGCATCTCGATCATGAAGGCCGATTGGACTTTGGACACGGTCTCTCGGGCTGTGATTCGAGTGAGGATCTTGTCGGTCATGCCAATGGTCGCCGAATCGGCGGGGAGGAATGACCCCATCTGGGCCATGTAGACAGCCAGGGCAACCTGCTTCTGATAGACAGATTTACCCGAATAATTGGGGCCCGTCAGCAATATCATGCTTGGTCCTGCAGGATCGGTTTCTCCATTCCCTCCTTCGAGAAAGGTGTCGTTTGGCACAAAAGATGGTACCGTCATCTCTTGCAACAGATGTCTTCCCCCCTTGATCTCGATGATGTTGTCCTCCGTCATTGTGGGCCGACTCAGGTGATATTGGTGCGCGACGTGGGCAAAGGCCAGCAAGCAGTCCAGCTCACCACAGATATCAGACGCAGCGGTCAGAAGATCCTCGTCGCGAAGCACATTCTGCGCCAAGGCGTAGGCAATTTCGACCTCCATGTCACAGATTGCAGAGTACAGATCGCCGAGTTCATGGTCCATCTCGTGCATCGTGGCGTCCTTGTAGTAGGCTTGCGCCGGCGTGGTGAACATGAGCTGCCACCCCAACTCGTGCCCGTCATAGAGCGCCTGGCCTGTGGCCGGATCTCGGGGAACGGTCAGGTGGAAGCCAAGGTGTGGCAGGTAGGTGACGTTCAATTCGATTTGGAGTGTCGCAGGGATAGTCAGCTGGATGTCGCGGGCCTTTTCGTTCAGGATGTCCTCCATCCCGTCATAGACGTCTTTCAACTGGTCTAGGTCCGCGTCCACGCCCCGGTTCACCACCGTGCGATGCTGGTCGATCGATGATTCGCGGTCGACGATCTCGTTCACCATGCGGCCGATCCTCTTGAGGCCATGTCGGTCGAGGGACTCTGCGGCACGCACGCACAGTGGGAGGTGCTCCGCCCCCAGGGCCTCTCTGAGGGTGTCTGCAATGTCGATGGCGTGGTAGCAGAAGCCGAGAAGGGACTCCCAGACGCTGCCTTTGAACGCGTTCTGCTTGGCCCTCCCGCCGTCGATTCCCTTGTGCAGAAGGGTGACGGTGTTGCGCATGTTCTTGATCCGCCCGAGGCTCTTGCTGAGTTGGTCACGCACCGATTGATTCTCTGGCCGGACGAACACGGAGATGAAGTCGAGGCGGGTGTTGATCAGTTCTATATCCAGGGACGGCCGCAAGCATGTTTGCCGGAGGCGTGCCTTGCCTTGCGGGGTTCGTGCGTGGTGCTGGAACAGGCCGTAGATCGACAGCGATTCTTTCGCCCCTGAAGCGCCGGGGCCCTGGTTGAATGCGTTGGGATGAGACTCTGGCTGGATGATTTGCAGCGAGACAAGGGTGTCGCGGTTCACAAGCATGGTTCCACGCAGGTTGAACATCTCGAGTCGGGCGACGCGGAAGGTTTGGTTGGCATCCGGATCTCCTGGGAGGTAGGCGGCCGATCGTCGTCGCTGCAACCAGGATATGACGGCACCAGCACAGCCAATGCTAACTTTGTTGTCGAGATTCAACCATGATGAAATCTGCATCAGCTTGCCCCGTCTCTTTGTCAGACCGAGCTCTTCTGGTTGCAGCCTTTCATCGTATACCATGGAGTCGCCAGGGACGAGAAACTGAGTGGCAGGATTCTCAGCAAAGGAACAGAGCCCGACCAACTTATTCAGAGCATCCTCGTAGTTGAAATCAGGTGTCGGTCGTATCTCGATTTGATACGGCAAGGGCTGGCGGTCGTCGTCTATCCCCCAGTCAGCTGTTCATTCGTCACCTTAACGATGCTTCCGTACCACCGTCCACCAGAGATATGTTTTGGCGTAGCCGAGAATCGGCGGAGTCTGCGGCAGCGTCCGAGCGAAGGGAGAGGATAACTGTTGTCGGCTGAAGGTCCAGTTTCACTGCAACAAGACTGAGATTGTGGTCAATACGAGAGTCAATGGCTCACACATTTGTCAACGACATCTGTAGCACCACCAATGACCTGTTCCATGCACAAGAGTCTCTCCTCGCCCGCAACGTAGTATGCACAACCTATTTCACCTTTGCCCTTGATGTCGACGGCCATGATCACCTGCTCTAGAAAGTCGTCGTCTCGGACCGCAGCAACTTGACCTCCTTCGCTTTGAGGGGAGAGCGTGGAATGGACAGGTGTTGGATGGCCGTTGGATACAGCTTGAGACGGGGTAGCAGATGATGTTCTTCGATTTCGCCTATTTCGAGAGGACCGTGTACACTGTCGACTGGAGTGAGGTCGAGATGTGGCTCCATGCGATCGTCCTCTGGCTCCACCACTGCGACCACGCCCCCGACGAGACGAGGCGCATCCCAGTGCTGATGACGGCATCCCTGAAAGGTTAGTGGGTATGTGTTCACAGAGGGGACATGGAAGAGTAAACTTGAGGAGAAGGGGATATGTATGAGATGGTGAAGGTGTCACGAGGTTTTTGGTACTGCATTCTCAACCTCACTTGGGAACTTGGCACCCAACAACCTCGAATCACGGTGAATTCAGTCATGTGCATTCATAATCTCGTCTCTGTACATTCGCTTTGTCTATCTGGTCATATGCATATGGGATGGTGGATCATTCAACTCTGCACTTCAGCATCTTGCCAACCTCCTACGATGCGTCCACCTTCTGCTCTCTTGACTCGACACCACATCCCGACTTCTTTGTCAGTGATGAACTGCCATAGCACCAAAGGCCAGCTTTTGTGGCATGGCAGAGGCTCATAAAATTCACGTGCAGTTTCATAGACCTCGGGTAATCGGGTCCAAGGAATGGCTGGGAAGTCGTGGTGTTCGTTATGGTACCCAACATTGTAAGTGAGGACGTTAAGTGGACCGTAGTAAGAATAAGTCTCTGGAATGGGCACGTCTTTCGGAACCTTGCCATTCTGTAGAGTGGATTTGGCAAAGACATAGTGCTCAGAGATGAAGTGCGCCGCACACGGGTGTAGAGAACCGGCCAGGAATGAGCTCATGATCAGATAGGACAAAGCCTTCCAGCCCAGATATCGGACGATCAAAATGTCGAAGACGACTTGAGCAGCGATATTGCAATAGTGGATTGGCCCAAAGGGAATTTTGTACACCATCATTGGGCGAACGGCGTAAAATAAGAGCTGGAAGGTGCAGAAGAAGGCCTTGCCGAAGACCGAATCCAAGAAGATCGCTTCAAGTGCTGTAGGGAGATCTGTATCGACTCCATCCACGCCTAGCGACTTGTGGTGAGTCAAATGGTACTGTCGGAATCCGGCCGAGTATGGTACCCCGATGGGAAGATTTGCGAAGATGGCCAGAAGTCTATTGTAGATGGCTGTCCGGAAGGCCAAATTATGGCTGATCTCGTGGATAGCGAGGAAGAGATTCTGGTTCGCAGTGGCGCCGATCACGTACGCCGTAAGGCAGAACCGCCATGAGAAAACAGGAGAGTCCTTGAGGAGGTAGGCGCACAGGATCTGCAACAGAACGACGGCGAGGACGACATATTTCGTCAGCGGCTCTGGACCGCACAGTTGCAGGATTTCCTTGTGTGATTTTATGATAGCCTGCCGCCGGGTGCGGTGAGGTTCCTCCGTGTATGTCCAAAAAAATTTGTCTTCCGCGGATCGTTGCTTGTGGCCCAGCTCTTCCGATGTACCTCTCTCCTCAGCCTTCGTGGTATGCGACAAATTTGCACGACGAGCCCTACTGACGGACTGTGTTTCGGTGGCGGTGGACATACTAGTGCTCGTCACTTTGAGCTCGGCGGATCTCGACAGGTTGGTAGACAAGCATCAGGAGTTGAAGACGAGATATCCCCTAGGAGCAGGTACAAGTCAAGGTCAGTTCAGGCGGTACGGGTGGATAGACGAGTTGGGTGACACCCTTCGAGCTAGACTATATGTGGCTAGTTTAGATCACACTAAAACAGCAGTTTTGACGACACCAGCCTGGCCCATCTGCAGACGAAGACTTCAACCTCACAGGCACTGGACAAGGATGTTGCCTTTGACTTGTTCGAACGTGCTAAAATGCGTTCACTCTCTTCAATCAGCACTCTACTTCCATCGCTTCGAAATACTGGATTTGATGGAGCGCGAGATACAGGTCCGTTGTACAGGAGGCTGGCACTGACAGAACATGATTCTAAATTTCTCGGGTTGAGTCATTGGGATTTGTGTTCCTCGATCTGATGATCTATGGTAGGTAGGATATCTGAGCGTATCCTGATGACGGGACTAGGACAACTCAGAGTCTCATCTTAACAAACGTGGCTTTTCCAAAGCCACCTGTGCACGACGACACGGTCATTCTAGTATAAAAGGTTCTTCTTTCCCGGATCGACACTCTTGGTGAGGAGGTACCGGCTCTCTCTAGGCTGAACCTGCAGCCAGCGAGCCTGGAGACTTGCCATCCGATGCCGTGATTGGGACGAATCCGCCTCCTTTAAACATTTCCCGAATCAGTACAAGCCAATCGTGATGTCACCTCGAACTCGAGCTGTCAAATGGACCTCTGCCTCGAGATCAAGTTTAATGCCGACCATGAGCGCAGCGGGCTTGAGGTTCCCCTTCTCGTCGGTTGCTCCTTTGAGCAGACTCCCTGCAAGATTGGAGCCAGTCAGTATGAGACAGCAAGAAACGATGCAAAAGAGAGGGCCGGAGGCGGCAAATATTCGGTGACAGGGAATGAATAGACGGGGTGAACTGTTGCATGAATGCTTGACATACCCGCTGGTTGCGACAGGTAATCCGAGGTCGGCGGCAGAGGTAATGCTGATGGCCCGTTGGTTGTAGCCAGCGCCTTCCGCTGGCCTGTTGCTTGTCCATCTTCGCTGCCGCTGGAGTAACCCTTGTCGGCGGTGTTGCCGTATGCGGCCCTGGAGCTCGGTCAGACTCTGGAGTTGGCAAATCCTGGAGAAGGATACATACGTGGCAGACATTATGATGGTGTGGGAGATCGGTTGTACAAGCAGAGACTCGAGGTCCAAGGGAGTTTGTAAAGAACAGGGTACGAATTAGGCGATAGTGAGGCGACTTGAAATGTTTTCCTAGTCGTACCAGACGACTCTGCGACCTATAAATTGGAGGATTTGTTTTGTTGTTGATCTGGTGAGAATGAAAATGCATCTCAGCGAAGGCGATATCCTCCTCTCTTTTATCTTCCCAGCAATGGCCAAATCTTGCCTTCTGAAACGCCATCGATACTACGGAGAAGGATGAGCTGCATCGTCAAGGAGAAAGGGGCTTCTGTGTCTGGGGTGTCACTTCACACATTGTTCAGCGATACTCTACTACTACTACATCGCAGAACCTCAAGAGCACGGTGAGTGAGTAGCAGTGGTCTGATGATCTGGGGTGGTGGGTTCGCGGTTCTAGAAACAGGGAGAGTCGCAAGGCTGAGACAATCAACCTTCTCTTGTCGCAGCCTACCCGATTGGAATGTGAAACCACCATAGCCCTTCTTGTTCCAGATTGCACCACCCCCGGATCTCGCCACCTTATCGTGTCAGAACGACTGTGGCCTGACCTGAGCATGGAGATCCGTCAGTGCCACTATACAAGTACAATAACAGGACAGCGATTCCGGGCCATGGCAACTTCACTACACATTGGCGATAAGGCAGACCACCCAGCTATCTCGCGAGCAGAAAGGGGTAGGTCGAGGTCTCAAGCTGCGGTTCCTTCGTACCGTCCCCCGCAGATCAGGAAGAATCAGCCCACCTCAAGGATCTGAAACAGACATACAGTCTCACGCGTCCTTTCGAGCGAGAATGGTGCTCTCCGTGGTCGTGGCGCTCATAACATGCCCGGCAATGCTGGCGACGGCGGAGGCGATTCGCCAGGGCCAGTCAAAGGATAGGCGAGAAGAACACCGCGCCCGGCGGTGCAACCTGGTCGCGACATGCGTGAAGGCATCAAGCAGAAGTCAAGAGATCGATGGTCGACGCATCATTTTGCGGGATCAGAAAGTAAGTGTGAACTTTTCTCTCTCTCTTTTCATAGAGTACGGGTGCATCGTTATTGGGGGCTATGGGTTTGCTGATCTAAATACCCGTCTAGCTCTACGTCGACAAGCTAGTCACAAAATCGAAGGGTCTTGGTAGTGACGATGATCACGATCATGATGACGACGAAGAAGATACAGAGCAGACATGCCTCGGGCATCCGTTTGCGGGGTATTTCCTCCCGTATCCCGACACAAAGTACGAAGGCGTCGTCTCGACAATCTCCGATATCCCGCCTATATTGAACTGGATCTACGTCGACAGGGACACCTACGAAGTCAAATACGGCCTCCGGGTAGATGCCCAGCCCCATGTAACAGGGCCGTGGAATTGTACTAGGCAAGACCGCCGGATGACCCTCGAGGGGTGGGAAGGCTTTGTGGTCGTGGAAGAAGAGCCTGGACTGTGGGCTCTCTATTTTGATCGTGATGATGATGGCCTGCGAGCAAAGATCCCCCAGGGAACTAGGGTATTGGAGGTTGAATTGTGGAGGAGGGAGAAGAGATGGAAAAGAGACCCGGTTCTGCGGCAACAGGAGCAAGCAAAACAAACCACCTGAGGTAGCGGGTAGACGTACAGAGGTAGTCTCGTGTACACAGAGTGGGCTTTGGATCTTGATTGTCTATCCCAGGCTCCCAAAACTGCATAGACCGCCACTTGGAGTACATAGTCGTAAAGATGGTTCAAATTGATCTGAAGCGCCAACACCACCGCGAGCCTCATAGGAACGTGAGCCTGTCACGGTGGAGTTGTGGATTGTCAACAGTGTCAGAGACGTCGACCACATTGGGACCAGATGCGACATTCGGTGCTTCATAAGCGGATATTATGAGCAGAGTGGCCTGATGGGATCGTTCCGAAAGAAGAGCTCAGATGTCGAGACCCACAGCAACTGCGAGAGACAGCCGCCATCCTTGACGAGACTATCGCCTCCCGATAAAATGTCGAGGATTCATGCGGGTTACGGCAGCACCCAGCAACGACGGTAGTGTCAGAGAAAATCCCTCCGTCAGTTGGAAACCAGCAATGGCAACTTTGCGATCGCGGAACAACACAGCTTTCGAATTAGAGGACAAGTGAGTCTCAATGAAGAGACAGAGAGAGCGGTTGTGCCGGCACAGAACTGACGATTCGACGCAGGATTGCGACGAATCCACAAAGACCACTAAGCGTAGACGTCTCGCTGAACAGCCTCCTCGGGCGTTTGGAAAGTGTCGACAAGATCCTTGTGTATGCAGTTGGGGCTTTCGATCGATATTATGTCTGCTGGCAGGACAGGCAGGGAGGATATAGGCAAGGTAAAAAGCAAAGCATTTCGGTCGTCCGAAGGGGGCCACCTTTTGACTGATCTTTTCTTTGCAGAGAGACAGGGACTCCCACGTGTCCTCGATGAATGGCTTTTCCCTCCCAACGGGTCAAGTAGAGACTTCGAGACCCTTCAAGTCTCCCTTGGACATAACGACGAATTCTTCGCCTTCGATCAGTATGAGCGGATCTCACACATCAACACAAATCTGCGAGAAAACGTGAGCAGCATCAACCAGAGATCGCTCATACCGGCTGCGGTAAACGCGTCTCAGGCAATGGCAGTCCGAAGAAAGGCACATACCTTTTCCTACTCGGATGAGGTCCAAGAGCACGATCAGCAACCTTTGTCAATACAACTGCGGAAGGGGGTCAAGAAGAGAATCAGACCACGGAGTATTGCAATAGCGGGAGTGTTGTCACTAAGAGCGCCGCATGAGAGGAAGACTAGCCAGGAGGACCGAGCCTTGAAAGCGTGGCCGGGCAACTCAGGTATAAGCCAGCGTCAACCATCGCCAGTTCGACATCCCGTGTATTCAGACGCCGGAGTCCAGACGGATCCAGTGCAGTATGGGCACCAAGATGCTGCGGATGCTGCACTCCACGATATTGCAACGAAACCGAGAAGGTCTTGTGTTTCTTCCATCTCGTCATTTTCCTCCCTGCTTTCGGACAGCTCTTCAGCAACAATGGATTCAGCCGCCTCCCTTTCGAGCACTTCCTCCATATGCCCAAGGAATCCGATCAGTATAGGGGCGATGAATCGATACTTCAGAGAAAGTCAGTACCGGCTTGGGGACGCTCTTATTAGAGCACCCCCTGCTGGAATTGGTGCTCACTAAGTTGTCATCGGAAAGACGACAGCAATTGTGCAAAGGCATCCAACAAAGATAGACCTTCCTCTGCCCCGAGAGAGCGGTCGGATTGGTATGATATACCACCCTTCGCTCCACACTGAACGAGTGGCTTCGGGACTTCCAAAGGGCGTTGTCCCGTCGATGCAGGAGAGTATGGGATGCTAGCGATAACCAGGATCTGTCTGGAGGATTTCGTTGCGAGTCTGCGGTCGAGGAAGACGGCCACTGGAATTCGTACGCAAACAATGTTGGTCGTGCTCGACCAGAAATCACCAGCTGACGATCTATGAGTTATTCGTCCACCCGAGTACAGGATTCATGCTCTCTTCTGCTCCTCGACGTCTACCCAAGATATGGAATTTGTATATTCGAGAGGCTGATACACAGCTCAGATGATTGAGAGACGGAGTATCAGCTGACCAGCTGGCGATGTCGTTTTGTCGCGAAGCACGAAAGGGGGACCTGGCACAAGACCTTGGATGGATTGAGAAGACGCACAGGACGAGGCTGGATGAGCTTGAGTCAGTTGCCCTCAACAAAATGACACCTGCCTCTTGATCCCCTTTTGTCTTTCAAGCTAGATATCCTTCGGGGGAATGTGTCTGCTTTATCTATATGCGCCATAAGCTCCGAGAACCCGAGTGCTACCAGGGCAATGGATAGTCCCTTGTGTTTGTCGGTCAGCTCCAACCCACATAGAAACGGCCTCGTAAGAAGCCAGTCTGGCCGAGACGCCTTCGCCATGAAGAATCAAAAGCAGCATGCAAACAAACGGAGCCAGACCTACTTCACAATCAAGCTGGCACTGGGCACGAGCTTTAGATCCTTCAGACTCTCCCCAAAGTATTCCTGGTTGAAGACCTTTCTCGGGAAGTTCTGTGTGAAGCTTTCGACGTCCCGACCGGTTTCCTCCCCCACGGCCGCCGCTACCTCGAACAAGGTTGTCTCGACAGGGAAGGTTTTCATGATATTTCCCGTCGATGTCTGCAATCTTAACCGTGTCTCCTTGTACTCCGACGCCGGTTTGGAAACTGCAGGAGCCGCTGCCGGAGGGGGTGCTGCCGCAACTGGGGGGGCTGTCCCGGCTCGCCCAGCCTTTTCCCGCTCCATTCGCAATCTTCGTTCTTCTTTGTCGGCGGCGATCTTGGCCTGAATCCGCTTCTTCGCGTCAATGTCCTCTTGCCTCTCGCGTCTCTTCTTTTCGGCCTCCTTGATCTGCTCCTTGGCCTTGAGTTGCTCCTTGAGATCTTCTGTTTCCTTGGTCTTCTTCCGGCTGATTTGTTCGTTGCGTTTCTTGTCGATCTTGTCTTGTTCCGACTGGACGGCTCGCTTGGCTGCCAGTTTCTCTCTCAACTCTGCGAGCTTGGCCTTTTTCTCTTCCTCGGTCAGGGGTGTGATTTCTTCGATTGATTCCGAGAAGTCGGTATGGCCAGACTTTGATGCGTGGAACTCTGCCTGAGCGGTCCCTCTGAACTTCTTCCCACATTCGTTGCACACAAGACTCCGCGCCTCCTCGGCTGCCTCTGCTGCCTTTGCCTCTGCTGCCGCGTCCTTCTCGGCTTTCAGTTCATCTAGTGATTTTGACGAGTTTGCATCGAGCCAGTCAATCGCGTCTGCCACTGTCGCAACATTCAGCATAGGCCGAAGGTGTGGACGGTTCCGTTTACTTACAACCACCTGTACTCTTCAGTGCCATTTCACTGCGTTCCTTGTCGAAGCCCATCATGACTAGTTGGTCCAGATCAGACGTGGCCATGGTTGTTTTCAGTGTAGTCTATTAGATTCCTCGAGTGGTGTTTTGGACCGGGCCAGGCTGGTGTAGGAGGAAGATCGAGGAAGAGGCAGCGGAACTCGGAAGCGGAGGATATTTAAATGGATGTAGGTGGTGGCGGAATGGTGGCTTGAGTGTGAGGGTGGCGGCGACGGTGAAGGAGAAGACACGGTAGTCAGAGGATGCAGTCACTGCTAGCGATTGTATCTAGAGGCAGCAAACAGTCTACTGTTACAGTCGATGGTGCAACGAGGGTGCGGGGAGGTGACTTGAATTTACCAAGGGACCGAGTTCCATGCGGGACACTTTTGGACGGACGCTGGTGGATTCGCAGGCTAGGAAGACCATTGGGCTACCTCCTAGGCGTCGGGGTAGCTTCGAGTAGACGCCGAGGATGCCTAAGGAAACCAACAGTTAGTGGGCTTCACATATCAGCGTCATCACGCCCGGTGTCACGCCCACCAAATACAGCCCGGGTGTCAGTAGCTCCTTCCTGTAGGCGCCACTGCCCCCATATCTGTGACTGACCCGGATCCCCTGAGTGGCTTTGCGGCCTTATTCACCATTAACCGTCTTCCAGCCTCTCCTAATCCGGTTCTCGATTCTTGTCACGGAGACTGCGCATCACCTTGTAAGGTCGTCATAGGCCTTCCCCTTCCTTCGCCTCGCTAAACTTCCAAGCCTCTGCTGAACAATCCACTCGGCATCTCTATCAATTTGACACGTTCACAGCAATCCTTTACCCTAACATCCTTCTGTCTTGATCTTCTACAACCCTCCAGTTGTCGTTCTCCTCGCCGTAGGACTGCGCATCGTCTCCGTGACAATCTACCATGTCTGTAGATCTCCAGCCGGCCGAATTGGGCTTCCGACGTCAGTACCCTCGCTCCTCGAACACGACATACTCTTACATTTGAGCAGGCCCTTTCAATCGCGAAGTTACCGAGATTCTCAAGCTCACGAATGGCAATAGCCAGCCTGTGGCCTTCAAGGTATGATTTCTCTCCGTCTTTCAAGTGATGCTGCGCAAGCTAACAGATAGTAAACAGGTCAAGACTACAGCCCCTAAGCAGTGAGTTCTGCGCCCGAGAAAGAGGAGGGAACAAAGGACACTTCTCTAATGCTGGGTTAGATACTGTGTGCGACCGAACTCTGGTATCATCGCGCCCAATGAATCTGTCGATGTTCAAGGTATAATTTGACGCTCCGACCTGCACTCCCTATGGCTAATCTCTATAGTCCTCCTACAAGCAATGAAAGAAGAACCTCCGCTGGACGCCAAATGCCGGGATAAGTTCCTCGTTCAGTCCGTCCTCACTTCAGCCGATCAAGATCCCAATGTCACAACGCTCTGGCAGACGGTGGAGAAGACGGCCAAAACCAGCATTCAAGAAAGGAAAATCCGTGTCAACTTCCTCCCTGCCACTGCAGCCACACCCAACGGCGTGTCTTCTCACGAAGAGCAACCGCCGGCCTACTCTTCCCCGACTCCGCAGTTCGGCTCCCCCGCTCAGCAATCATCAACCAACGTATCAGCCGCCGAATCCGTCAAGACATCGGTGGCTAATGCCGCGGAAGCGACTGGCCTCACCACTGCTGCTTCTACTGTTGCCAGCGCCGTCCCCACCTCAAACGAGGAGTTGAAGGAACAGTTAACAGCCGCAAAGGCCCAGATTCAGAAATTGACAAGCCAGCTGCAAGATCCACAATTCCGGCAGAGAAAGGCGCAGGAGGCGAACGAGAAAGTCCAGGCGGTGGTACAGCAGAGCCACGAGTCAGGAGTTCCACTGCAAATCGTGGCCGCGCTATGTCTACTCAGCTTCCTCATCGCTTACCTCTTTTTCTAGAGGGAATCCGTATAGCTTGGATATTGGGATTGTGTGAACCAGTCAAGATATACCCTTTTGTGGTAGCGAACCGCGCCACGCAGAGACGAAATGAGACGAGTAGCGGGTACCAGTGGGTTGTGTGGAGTTGCGCGCAATATCTGGATTGCGCTGGACGGTGGAAGTTCCCAAGGGTTTGCTTCCAGCAATGTTTTGGAAGGTCGCGAAGTGAGATCGAGTATCGACATCCCGAGAAAATGTGTCTCACGGAGACGAGTAATGGAGCAAGGGGCATTCTGTGCTGAAGTGTGTATGGATTTTCCAATGTAAGCCTAGAACAAGCAAGAGCACGTCAACATGCAGGTTTCAGAGCTCAAAAACAAAACAAATACAGTATTGCAAGTGTCATATCTGCCTCTCTCCAGCTGGATTTGCATCCTTGAGTGAAGCAGCAAGCATTTCCTACAGACACCTTGGTCTCTTTCGAAATCCAGCATGTGGACGCATGGAAGGGGGCTTTACAGTTCGGAGATTTCTCTCAATCAAGTACGGATCTTGGACCTATTCTAGGAGGCTTTCTGCACTGTAAGCTTGGACCTGGCGGATGTCTTCATGCTGGACCACCCAACGGGAAGCTAATGGTGGAAGCAACGTCTGCAAGCTACTACTGATGAAGTGCGATTTCAACTTCTGGGATTCTCGTTCTGAATGTGGTGATGGAAGTTGTCTGTGTTACTCTTTCACAACGAGGATGGCTTCTCGACAGACCCCAAAGCCTGTGGGAAGGCCATCCATCGCGCCATCAATCTTCCCATTCTTGAAGCTGTATCCCCAGTTGCATCTGGGAGAGCTTGACGGCTTCACTCAGAGCGGAAGCACCATCTCGCAATCTTTGGATTCCACGCCCTTCCGGACAACAAGCAAGCCCCGATTAGCACAATGGAATTCCGCAGGCGGCAACATGACAGAGGCAGTGGCTGTGCGGCGACGTGACGAAGGCAGGAAGAACATGGCCGGACAGCTGCTCTTGAGTCCTGAATCAAGGGTGCTGTTCGACACGCCGGCCGCCAAAGAGAACAACACGGGGCCTCTGTCTCGAGTGGAGCGGCATCTTGAGCTTCGCCAACAATTACTTACCAAGGGCGTTGCAGGAAGCGTATCCGCCTAGCCACATGTACATCAGTTCCGGCAAGCAGAGCGTCGACTTCCTCAAAGGCGAGCCGGAGGTCGTGTTGTTCACCTGCGGATTCGACCCGCTAAGGGATGCCGGGGTCGAATATGGTAGCAAGCTGCACGAGGCTGATGTAGCTGTTCGTTGGCATAATTATCCTGACTTGACCCATGGATTCTTGCAGATGGCACCGGTGTCGGAGAAGGATGACTGCCTCCGTCGCCGCCGAACTTAATCGGATGGCCTACAACTTGGGCTGACCGTGCAGAGTAGAGGTATATACTCTGTGTACCTGTACGCAGGAGGTGAATAGAGAGAAATGTCGGAGCTTTGTTCCTCCAGCCTCGCTGGTTAAACTCCGGCTGCGGGCGAGGGCAGGTCATAGAGTTCAGGAACAGACATCGAGCCTTGGAATTTTGCTCGGTACTCTACACCTCACAACTACCTTACAATACTTCTTCCCTATAACCCTCCCCCAGACCTGTCTCTCGCGATATCATCGCCGTCTCTCTCTGTCTCTGTCTCCCTCTCTACATAATCACCCGCAACCATGTCGACCGAAATGGACGTGGACACCGCCGCTCCCGCGGACTCCAAAAACGGCACCTCGTCTCCCACCGACACCAAAAAGTCGTCTGCCACCGCGGGCGCCGAGGCTCGCACGGCCCAAAACGCCGTCGCGGTCCGCAGCATCGAAGGCTGGATCGTGATTGCGACCAACATCCACGAGGAGGCCACCGAGGAGGACATCCACGATCTCTTCGCCGAGTACGGGGACATTAAGAATTTGCATTTGAATCTGGACCGGAGGACGGGGTACGTCAAGGTATGTTTCTGGGAACTGCACCTTCTTCTTGTTGGATATGTGATTAGGAAAGAGAGAGAGAGAGAGAGAGAGAGAGAGAGAAAAAAAAAAGGAGTGCGACGGGCATGTTTCTCCATGGCGGCGTGGGGAGATGGGGAAAAAAGAGACATAAAACGCTGTTACCCTAGGGCTCTGTGGTGACTCTTTTTTTTTGGCAATCTAGGGCTACGTCCTGATCGAATACCCTACCCAAGTCGAAGCGCAGGCCGCGATCAAGGCCCTGGACGGCGCGAAACTCCTCGACCAGACGATTTCCGTCGACTACGCCTTCGTGCGGCCGCCGCCAAAGGACAAGGGAAGCCGTGCCAGCGGCGTCGCGACCAAGGGCCGTGGCGCCGGCGGCAGAGGCGGGAGGAGTCGAAGCCGGAGCAAGTCGCGGAGCAGGAGCAAGAGCAGGAGTCGGAGCCGGAGCCGCGACAGAGACAGGCGGAGGGACCGTGACGAGGACAAAATGGACAGGGACTGAAGGCCCCCGACTGACACCGATTTGAGACACTGCCCAGGAGGAGTTTGTTCGGTGGCTTGGAGCTACACCTCTCCTCATAAGACTGAGCGTTACTGCTGGGGATGCACCCTCCAAAACGCAGTCTTGCACCTTACCTGGTGCGCTTGAGTACCGGGCTCGGCCACCATCTCGGACGATCTGCACATATGAAAATGTGGCGCGATATGTCTCAATCGGGCAACACCTCATCCAGCCTTGACGAGAAGGATTGGACACTGCCGATAGTTGATCGGCACCATAGCTTCACCGGCATCGGGTTGGTTTACCCTCTCCCAGCCATTTTACCACTCGTTCGCTAATGGTACCGGTCAGTTTCGAGTTCATCACAAGCATAGCTCTACAACCCAGCCTTCTACCTGCGACGTTCGCATTGGACAGACACCTCGCAGTCAAGGGCTCGTCCAGGAGTTACTCTCTGAGCAATGAAATCAGATTCCATATCAGGGTCAGAGGAATAGCCTGCTGCACGGTAGCTCGCTGGCGCTAGTAGGCCACATCATTATGATTCACGACGCGTTACGAATGGCCGCCTCCCAAGCGTTTTTGGCGGTTCTTCTATCCCAATAGGCTTTTCTTGCGTCCTCGGTAAATCCTCCGCTTCCACCAACGTGTGAGAACGCCATCGTATGTTGATGCTCAGGAAAAAGGAAAGGAAAGAAATGTCTTCACAGTTTTCGCCCCTCTTTGCTTCGAAATTCCATCTCTCGCAGTCCTTCGGTAGCTCATCTCTTCTTCCTCAAGCAATTGACCGTCGGTCACAGCAGCAATTCCTCTTCTCGTTGCGTCTTTACTTCCGGTGGTCGAATCATGTCGACAATTTCCAGGTCGACAGTTGAGTGCAAACTCTTCTTGTTGAAGGGACACATGACTCTGGCGCAAGTGGAGAACTTTGACGTGTTGGGACAATGATGGGCCCAGTAGCAATCGTGGCGTCGGCATTCGGCGCCTTCGTTGCACGGCGTGTTACGAGCGATGTTTCGCAATGCAAGATAAATGCCGTCCGAAATCTCCTCGTGGTCGAACGGACACTTTGTATCGGTACAGCTGCTTCGCATGTGATGCTCATTGCACAATTGTCGATTGTTTACACGCGAATCGAAAGCTTCGCGCTCAGACGCTGTCTCGCGCGGAAGTTTCAAGTCGATGCGCTGCCCCAGCTGGTTCAAAGCAACGGGAGAGCAAATCGGGCGTGCTAAAGGGTTTGGGTCGGGTTTTGTCAAAGCTTGACGTGTGAATGCCGGCGTAAAGTCGTTCGATCTGGTTGCGGCCGCCAAAAGGGACGAGCTTGTTGGCGCCGGTGAAGGGGATGACACTTGGGTCGGTGCTTTGGACTGCTCACTTTGGACCATCTCATCCCACGAGCCTTCAAAATGTCGAGGAGACTGTTTTGGTGGTTGGCCATTGAATGGACGATTTTTTTTCCGGTGCCCGGCCTTCTGCCTCCTACTTTGACTGCTGTTTGGTCTCCTCCACGGGACAGATTCCTCATCCACATATTTGGTTGTTGGTTTTTCCTCCCCCCATGGGTCTACGATCGCAGGTGGTGCGTAACTGTTAGTTTGCGCATTCTCCCAGCTCTGCTCTGCAGCTTTTGAGTGACGAGAAGAGTGTGACGACGTGTCAAGTTTGACGACTCCGACCGAGCTTGAGCCTTCCAATTTGTCAATATCGCCATTTCTTTCAACCTGTGGTTTTGCAGGCACTGATGAGACTGTGGAGCCTGGCTTCTGTATTTTCTCAAAGGTCCGGGCCGGAGGCTTTGCAGCCTTGGGACCACGGGGGGGCGGATGGGAGGGCGGAGCTGGTTGTACAAAGGGCTTCGAATTGCTAAGGTGAGTTGGCAGTGACTGCACACTCGTGCCGCCGTATTGTTGAACTGGGGACGGGCCCATGCCTGTCCCGTTGATCTGCGGACCGATCAGAGTGAAGGAGGTGGCCTGTTTAGGCACAGCTTGAATGACCGAGAAGTCAACTTTATGGAATGGGGAGTTGTAGCCATTGGACAGCTCTTCTCCCAGCCGAACGAGAGACGTCTTTGACCGTGTGTAATCGTCGTCGGCATAGGTCTGAAGGATTTTGTGGTATTCTGACTGGCGATCCAAAGCCAGAAAAAGATGTCTGCAATGGCAGTTTTCGAGATACAATTCGTAAAAGTCTGGACCTCGTTCAGTAATAGCCCCCAAGAGGATCCACTTTGACTCACGCTTCATCTTTGCATCGACAGCATGGCGACCAGCACCACAGTCGGAGATTGTGATACCCGGCTCCAGTTTACCTGCATCTTGAATGAAAGTCCAGAGCTGATCAGGATCGGGAAGCACGCCCGCGATTGAGAGGTCATCGGCCAGCTTGCCAACGTCGATGAAAATGTGCACTACTACCGAAAGGTGGTCGGGCAGGTCATTTTTGTGCTGCTCGCGAGCGAAAGTTTTGGCTTCAGCCACGAGAGCGTCTATGGCTGATTTTGCCCCCTGTATTCCTGCTCTTACAAGATTTGGGTTGAAAAAGTGGTGATTCCCGTCGACGAGGACCATGACATGTTGAACACTCGACTGTGGTGATGGATCAGTAAACGACGCACTGAGAGTCAGGAAAAGAAGATGGACAGACCAGACGAGATTCGGCTTCGGCGGCGCGCTTGTGCCATTGTCTTCGAGACTCGGTTTGATCCTGAAGATCATACCTGAGGTTCTCACATTCTGCTTCTTTAGCGGTATGGAGTTCACATAGTTTCTGAAGAAGTCAGCGGCCACAATCCTGATGAAGGGAGGAGGGGGGAGTTCGCCGCACCTCAAAGACGGCATCAGCCTCGCCGCACTTAGCCCTGTAATCCTTCTCCAACGACTTCCACGCAGCTGCAGGTTGCACAGTGCCGTCTGCCATTGCAGAGGAATGGTCAGGGGTACAGAAAGGGGAAACGAGGACTTGATGGAGGTGGGTGTGCAGCTGGGGGAAAAAACATCCGAGAAGAGCGATATCGTCTCTCTCGAGTATCACGGGATGACAAGGAGGCCAGAGATAGTGGCACAGGCGAGAGATTTAAAATTGAAACGTGTAACCGGCGGTCGCGGAAGGGCAAACACCCCAGCCAGGTATCGCAGCTTCTTGCCCTTTCTCTGCTGCCCACCTCGGGTAGTAGATAGGAGGAGACAAGGGAAGGTACTCCGTACAAACCACGGGAAACAATAGTTGAAAAGGGTAGCGGCATCAATGGGCGACGCAGCCAATTGTGTCGGGCCTCTCCCCAGCAGCAGTGTGCCATAGATCATGTACCTACTCGTCCTTGTATGGGGGGTGCTTTCGGGGAGCTCGCTTAGGCGCAGATCTGGCGGGGTTAGGGGCAAAAAGGACGCCTTCCTGACCGCTAACTAAGCAAGCAAGGTTTGAACTGCGCATTCAAAGACACCCAAAGCGGGTGTGTTTGTGTTTGTTCATTGTCTACCTCCTCGGGAACCTATCTATCAAACAGCATTGTCGTTGCACAAGAGTTCAGGAACATTCCTCGTTGCGTGTAGGGGTCCGGCCCGCAGGGGCAAAAGGCATTCAAGCAATTCGGCGTCCAGAAATTAGGGGTCCCTGCATCCTTACCTGGGCCTGCTGGGCCTGCTGGGCTGGCTGGGTAGCACCCATGGGAAGCCCTCCCCAGCCCACGATAACAGGCGAATGCAGGGTGTAAGAGAAGCCTAGGTAACGCAGGGGCCCCCACCGCACATCCACTCGGACTGCAGCACGCGCATTATCGGCACGGACAACCGAACGATTGGGAGCCTCACACAGCTTAGCACCAGCACGAGGTGTGCAACAAAGAGGGGAAATCGGATGGCAGTCGATACCGAGCCAACCACACACCGCTGCCAAGCCGCACTAACCAGATATCTCCCAGACTAGTAGACAAGCCCGCACATCACGGGATCCACCTTCCGCTGCAACCGCCAAACTAGAACTTGACCTTTCGAAAACTGCGCCCTCACTTCAATCCCTTCAAGAGCAATGGCACCATGTATCTCCTTCCGGTGGGCTTCGCTCTGCTTGATGCTGGAGGAGAGCACGTGTCTTCTTCCACTGCTGATCTTTGCCACCTAATCCCCCTGTATCATCGGCCATGGCTGTCGAGGCGCAAGCTCATATCACCACCTTCTGATTCAGTCCTGCGTCCGACGATGCCACCAGTATTTCGGGCTTTGGGGTGGCATCGACAGCAATGCACGGTCTGCAACTTGAAAGGTCGGGAATTCAGATGACAACATGTGTCCCATCATTGTTGTGAGGACTTTATGGTGGTTGGTCTTCCTCGAAAACACCTCCATGTGTCTTTGGGGGCAACGAGCTGGGTCTGGACCTGAAAGGCATGTCGAACTTCGCTCTCTATCGGCTGCGATATCCTCGACCTCATGGATGTGTTCATTTTGTCGGTCGGCTTTGCGTCGTGTCCAGCCGTCTTCAACAGAGCCCCTAGGGACAGCGAACCGAACTCCTCCAATATCAGCTGCGTGTCGCATTACTGTTAAGTTTCTGATGACCAGTCGACCTTTTTTTTGTCAAGTTATACTCACTCTTTAGGGAACCCTGTATCTAAACTCGCATCCCTTAGGGAAATTGGAAAGCTCTGTCAAAGCTATCAGTTTCGCTGGGCCTCCACCAACTCATCCACTGCCCTCGTCCGGCCTCCGTGGACAACTTCGTGGCGTCCCCTCAGTTTGCTTGGGCTTCATGGACACAGTTGACGGCATGGGCGAGACCAAATGCCAGGCCTGCAGTCATGGTGATGGCAGCGCCTCTTTCCCCAGCCTCATTCCCGTGATATTTCTCATAATACCCCTATATGTTGTTAGCTCCTCTGGATGCACCTCAGTTTGCAGTGTTATATATCCCTTCCGATCCCTCGCACTTTCTTTTGACCTTTCAACGTCCTTTCGCTAACAACAGCTCTCATTCCCTTCTCTCACTTTTGGAAGGACTTTTCCTTCAGCCACTCCTTCTACCGAGATCATTCATTTCGTTCTTGCCCAATGCGTCTTTTGATTTTCGTGGGCGCTTTAGTGCCAGTAGCTGTTCTTGCTGGACCGCTGACGACAATCACTCCCTGTCCAAATGCACCAAGCATATCGGCGACTCCTATTATTGTCACGGTACAGCATCAAAACGTATCAACCTGTGTCGGAACATCAACATGCTTCCAGGGAACTTGTTCTACTAGGTATGCCCTGGACGCCTTTGCGTATGTGAGCACCGTTATCCCAGCCGCATGGGATGGGACTTCGGTCCATGCGACCAAAGTCACTTCTACTGCTCAAACGGTGACAGTGTCTCGATTTCGTTCGACAATCACCAAATTTGCTACACCCACCCAAGCTGTCGTCAGAAATGGAACCACTTCCCATGCTTCTCCAAAGCCTGTCTACCTCACTGTTGCCAAAGATTTTATGGTTGCCTACAACCAAATCGGCCCTTTGGCGATTCCCGGCTATGGCGGAAGTGGTCTTTGCAAGGAATGTAATCTGCAGCAGGATGGAAGCCGGTCCCAGGTCGTCAATGTTATTGAGTGCAGGTCGGGTCCTGTTGGAACCAAGTGCATGGGATATACAGAGACATGGATCTCCAAGCCGGCAGCTTCCTCATCCTCAAAGACAGTGACACCCCTTGCAACCAGATTCGTGGCTCCTTCTGCCGGGACATACACTTTCACCTTCACTCTGACAGCTCCTAGCCATATCATCACGGCCGGAGTCGAAACCATCACCGTTGCCCCGAGTCCTTATTTCCATCAGGTCATTCGTGAATGTCACAGGCCCCGAGAGGTCGTTGATTTCACCGTCCTGGTCACCAAAACAATCTATTGGACTGTACCCTGCAGCAAACAGCCGCCGAGGACCTCAAATGCTGTTCCAATCCCCACTGGCTCGCATGAAATTCCGGGTTTTCGCGAACCAGGCAAAGGACCAAGTTCGTCTCTCAATGATTTGGGTGGCGATCCGTACGACTGGGCTGATTGGGGGAGTGATGATGTGACCAACCCTAGCCTTCCTCTTCCTCAGGACTGGGCCGATTGGACATCCATCTACTCTCAGTCCGCTACTAGGACTGAGTCTTCCAGCGTGCTTCCGAGTTCGAGTTCCAGCTCAACTAGCAACTCTGCGATCAACTCATACACAACGAGCTCCAGCACAGACATCAACTCGGGGACCAATACGGCGAGCAGTTTTTCGACTTCCTCCGCGAGTCGTATTAGTGTTGCTACCAGCAGTTCACCAAGCTCCGGCCTCCCACAGTCGTCAGTAACCACTACCTCCCCCATCAGCACGTCCTCCGCCGCCACTACTGGTGAAGTTACTGGCAGCTTATCCAGCGGCGCCTCAGGGCCATCGGCGACAAGCAGCGTGTCTACTATGGTCAATACATCAAGCTTTTCGGGTGGGCCTGTTCCTGGCTCGACTTCAACTTTAACCTCGAGCTCTAGCTCTTCCACTAGTCCTATTTCCATCTCGGCATCGACTTCTGGCCCAATGTCTGCTTCTGGCTCAATATCGACTCCATCGCCTAGCTCAAGTTCTACGATAGCTTCTAGTGCGTCGGCCACAAGCTCGCCTACCAACGCAAGCTTTTCTGGCGGCCCAATTCCTGGCTCCACTTCCAGTACTGCCTCTCAGACAACCAGCGCGTTGGGTACTTCATCTACTACCTCCAGCTTCGGCGCCGGTCCAATCGCTGGATCGACCACGAGCTCATCCAAACCCGTCCCTTCGAGCCCGATCAGCTCTTCTAGTGCTTCCACTCAAAATGTCTTTACGACTAGTTTGTCTACAACCAGTCAATTAACCGTGACCTCTACGACTGGTTCGGGCCCATCTAGCAGCGTATCTGACTTGAAAACTTCACAAAGCACCTCTTCCATCTCCACTACAGGAACTGTCCCTGGATCTACGACCGCCTCCTCAAGTTTCAGTTCAATCTCTAGTCAGAGTCGTTCTAGCACAAACTCTGAACTTTCAACTCCGACAAGCAGCTCTTCTAGCACCAGCATCGTGCCAGTCTCTAGCTCATCAAGGTCGATATCTTTATCAAGTCCGTCGACAACGATATTGTCAGAAACTACCTCGACTAGCAGCTCTTCTAGCTCCAGTATTGGCACGATTGGCGGTTCAACTTCAGCCTCTGGCACCAGCTCCAGCCTCCTCAGTACCACATCAACGTCTACGACGCCTACTTCGACCTCAACTGTTGCTGCATCAACTGGATCGGTCGCAAGCTCCTCGGCCTCTTCGTTGTCAGCGACGACGCTCTCTACCGATTCGACTTTTGCATCTACGAGCACCTTACCAACCGCCCCTACCCTTTCGTCCACAACAATCGACAGTAGGACCACACCGGCATCCAGCCCGACTCCAAGCCCACCACCTGTTATTGTCCCTCCCGCTGCGAATTTATTCCTTGTCAGCACAAACTCGCCTCTGAGGATCCGCAAGCGAGCCCTACAGTATTTAGGGTTTTCTGATGGTACCAGTAGTCTGTTCAGCGATTCAGCAGCAGCAGCTCAATTCTTCTTGGATACTGCAGGCTATCTACGAGTGGGCTCATTCTATGTCGATGCAGATTTCAGTCAGCCATACATTACTTTATCATTGATTACAGCTATCAATGACAACCTTTCCAAGTGGTCTATTGATGCTAATGGTATTCTGATGCTCCAAGCAGAGGGGTCTAGTTTCTGCACCAATGAACAAGGCATTGTGTTCATCCTCTTCGGAAGTTCACCGCCATTCGTTTGCTTCACGATAATCCTAGAAGCCAACCCCATCAGATCCGGTAAGTGATAGAGACTTGACCCACCCCTTCGAAGTCTCACATATCTTCAGGTACCACAAGCAGCAGCACAACCTTGACATCCTCCACGACTTCGCAAGTCGGATCATTATCGACCTCTGCCAGGACTCAGTCAACAACTAGCAGGATCAATTACTCAACTTCCCCCATCACCGGAACGGGGACATTGTCGACCACGTCTGCATATTCTCGATCATCATCATCTGTCACCGGCGCTGATAGTGTATCAAGTCACTCTAGCACTGTGTCATTGTTAACCACATCGGCAAAAATCTCATCGCCAGGGATATCAGCAAGCAGCAGTGGTCCATCGACTGTCTCCGAGGTTTCTGGATCGTCTGCAACTTCATCAAGTACAGAAATTCAATCTACGTTCAGTTCATCCTTCTCGACAACTTCCTCTGATATCCAATCTTTCACTGCAGCTGCTAGCACTACGTCACTTACCACGTCGGGTTCCCTATTTCCCACCCGTTTTGCTACTGCGACCTTTTCCACAACCACATCGAGTACAGTATCATCTACAACCTCTCAAATATCTCCTCGGGCGGGTGTGAGCTCCTCCAGAGAGTTTGCATCCACAACTTCATTTACAGATGGGCAAACCCTATCGAGGACAACAGCTTCCGGTACATCGGCACTAGACGGACCCAAGAGTAGTGCAATATCTAGCGGTAGCACGGGCAGTCTCACTCTAACAACATCTGCCGCATCTTCATCAACTATGACATCCATAGAGTTAACGACTCCTTCTGCTTTATCAGCATCATCTACCTCTGAAACCACTTCGGACCTTGGAACTATTCCCACCACGTTATCTACGGTTCTGGTAACGATGACAACCTTCGATACCACCTTGCCGGTTACTACCACAACGACAGCCAGTTCTACCGCTCTTTCAGGAGTTGGTGCTCCCTCTACAAGTCTCACAATAACGACGACGTCTTCATCTCAGCCGTCGACAATGGACAGCAGGAATGCGGACTCGACGACGAGATCTTCACTCGAGGGCACAAGTACCACCGTCTCAGAAACAAGCACCACCTCCACCCAAGAGATATCGTCTAAGACTACGGGTGAGTTGGGAACTACTTCGCAGGCAATTTCGACCATCAGTAGTGCGACATCCTTGGTGGAAACCACGAGCCCCTTCAATTCAGCTTTTATCAGCCCGACGACGATCCAGCCATTCTCTACAGTTTCAAGCACCGATAGCAGCGCGTCAGAGCTCTTTGTGACCACATCTATAACGACTAGCCCTTCTACGACTTCCGTGGAGCAGTTTAGCACAAATTCCCCCTTAACGACGAATTCTAGGGTATCTTCTACAAGTTGCTCAAACACTGGGTTCGATACGACATCCGAGGTCATGACGAGCAGGAGCAGCGCAACGAGGGAGTCGACAACCACATCTGGAGCAACATCTGTTGGTAGTACGAACCTCTCATTTGAGCTGCCTCTTACTAGCGCCAGCACGGTTAGCTCCTCGTCGGCGACGATTGATCTACCGTCGACAAGCTCCGAAGCCACAAGCACAAGTCCAGACGAAATCACCACCTCTCCGGAGGTATTGACCACTGCTATTCCCACTACGCTTTTGACAACTACATCTCCACTCGAATTTATAATGACTACCACCGAGGCACCCGTTGTCCATGACCCGACGCCATCGGCGGCTCCATCCCCACCGGAATCGACCACTGAGCCTGTGGCCTTGGAAAACGTGCGACGGGGCATACAATACAATGGCCATCATCTGCTCATTGGCCGGCGTAACTGATCTTTGCCGTGGGTTGTATGATCTTTGATCCCTGTGAGTGAAGATGACGAGGTTCCATTACAGCTTGTGAGGGGTGTATTGAACTCGGACCACGCGTTTCTACGTAGATTGTGAAGACAGATGCTTCTTAGAGCGATGGACTGGGGGGGAGAGGGTATGTTTGGCTCTTCAAGCGGCTGGGGATGACTCGAGGCCGTCTAGGCTGAACGATTAGCGTCGCATTTTCTGGGACGACATATTACCAATCTCATTATTTATATAAGTCGATTTTCCGTTCTGTGAATGCTGTATTTATCATCCTCCAGGCGAGGGGCCCTTGGGGATTATGTCGACGGCCAAGCGTCCACGCTGGCTGAAGTTACAGCACATGGGTTCATGATAATAGCACACAGCAAAGAGCCAGCAGCAGGGCCACGGCACCACGCATCTCTGCGGCTGGAGTCCAGATACGAGAAGAAGTCGCCGACGAGGTCGCCGAGGTCGGACCGAGGAGCATGGCTTGGGAGGCAGGACGAAATGCTCGAGTCCGGCTGTAGGGCACCACGTTGGGGGGTTGAAGGTCGGGGCTGTAGTGGTGGCGCCCAGGGTCGAGAGATACGCGCTGGTATATGATGGCCAGTATCCAATATCCCCGTACTCCAAGCCATATGCCTCGGTGTCGCAGAAGTAGCTGACCCCGTTCTGCACGGCGAGGTAGGTCGCCGTCGTGCCCTCGCCGCTGAGGGTGTAGCCGACGGTGAAGAGCGACGCGCAGGAGGCGAAGTTGGGGTCGTCGCACACCAGCGCCGTCGAGGCCTTGGTGCACTGTTTCTGGCGCTGGCGGGAGTCGTCGTGTCTGTCACCATTCTGTTGGCCTCCAATGGCGACGACGTGAGACACTGGAAGTTCCAGCCGACCGTCTACATCTCGATAGCTTCAACCGTCACCAACATCGCTGTCGCCTTCGCCCTGCTGGAAGGAGTCACTATTGCTTGGTGGCACAAAGCACTAGGGGGATGGAACCACTGTGGGCGACTTGCACCGCATTTGGGCCTTTGGCAACAGCTTTCTCTCGGCTGCCTGGAGCGGTCGCCATTTCAACCTGATCGCGCTCGCCAGCATCCTGGTCGCAGTGACTCCGATCAATGGCTCTCTACTCTAGCGGGCGTCGACAATCACCAACGCCACCGTCACGGCGCAACAAGGACTGGATCTCCAGGTCAATCATCTCGTGCCTCAAGGCTTCACGGCCATTGTGTCGGGTCGATCGGACGAGGTGAATATGCTGGGAGCAGGCTTCCATGCAAATTGCTCGTCCTATTAGTGTGCCGTTCGTTGTCACTCCCGCCATAGGTGCATCCATCTTCCCGAGTCCTGTGGTATTTGGCGCCACCATCGATTTCAACGTCCGCTACAACCCAACGACTGCGACTTTAATTGTGCAGTACAAACCGGCCGCCGGATGCGCTGGAGAACTGTCGGTGACCAACTGCACTCTCCGGGCAGGCATTGTTCTTTACCCCGTCATCATCGATGGGACTACCTCGACGGTCACGTTCGACACGGGCAGTAGTATTTGGGACGATGTCACGGTTGAAAATCCCGACTCTCTCCCCTCCGAAACTCATACAACGGGCACGACCACTTACGGCGGCATCTTCCTGGCGCTGGCCAACCAATATAGCACGAACCTCCAGCTTCAATTCGGCGGCGGCATTGGCTACGAATTCTTCGGGGCACAGAGCGAAGCCTCCATCGCGTATGCCCGCGGCATCGACCAGGAGCCTTCTTGCGACGTCTATTTCACCGACACGCTGGCCGATTTCCTGGAGGGCACACGGGAACTGATTTTCCGCACTGCCGTCGCCGCGGCGAACAGCTCCACAACACAGCACGTCAATGCGGAGGCTTTTGGCAGCCATACCGTCTACCACACCGACTACCTCTTCCTCACCTTGGCCACCCTTGCGTCTCTGCTGGGGATAGGTTCGGTGCTCTTCACCTCCCACGGCTTCTGGCGCATCGGTCGTCGCGTCTCCATGAGCCCGATTGAGACGGCCAAGGCGTTCAATGCGCCTGTGCTGCGGAGCTCCGACTCCAATGCCTCGGCCAAGGCGCTGCTCAACCAGGTCGGCAACAGGCAGGTCAAATATGGCCTTGTCAGTGGGGTAGAGGTACGAGGTGGGGGAGAATCTAATGAGAGTGTCTATCGTGATAGCCCCTCGACCAGCGCCCTGGAAAGCGCCGCCTCACCCCATCCCGCGCGAAGACACTCTGGAAGCGACTTGGAGTTGGTGGCTCCTCACGGCGGCGCTGGGGTGACCAACACTCGGTTGGAGACTGCAGATGCGAAGAAGGTGACAGCCTTGTAGAGATTTCTCCGGGAGGAATGGAAGCAACCACCTATCCGCCATCTCGGTGCAGCCTCGCCTCGCCTCTGTCGTGGAGAAGTGCGGTGCAGCCTTTCGCCCCCCTTTATATCTGGGCGGCGAGGCGAAAAGGGGTTGGGGATGCCAAGCCCGAGGGCCTCACACGTGACAATGTGATTGGTTGCCGTGGCCAAAGCCTCGCCGGTCGATCGGCTGCTGCTTAGCGCCTCGGCGCCGTTAGTGCGGCATTTTCTCTGGATGCCGGCAAAGGTCCGATTCATTTTCGCCGCAGCTTCAATTCCTCGCATCTCAGTCCCTTTTTTATTTTTCCCAAGGTACATACCCAAGGACACCCACCGTCCATCTCCATCGTTCTCTTGAATTGTTGCTTCGGTTCAGGGCCGCTCGTCTCTAGAGTTTCTTGCTCCGTCCTCGTTAGATTCCTTTGCGAGTTCAATTGTCTCTGCTCTTCTCTCCACTCCATCGTAATGGCGACCGCGACTCCCCAGGTCGGTGCTGCTATCCCAGCTACCACCCCCGCGCCGAAACAGCTCTCTGGCCTCGATCTCTACAGCAGATTCGTGAGTGGGCATTCTTCGCTCCATCTGTCCATCTTGCTGATCTATCCCAGGCCTTCGCTGGTGCAGTCTGCTGCTCCGTCACCCACGGTGCCCTCACTCCTGTCGATGTGTAAGTCTCACCCTCAAAACGCGCAACCGACCAGCGCTGACAACTCTCCCAGCGTCAAGACGAGAATCCAGCTGGACCCTGCTACCTACAACAATGGCATGATTGGTGGTTTCCGAAAAGTCATCCAGAATGAGGGTGCCGGTGCTCTCTTGACTGGTGTCGGTCCGACCTTCGCAGGCTACTTCCTGCAGGGTGCCTTCAAGTTTGGAGGTTACGAGTTCTTCAAGCAACAGTCCATCAACCTGCTCGGCTACGAGACTGCCTCCAACAACCGAACTGCTGTCTACCTGGCCTCCTCTGCCGCCGCCGAATTCTTTGCCGACATTGCTCTCTGCCCTCTCGAGGCCACCCGTATCCGACTGGTCTCCGAGCCCACTTTCGCTTCGGGCCTGATCGGCGGCTTTGGCAAGATCTTCAGGAACGAGGGTGTCATGGCGTTCTACAGCGGCTTCGGTCCCATCTTGTTCAAGCAGGTCCCTTATACGATGGCCAAGTTCGTCGTCTACGAGAAGGTCGCCGAGACTGTCTGGCGGTCGTTGGACAAGAACACTGCTTCTGATGGCACCAAGACCGTGGTCAACCTTGGCTCGGGTCTGATTGCCGGTTTCGCTGCCGCCATTGTCTCCCAACCTGCCGACACCATGCTCTCCAAGATCAACAAGACCAAGGGTCTCCCGGGTGAGAGCACCACCAGCCGACTTTTCAAGATTGGAAAGGAGCTTGGTTTCCGTGGTAGCTATGCTGGTATTGGCGCTCGTCTGTTTATGGTTGGTACCTTGACTGCCGGTCAATTCGCCATCTATGGAGATATCAAGAGGTATGTTCCCTCTGCCATCTAATTTCGACCAACAAGTGCTAACGTACCTTCCACAGAATGATTGGCGCGACTGTAAGTTTTTTTCGGGTCGAGAATCGGCTACCTCGACAATGGTCCTTCATCGAGTGGACAATGGGCTAACAGATTTTTTACAGGGTGGTGTCGAAATCTCCAAGTAGACGCCGAGAAGACGACGGATTTGCATGATTTTCAGCTCAGGGTACGGGTTCGGAGCATTTTCATACCTTCTTGCGTGGGCGGATCTTCAGCATGCATATCACGGCATACCACCTCGAGCGACGCTGCGAGAAGCTTTAGACGACCGGAGCATCTCCGAATAGACGGTCCTGGACGGGCCTAGACGACCTTTCTTGGGGGCTGCGCCAAAAAAATTCTTGCATGTGATAGACTTTGCGCGGGTTTGCTTGGGGCTGCTCGAGGGAGGCGAGATTCCGACACGTTTCTCGAGGACCTCAAAAGCAAGACTTTCTAGAATAGACGGTGGATATGTACCAACAATTCATTTAATGGCCCAAGACAGTCTCGGTCTCGACTGGACCTTTCTCTGATCGATGGTGACCGCCATTGAACTTGTGCCTGTGAACGCCGCTCGCCCCCGACTCATCGCTTGCACGTTTGGCCAGTAGTCCCGTGGCGACGACACCCCTCTGGGGAGCAAAGAGATCCCAGGCAGGCAGGCAGGCCTCCCGCCTTCACGAACCAAGAAAGCACCGGATGCCACGCGTGACGGGCACGAGGAGCTCATTCCCGTCGTTTGAACCGGCAGGATCTCTTCGCCAGCGGCACATCCTTGTCCTTGTAGACCGGCGCGGTAAGGAGCTGTGCACCAAGGACCCGCGCACGGAGCGCCCTGATAAGTAGCCAAATCCTGTCTTCTGCCCCGTTCCACTCGTGTGCACGTGCACCTCGAGAAAGCTGGGTGGCTTTGATTCTCGCGGTGATGGGCTTATTGGACTTGGACTGGGGACTGGGACATGGACTTGGACTTGGATCTCTCTCGTACCGGGTCTTTGGGCGAAGGCTGTGCGTGGAGTCGCTGGATATACACATACCTCGCACACATATACATGTACATATGGACATATGTACATATATACGTACAGGAACTCTCTGTCTGTGTCTCTGTGTCCCTGTTTCTCCTTGGCCGAGTGTATCCCCCCTCGCTTCAACTTCTCTCTCACGCACCCAATGGATCATCACCGATTCTCGTCGTCACCGACCAACCTCCTTGACCCGCCGGAACGCGAAGAGGGCGTCGTCCTTCCCCGCGAAGCTGGGCAGGGGCACCTGCGCGACCTTCTCCCAGCGCGGGCCGGGCCTCTGCGCCATGTACTCGTCGACCATCATGTCCCTGAAGCCGGTGTACCCGTTGCCGTTCTGCGTGCCGGCCACGCAGACGACGTCGCCGGCGTAGGCGTCGAGGACCCGGCGCGTGAACTCGCCGCCGCCGCCACCCCCCACGACGGGGTAGACCAGCAGGAGCAGCGCGTGCGGGCAGCCGGCGCGCTTGCGCAGGTACTGCACCCCGTCCGCGACGTGGGTGTCTGGGATCCACACGCTGCGCCACCGCGACTGCCCGCTGTCCACGGCCACCACGTCCAGGCCCAGCCGCCGCAGCATCAGCGTCCAGTACCCGTTGCCGCTACCCATATCGAGTACGGTGGGGGTGAGGGTGCCACTGCCACTGCCACTGCCACCGCTGCTGGTGGCCGTCGTCGCGGAAGCTGTCGCTGCTGCTGCTGTAGCCAGTTTCGAAATCACCTGCAGGGACTCCCACGACGGGCACACGCAGCCAAAGTGGTGCATGTACACGGGCAGCATGTGGTGCGACATCTTGACCAGCGCCGTGTCGGCGTTGGGCCCCGCGTACTCAAGCGCCATGCACGAATAGGCCCAGAAGTCCAGCGACGGGTTCTCGTGCCGTGTCTTAGGGGTCGAACGATTGGATCCATCCTGCTGGGCCGTCGCTGTCGCCGCCGTAGTAGTAGTAGCAGCAGTAGGGGGAGGGGTGGGTTTGAACTTTGGGACCGTGATGGAGGGATCCAGGTGGCGTTTGCGCAGGAGATGCTCCGCGACGGTGGCGCGGAGCGAGCCCTTTTTGGCGTTGGCCGCCAGGGATTTGAGACTGTTGGCCGCGGACTTGGTCGGGTCGAACAACGCGATGTACGCCTGGATGTCCGCCGGAGGCGGGTAGCCCGATATTCTGAGTGAGGGCTGCCCAGGGACCATCCTCGACTCCGAATCGTTGTTGTTACTGTTCCCGGCCCCATCGTCGCGGCTGCTGCTGGCATCTTGGGAATCCGCACTGGGAGCCCCGGCCTCGACGTACCAGGCGTGGAGGCCGTTCGCCCTCCCGGCACGGATGGCCGCCTCCGCCTGCCCGAGATTGACCGACGCGGTGGCGTGGTAGGTGAAGTTGTCGCCCGGCGCGAGTTCAAAGGCCGCCGCGATGGCCGCGCGGAACTCGTTAGCCTTGAGATGCGTATGGATTTTGTCCCAGATCCCCGCGGCCGCGTCGTTGTCGTCCTCGAATAAGTGCGAGGGCGACCACGTCTTGGACCCGTCCGTGACTGCGGGAGGAGAGGGCGCCATCTCTCTTATTTTCCTTACTTACATCCACCGACGAGGAGAGCGCAAAGCTATCGACACATGCACTTGGGAGAGACACGCAGGTGAGGAAAGGGTTCCAGGGAGCAAGATCTGCGCACGACGAGAGGTTTCGGCGGAATGTTGAATGCTGAATGACTACCTCATACTGCGTAGTTGATTGGTAGTTGGGGTTGGAGATGTCGAATTTTGAAATGACGGCATTCTAGGTCATACAAGGCTGCGAGGCTGCGGGTGTGAGGGAGGAACGGGAACACTTGCCTAAGGAACTTCAAATACGCCTGAAGATGAAGAGCGACATTTTCCAATGACAATCCGTGTTGCTACCTAACGCCTCCTACATGCAAAACATCTGACTGGGAGATACATTCTGAGGAACCGAGAGACAGACACCCTTTGGCAAATTCCCTCCTCCATCCCGTCCGTCCACACTTTTCCCATGCCCGAAAGCCTTGTCTGCTAGTCAGAGAATCAGTGGACAACCTGTGCTTCATTGGGGTTGTCGGTGCCGTTGTTGAAACTCATCCTCTTCTTCTTTTTCTTCTTCTTCTTCTTCCCGTCCACGACAGGGACCTCGTGCCCGTTGACGGCCTCCACGTGCACGGCTTCGTTACCTTTCTCCTCCAGCCCATTGGTCACAACGCCGTTCCCGTTCGCCGCCACGATCCCTTCGTCGCTGCATGCGTCGCCACACACTGACTCACACGGGCCTTCCTCAGGGGAGAAGGGGTGCTTGACTCCGTTGGTCTCTGGCTGCGGGGTCTGCACACCATCACCATCCTCGGTCACTTCCTCTGGAAGATTGTGGTCGGCGAATCCGTTCGTCTCGGCAGTGGTATCAAAAATGGCCGTTTCTTCAGGTGCGTGCTCCGGTGCATCCTCGAAGACGGCTGATGCATCGAGTCCGTTCACTTCCTCTACTGCTTGCTCCGTTGGAGTGACCGCGGGAAACACCTCCTCCATGAACTGATCTTCTACTGATGGCGTCTCTTCGGCTGCTGCTTTGACTTCTGGCTCTTGTGCGCGTTCCGCATCCTCTTCCCAGAAGGGATAGCAATCTTCTTGGGCATAGGGACATCCATCACACAGACTCTGCCGACGTTTGATTTCGTCGTGGTTATGGAAACGGCAAGACCCGGTCAAATAGTCCTTGGCCGTCCACTCCTTGTCGCTGGATTTGTGGTGGTCCCAGCCAAGATCTGGGTTGCGCTTCCAGGTCCTTTCCCATGCATCACCATCGATACTAGACCTCGGCAGCTGTCCCAAAGCCGCCTTGATCACCTCTCGGAGCGGACTCTTGTCGGGTGCTGCTTGGTAGATGGCGTCCACAACGGCCGCTTCCAGTTTCCAGTCATTGTTTGCGAGGTTGTGGCGGATCATGTCAGTCACCTGGTTGCTCAGAGCCGAGACCTGGTACTTCCAGGCAAACACTCCAAGTTGAACTACTTCGCTGAAACTCAACCTATCATCGATCTGAGGATTTGGGGTGAAGTTCCACACAAAGAACTCTTCCATTGTTTGGGGGGCAGTCTCGGGGAGCGCAATTTCTCTTTGGGAGTGATGGGATGGGAGCCGGGCGATTTGATCCCTGAGAGTCCGCGAGCGACGTTGCAGAAACTCTTGAGGTATGAGAAATCTCTCAATTGGGCCGACATCTTCACCGGCTAACAACTCGACCCGAGGACTCTGACACCATCTAAGGACGGGTTAGCAAGACGGTCCAGGTGAGGACGACTGTATCAACTGACCGGACGTATAGTCCACGGTGACGAGGATCCATGGCTCATGAAAGGCCTTTCTCAGCCCAAGAACAAAATAGCATTCATGGAATTCCAGATGGAATGCAGACAGAAAACAGCGAAATGTATACTTCACAGGAAATCTCTCAGAGCACGCGATAATCCCTGTAGAGCCTCAAGCTCGGAGTCGTAAGGGAAGAGGCAAGATCAACGTCAATGGCCAACCCTAGCAAGCGATGCGTGGAAGTTTGTGAGTGGCGGAAAGAAGTGAAGCTGAATTACCTAGACCTTGAACGTGCATCGACCGTCCTCGCCTTGGTAGACTCACCGGTAGATGGCAGTTCGCGTCATCCAATCATGATTTCATCTGGCACAATTCCGAACGGAATGCACCTGTGAGGAGACAGACTCGAGCGTGTTCCTCACCGATGACATGGGATATACATGCGCTGATGTACTGGTAGACCAGATGGATTGAGTAAGAGAGGGGAGGGTCACTCCAGCAGTCTGCAGCAAGGAGCAGCCACGGAGCCATGGGTTCCCGCACTGCAAGTCGAAAGGTGCACTGCCAAACCAGTACTGGGGGCTGTCTGGGTTTGCAGATGGATTTGCCTCCCAACAGGGCAGTGAGCAAGGGATCCTAGGCTTCCAGGAAGGCGGGCAGGAATAATAATTCCAACCCGCAGGGAGCAATGGACGAAAGGACTCGGGTATCAACTGGACTCTGCAGCAGATGTGGCGGGAGACTCTCCTCAGAACTCCATAGAGGGAGTGTCGGTGTCGGTGGCTTGATCGTCCATGCCCATCGATGAGTCGGGCTTCGTACGTGTCGACTCGGAGGGCCTGGAAGGAAGCATTTCTTGCATGCCCAAAAGGCAACCGAGACTCTGCCCACGTTCTGCCCAAATGACGGACCCGGGCACATTGGGACATATTGACTGGACTCTGGGCAACAACAATGGTAACCATTGGGTGCTTTGTTCGGGCATCAATCGACGCAATGGGAGCTGTTTCGTTGACGCAAACACGGCGTGGCAGCCCGCAATGCGCTGGCCATGCTTGCCGGGCCCATGTCAAATGACCTCTACCGAGAAGAGATCTGGAGGGCCGGATAACAATGGAAAGCCCCCAGGTGGATAGAGGCCAGCCACGGGGCCCATCAGCCCACAAAAATCCATCTGCATCAAGGGTGCATTAGCGCAAGGCAACACACGGAAGATATCGTTTCGCAAGGCGACTGCTCCTTGCACTTTCAATGCCCGAAACACACTGCGGCGAGTCGAGGAAGGTGTCAGGCCTCATGCGATTGGGTATCAATACAGTCGAAATCCGTCAGAAGTGACTCTAGATAGTGCTTAGCCATGAGGAGTCTATCGAGGCTGCACTTGCAGCCCTTTCGATACAGAAGTGAGGCTCAAATTCACAAATCCTGGCGGTCGAAGCGGTGGATACTCGCTAATATAGCAAAAGTTACTGTAGCCATGTAGCCGAAAACTGATCCGAATCATTCGAGTAGCGAACTGACAGAATGCCCAACAGCCAACCTAGCTTACAGTCAACCAGCGCGGTCGTACAGAGTCATATCAAACATGGTCGAAGAATCCTTCAGAGAGTCCGCGTAAGCCTGCATAGCTCTGGTTCTGGCCCATGACCAGCAACTGGAAATTGCTCTTGGGCATCAAGCCGTCAGAGGCACCAATCCCAAAGTTCTCATCCCGTTTTCCAACACGATCTGGAAGCATTTGTAGAAAGCCAACTTGGCAAGGTTTCGAGTGGAGCCTTCGGCCTCAGCCTCGTCTTCCCAGACATTGGGCAAGAAGTCGATGATGTTGAACAGGAATGTCAGAATCTGAGACGATTCCAACCTCTCAAAGGAGGTCTTCATGATTCCTGGAAACTGGACGAGAAGCCTGAGGATGTCGGCATAAGAGTTGTCTTCGCCTTCGAACATGCTGTAATCTGTGTTTTCTAGTTCTCCACGATCGATTTCGACGCCGCTGAGTTTCGAGCCGAGCTTCGTGTACCACTTTTGGAGGTTCAGGCCAGTATAGTCACCTGGGTTTGCCAGCTTGTTGAGGTCAAAGTTGAAAGTCCCACCTCGTCTGCTTGATAAGTCATCAACCATGAGATTGATGGCACCCAGACCGTCATATACTTTCGCCGGGTCTTGCTCTGCAAAAAGCTGGGCTGTCTCTTCATCCGTGTCCAGCGCAAGCTTGGTAGCGTCGGCACATTGGTCCAGGATGTCACCTAAGAGAAGGCCGCTTGTTCCTTCCTTCGGAGACAGACCATGTACGTCGCCAAAGCCGATGTGGTCAAGTCGCTGCGCCAGATCCGACCGGCCCATCAAGTCAAGGACCTTGAAGACTTGTTGAAAGTGTGTAGTCTGCCGCACCGAGACGACATAAATCATCTTGTCGAAGGAATACTTCTTGCTGCGCTCCAGGACCGCGGCAACGTCCCTTAGCAGGTATGTTGTCGTCCCATTACGGAACCGCGCGATGGCTGCGCCGTGTTTTTCGTCGTTCTTGTTGATATCAATCACCCAGGCACCATCGCTCTCTCTGTAGACGCCCTTCTCTTTCAATGCGTTTTCGACCTCTTCAATAGTCTCGTGAGAGACATCCGACTCACCCGAGTAATCGTCGAACCTAATGCCGAGGCGTGCATAGAGTTCGGTGTACCGCGCAATGCAGACTTCGCGGAACCTTCTCCACAAGTTAAGAGCTTCCTCATCGCCGTCTTCGAGCTTCTTGAAGAAGTCGTCTCTCTCTGCTTCGATCTCGTGGCTCACTTCAGTGGCGTCTTGCCCCTCAGGAACATGCTTAGCAGTTTCCTGCTCTTTTTTGAATAGTTCCTCAATCTGGTTATACACGTCAAGTAGATGTCGCAGGGGATCAGCGTCGAACTGTTCGTCAGACCCGAACCGTGACCAGCCTGCTGCCAGAAGTCCAACATGTTTGCCCCAATCACCAAGGAACGTCATTCTGGTCACATCCCACCCCAGCCTCTCGTAGATAGAGGCAATGAACGCTCCAATGATCGTACTTCTCAAGTGTAGGCCAGTAAATGCTTTTCCAAGATTTGGCGATGAGAATTCAACAATGACCTTGTGGCCCTGTGCCTCTGCCCCGTCCTCGACAGGAGCTTCGGCCAATGGGCTGTTGCCATACGAAGATCCGCGGTCAATGACATAGGAAAGAAGCAAACGCGCAAGGTGGGTGTTCGAAAAGTAGAACAGGAGGTTAATCCCATCGTTGACGGGGTGTCCAAAGAGGGGCGACTTTGGGAACTGTCTCGAGGTTAGTCACAAACTCGTAGGAACAATATTGTTTCAACGAAACCACAAGGGAAACTGACTCTTTGCTGCAAGTCAGCAGCGAGGTCTTCGGAATCGACGCCCTTGAGTCGAAGACGAGGCGCCACGACCACCAGATGGGTCATGTCATTCGCCCATACAATTGACTTATAGGCAATATCCTTTTCACAATCCGTGAGTTGCACGATGAGTTCTGCGAGATGTGAGAAGTAGATGGCCTGTGGATTGGTATAGAGTTCCTTCGTCGCCGACACAAAGCTGGGATCTTCAACGCCCATGGCTTCCAGGAAGCCATAGAGGCCCTCGGTCGAAGTTGTAGCCATCTTGGCTGGGTGCGTAAATGGAGAGCAGTCGTAGAAGAGGGTGTTGCGGCGAAAGAGACATTGGTACTTGAAGTATCTAGCAAGAAGACATAGTGATGGTATTCCCAATCCATTCGGCGAATCATCGCGTGACACCCGTCAGGTTGTTGGAGGGGGTGAGGCGCCAACGACCGTGCAGGAAACCATTCAGGCACATGCTTGTCCGGGAGGAAACAAAATGAGGAGACTCGATGATTGGTGGTATCATTGTGACTATTCTAGCCTCACCCTTGGTTTCTCGAAATCGTTGTCGATCGTATCTCAGATCTTCACTCGATCCTATTGCTCCAAATGGCTGCTAAATGCCGGTGCCACCCAAAGTAAACTATGTTGGTACATGCTGCTAGTTTCCACCTTCGAATGTCGGCAACGCACACTGCGGATTTGGTGGCCCAAGGGTCAGACCTGTTCGTGGTGCGAGGCCCATCTTTCATAGGCCAGTCGATGAGTGGGCCAACTCCCTGGTCAATGTTTCAGACAGAGAAGCTCGCAGTTGCGGCTGGACGGCCACTTTCTTCATCCGTTGGGTCATTCTTCGGTTGTCGGGATACTCGCACCAAGCTAGACAATGCGTAAAAGTATTGTGCAGTCAAGGCTATCACCAGCCGCCAACGACAAAACCACGTCGTGTGGACGAGAAACCCCAGGCAGGAGAGTATGGCATTTAAAGCCAGAAACGATCCAAATGTTGGAGGGATGAAAGGAATGACCGTAGGCCGCATGGAAAAGACGCTCGACGACAGCGCGACCGGCGTAACGAAGATCATCATGATCCATGAAAACCCCTTGTTGTCCTCGGCTATTCGGTTGGCTTCGAGGCTAAGTCTTATTTGTTGGTTGCTCATTTCGCGAACTTCCAGGTCGAGTTTGAACTGAAGCTCTTTGGTATATTGACCGCACCGATCAAGGAGATGGTCCAGGGTCTCTTTATGTTGACGTAACTCATCGAAAGTCTTCTGAATCGAAGGAAGCGACTTGTTCGCATGCGGGAAACGGAGCCCTCCGACGAAGTTGCCAGCTCGCTTTGAACAAAACGGTTCGTAACTTTGGACTGTCTTTGATAGGGTCTCGTTCAACTCCTTGGCGAGGTGCATGACCCTCAGCACCCAGTCGAGAGAACGGCGGAGACCTTTGGCAGGACTCTCGTCCTTTGAGGGGTCACTGGGCGCTGGAGAGCAGAGTCGATATTCATGTGTCGAGTGGTGGTGGCGAAAGCTCGATTTCAACTTCATCACCACCCTCCTCCACTCTCGTTCTGTTTGCGCAAAGCGAGTTTTGAATACCACCAAGAAGTATTCCTCAGGATCCCAGATTGGCCGGTCCGCGTCGTTAAGCCCGTAAGTCAGAGGATCTGCACGCATGCCTGCCACGGGAAGCCCGTCTTCATAGTATTCCCACACGTCCTCTCTGGACTCGTCTTCAGGATCGAAATAGTAGGTGTCGAGAAAAAGCCATCCTGTCCATCTCGACCAGTCCAAGCCGGCAATTACGCAGGAGACTTGGGCGTCGTAGAGGTAAAGTTTTGGATCATTGTCCTGCCGATTCAGGAAAGAGACCTCCCGCGAGCGTCGTAAAGGATCTCCATTCCGGTCCCGGCGATAATCCGTTTGCGGAGACTTCGAAGTCTTCAGGGCGAAGAATGGTAAGTGAAATGCGAGTTTGAACATTGGAAATCCTTCCGTGATGGCGGCTAACTCCAAGGAGGGTTCAAACTCCAAGTGATGGTACAACGCCCCCCGGAGAGCGGAGGCTTGGTTAGTAGAAGCTGTTCGTACAATGGCGTAAATGCTGCGGCAGTCCAGGTCCGTGATGAAAATGAGACGCCTGTCAGCATCCGTCAAAGTCGTTTGGCCTTTGGTGGCGGCTTGAAAAGCGACCGGGCCTGCTGAGGGAAAGCGAGGCCTTTCCAGTTCTCTCAACAGACCATACACTGTCAGAGGCATGCAATGTGTTCCCGACTGATCGAGCGGGCCCTCCAAGTTCCTGTCATCCAGCCAAGCGATCAATCGCCGTGTCCCATCTGGGTTGAATTGGGCCTCGAAGAGAGAAGCAGTGCTCATTCCAAAGCAAAATTCCTCAACTCTGTCGGCTCGTGGCAGGCAGCCTGGTGATTCCTCGGGCTCGCGCATGAAGATTCGGACCACCTTGTCGATATCGTCTTCACCCGACTCGGCTCGACCCGTGACGTGCGATTTGTTTTCGACGCCGAGTTGGATGTTTCTGCGTTGTCGAAATATTTTCGGCCAGTTCTTCAGGGCCTGTGCCGGGAGCGCATAACGCAGAGGTTGAGCTTGACTTTCATCTCTGCCGCCGGATACTCTCCGGTGTTTTGGCTTGCGCTTTCCCATGAGGGCGACTAATCCTTCGACTTGGATTCAGGTGCATGCAAGGAGATGTGTGAGAGATGCCACGCACACAGAAGAGGCGGGCAGCAACACCAGAGTATCAGTACCATGGTTATTTTGCAGTGGCTGAATAGCAACATCGTGGGCAGCGTGAGAAGGTACTTGTATATCGACACCGATGACATCCCACCATTCGATCTGGGGCGCGCACCACGAGTGTGCAGCTTCATCGGCCGTAGGGCTTGGACGTTCGAGATCTGCAATCTGCGAACGATAGGTCATGAGAAGACAAGCCCCCAAAAGTAATGCTTGTAGCAAATCAAGGGCATTGGAACCAACAAAGCAAACTGGGAGTAAGGCGCGCATCTGGGAAGGCATCGACTATCCTCGGCCACACAGATCGCTCTCGCCAGAAGGACTTGGGCTCCAAAAGCCGTGGTGATTGGTTTGTGGACGACATGCCACGCCGATGGAAACAACCCACTCTTCAGCGTGGGAGGAATTTTTGAACAAGAGAGAAGGTGACGAGGTGACCAGAGGCGCAGGGGCAGCAAACGGCAGTGGACCTGCAGTGTCGACCCGAGTCCCTCCAAGTTTGAAGCACATGACACTAGGTACAGCTGGGAAGCCAGTCCCGATCGATTCTCAGCATCACCTGGTCAGCTGCTGGTTTCCCTGGTGCCCTGGTGTTGACGCCGACTAGTTCCCTGGTATGTACCTTACAAATCCGAGATGCTCAGCTATACCGGTGACTCAGGAGGATTGCGCGCAGCAGGCACCTAGACCTCGCTCTATCAGCCTCGACACTGCAAGAGACGTGTCCGTCGAGTTGTTCGGGCATCATCGTCGTCCAAGCCACACACCTAGCAAAGTATCTCAGTTGGGAACCCGCACCGAGCAGAAGCAATGCGTGTGACCTCGATTAGGTGCAGGCCCGCCGTAGTTAGAGACGTGAAGCGCGACTTGCCCAAACGCCCAACCTGACCGACTTTCGCGGTATCTACGCCCGACGGAATCTGGTTGCCTTGTGGTCAAAGTCTACTTCATACCTAGGCACGGGAACTTGGTCTTAGCAGAAAGCGCCGGGATTCCGCATGCCTTCAATCTTACGCCGGGAATGGTGCTGTCGACAACCTTGCTCTGTCTTGGTAAACATCCTGATTCGAATGCGCAGCTGGCTCGTAATAGTTGTGGATACGAGAACACGGAGCGATTCGGGTGCGCGACGATCCAACCGGGGTCCAAAGGTCTACGCAGCTCCGCGAGCAGAAAGCATCGAACAGGTTGTTCATCTGTCAAGAGGCGGGTAAAGACTGCAAAGCAGATCCAACTGCGTCATCCGCTGCCCAAGTATGACTCGGCGACTCTTAACCATAGCAGCGCAACAAGTTATATGCACAAGGTGAGACGTCAGAACAATGATCAAAGATAAAGAGCAAGCAAGTCCCTTTGAAACCCTCCCAAAAGTAATTACCGAACTAATTGTTGGCCCCAGAGTCTTGACCTCTTACCACAGTTATCCCAAGCCATTCTAAACAAACGCCACGAACTCCCTGCCCCAAGTTCTAAAGCAACATTCCAAACCGAGGGTATACTTGCAGTCACAAAGCACGCAGGGATGTCGACTCAAGACGTCATTGTAGCGTTGGCAGTCACGGAAACAACATTGGACCTGAGACGGATTCAGAAGAGCATTCGGACCGCGAGAGATCGTGTCTATTCCCTGTCTTGCTTGTGGTTTCCTCTCGAGTGATAACCTTACACCGCCGCAGTGTCTTGTCCTGTGCCTGCTCTTTCTTGTCGCAAGAGGAATTGCAGGAAATCGCGTGGAGCGAGCGTCACCGACCGGTAAGCTGGGAGAAGGGGAAGAAAAGGAGCCGTGCAGAAAGAGAGTCTCGCGTCCGAGGTCGTGGTCTATCTCTGCAAGACTTTTTCACACTTGCAGTTGCTGCAGCGGGTATGGTGGCAGTGAGGACAGTGCTGTTTCTGGATGCTGATCGGCGTCTGTCCACAGCGACAGCAGGTGTACACGAACACGACGTTGGTCTTCTTCTTGGTTTTCGACGGTGGCTACTTGCAACAAGTCAACGCGGCTTCTTTTCCAGGGACCGTGATAATTGGCGCAGCCAGTCGTGACCGACGTGCTAACCCTCTGTACTGACCATTTTCGTTTGTGTAGGAAAACATATGAGCGAGGTGAGTTTCTGCACAGATATCCCAGGCCACGAGCTGGTGCATACCCACGTCGGATCGCTGGAGCGTTGGTGCAGACGAACCAGGTGGTTTAAAGGTGACGACGAATGATAGGAAGTAAAGCCCCAAAAACGACGCCCAACAAGAAAGAATGCGAATCACACAAAAGGCTTACTGTCCACAAAACACCCTGTCCAACGCGGTGACGCCCGATAAAGACAACATTATGGATATTGGTAACAAAAGGAACACCAATACATTGAAATTCCAAAATCAAATGAAATTGAGGTGGTGACGGCGCATTGGTGCTCCGTATTGGGTACTGTTGACCGGGGCCACAACACGCGCAATTTGGAATAGTTACAACTCTAGCATCGCAGAATCCAATCTAGTTGCCTTTGCCCAGTTTGCCCGGATTGGAGATCCAGAAATCCAGAAGCCCGGGTGCAATTCTGCTAATAAGAATCAAGACGATTACAGACCTATCTTTCCTAACATAACAAGATTGTTGGCACAGCAGTCAGATTTCAAAACATGTCCTTCTCTCCCAAGATCACCCACCTCTCAAACACTAGGCTTGACCGTTCACTTGTACTCCGGGCAGAGATCTCCTGCGTACCGATTGGTCCGCAATGTTCAGTCCGCTAGAAACTGCCCGTAATGAGGGGCCCTGTGTTTCCTGCTCGCTACAGCGACCACTGCAAGATGAAGGATCAACTGTGACGACGCACGGCGGACCAGCTTCCAAATCATCCAGCGGTTTCTTGCTCCATCGGAGCAGCTGTGGCATATCGTATTTCCCAATGCATAGTTGCAAAATCCATAGTTGGGAGATCCAAGACTTGACCAGCGGCCAGCGCCGGAAGACTGTTGTATGCACCAGGAATCCGACGGAGCAGAACAAGGAAAGTAGCAAAATGAACCATGGAAGCATTAAGCCAACATGGGGAAAGGAAATTGTTTGCATCGAAAAGGTGCTGATAGTGAAGCCCATTGGAGAGACGTAAATCTGTGGCAGTTGGATCCAAGTCAGGAACATGCTGCTCTTACATTGTTATTGGAGAGGAACTGACCATCATGATCCAGGAGAAGTAATTATTGTCTCTTCCCTGCTGGTTCTGTGTTTTCCCAGCATTGACTCCTTCTAGCTGGAGATGAAGTGCAAGCTGTGAGGTATTGGAGTTAGCAACGCGCCACCAACCATTTTCTCAGATTGAGAAAGATGCTCGCCTTACCTTTTTAGAAAGGGCTTTGCACTTGACACGGAGCCCTGTGAGCCGCTTCTTTAGCAACTTCAACTCGTCGAAGATTGCTTTAATCTCAGGTAATAAGATCGGCTCATCTCCCGATTGTGGGAGTCCGTGGAAGACAGCTGAATATTTGATGTCCCAGGCTTCGTTTGCATCCACCATCTCCCCCAACGTCTTTTCCAACTCCATTGATGTGCCATCCGTCTGTGTTACCCAATCATAGTAACGAAGAAGATTTGCACTGTGACCCGCATCCTCTTGGGAGGACCGGCAATCTGTTGGTCGCGACAAGAGGCAGTCGTGGGACTTCCGGAAACCAACGACACTTTCCTCAACTCTCGTCACCACCTGAGACCATTCACGTGCTATTCGTCGAAGTCTATAGCTGAATATGGTCAGAAAGTATTTTCGTGGGTCCCAGATCGGATCAACGTCTGCGTCGGTATTGCCGTAGGTCAAAGGATCTGCGTTCATGCCCTCCGGGGTATCCTTATCCTTGTGGTATTCGTGGACGGTTTCCCTTGCCTCATCTTGACCATCGAAATAGGTATCGGCGAAGAAGTACGCAACCCAATGCCGATCATCTGATCCGGATATCACACATGTAAAATGAGCTTTACAGAGGAATTGAGGGGGATCTTCGCGTTCCCGATTGAGGAATGAGACATCCAACGTCTCTCTCAACGGTCCACCGCCTGTGCATGTGCGGTGGTCTTCACGGCGAGAATTTCGCCAAGCATAGAACGGCATATGGAATGCCAGCTCAAAGTTGGAAGGCAATCTTGACGAAATATTCACAGTAATAAGAGCCCGGCTAGTAATGTGGTGGTAGAGAGCGTGACGAAGAGGCCTCGCTTGATGATACGACGCAGTTTTCATGAGAACAGTGGCAGTTTCGGAATCCAAATCAGTGATGAATATCAAACGCCTCGCTGCATCCGGTTCGTGGTATGGTACTAGGGCCCACCTCAGACCTACACTCCCGATAGAAGCTTGGTGCCGGAGGCCGTGAAAGAAAGGAGGTGTAGATGCATTTGAGGATGTTTTTGTATCAAGCCTTCGACGTCGGAATCGTGGTTTCGTTAATTGATGCGAGAGCCCTTCTGCGGTAAGGGGATTGCAATACGCCCTTGAGCCACGTTCATAACAGCGTTCGTCCAGCCAGGCACCATAAAGGAGAGAAGTCCCGTCTTCAGCATCATCAGGTCGGATGGTTCTCTCAGTCGTCCCATTCAAAAAGCTTCGGACTCTGTCGACCTGGAACGAATAACCGTCCGTGTCGTCTAGGTCAAGCATGAAAACCTCTGCCAAGTCTCCCTCCTGCCCAAGCCTTCTCTGGCGTGTGAGATAGGTTATATTCTCGTTCTCATAATCGAAACCATCTCGAGGGCCATTGAACTCCGGGAGCCAGGAACTAGACCAAAGAGTCAGGTCGCTGTCGACGTTTGCCAAAGCCCGGAGTTCCTGCTGGTCCGGCGCTGGTTGCACTACGTACCTCATAATGCCAGCCAAATCTTAGTCTTTGGGAAGAGCGCAGCAGGAGTTACAAATCGTTTGAAGATGTTGCCGGTCCTTTCGATGTCTCAGATGCCTCAAATGTACAAAATTGCTGGCTGCCGCCGCATTATGTAGGTTGAGCAGCGCTTCTTCCGAAGCCATTTGTTAAAGCTCTTTGGTGCCGATGTGATACAACGGGCCCCAGTCCCTATAGGAAAGAGTGCGTGCATTTGTGAAGGCAAAGCAGATTTCTAGATGACAACACCATTTGCTGCTTTGCGTGAAGTAAATAGCCACGTTCTCGTGGACAATGGGTCGTGGTAGATGGTGGTTCGCGTTCGGCAAGTATTTTGAGCCTCACCTCTTAGAACCAATATTGTCACCCCACGTAGGCACATCAAATTGGGTGCACTTCTCTTTATCAGGCACCAAAACTGCATCCTCAGCTAGTAAGAAACTGCCCTGAAAAGGCGTCTGGCAGAAGGTCAAAAAGGCGACCATGACTTCGGCACGAGCAGGCGTGGCCGAATCTAGCGCTGGTCAAAAGGAGCCTCTTGTCATTTTCCTTAATGCGCGTTCCCAAGCTCTTCTTTGGCTCATGATATTCTCGCAGCCCAGCCGATAGTAACGGTGAGGGAGGGGTTGACTCTCGGGGCGTGGAAACAGCGAATATCGGTGCTCAGAGGAGGTCCAATGCGCGGAGCATACTGGGCGCCGTGGCAGACGAGATCAACAGCAGTTTGTCAAAGTGCTGAGGCGAGAAGACGATCTCTGTTGCTCGAGGTGATGGGTGATCAAACAGATTCGCGAGATCAGACTAACTGGAAACCTTAAGGGATGTGCCGCATATGCGCGTCAATCTGCTGCGCTTTCGCTTGCCGCCGCGCATCACGCATATTTCCCTTTAGGAAGCGCCATCGTGGCGGCTCGAATGCGTGACTGTCATCAATTCATTCGCTACAGAGATGGATTTTGTCTCGTCTCCCATAAAAGCATCAAGATAGATCTCGCAGACACAGTAGGGATTCGGTAACCACACACGCAGAGCACTCCACACTCAATGTCTTGCAACTTGCTCTCAAGTCCCTGTCGGAGATTTGATAGTATACTTGTCGCTTTTCCTGCGCTTCCGCTCTGCTCTTCGCTCAGCTTTGGCGCCCGCACCTTCAGTGACGGCATCGTTCGGTAAGACAGGTTGCTGCGGGTTTTCCAGATCTGCCAATGCATTTCGCTTTTGCTCCTTCTTCTCTTTTCGTCGTCTCCGCCGTTCGCGTCTCTCTTCTTTCGTTTCTACTCGATTCGGCGGTGGCCGCCCCTCGCTGTCAACGTCGACCGGGGTATCGACCTCTGTGACCTCAGGCTCAACTCGCGATTTCCGCTTCTTTTGTTTCTTCTCCAACCTTGCCTGGAGGTACTCGCCGACTTGTTCAAACTCTGCAACAGGATTCTGTTTCTGCACACGCTTGCAACGCTTCTCGTCTTTGTCACGCAGTGCAAAATATGCGCCAGCTTCTTCGAATTCTGCCGCAGCTTCTCGGTTCTTGGATGCCGTGGGTTCTGCAATACCAGCCCGTTCTCCATCGTCAAGGGCATCGCTCTTCCGTTTCTTCGAAGTTCGTTTTATGTCGCTAACTTTACCAATTGTGCCTTCCATCTCTTGTCCCTTGACGAAGAAGCTATAGAGTCCGCCGTGTTTCCCAGCACCATAGTCGTGTGCAATCGGGGTAGCCGTGCCACTACTCCTCTCACTCTCGCTCTTGCCGATGTTCCCCAATGCACTCTCGAATCCTTTAAGCCACCACTGATTCCCAGCCGGCGGTTCATGCGCCTTCTTTCCAACGCCGAATCGCCCCTTTCGTTGTGAAATCAAGAGAGGTTTTACCAGACCGACGCCGTTATTGCCGACCTTTGCGGGATCGTAAGCAAGGCCTCGGTGCCCTTTTTGTTTGTAAGGCCTCGAGTCGAGAGAGTGGCCAGGACCTGCCCAGCCAAGGGAAAGAAGATGCGCATGGGCATCCATGGAAGGGGAAGTGGCTGGATCTAGCACCGTGGTATCATAGTTCAGAAAGCCCACGAGAAATCAGCGACTGAGAGGGTCGTTTATGTTGTCTATGCCCAACACCAACTCAGGCAAGAAATTTGAACTGCGGAAAACAAAAAAGTCTCTGGGCCCACCGCCTCGGCCCTTCCCGTAGCACCAGCAACTGAATGACTAATCACATTTCAGTCACGTGTCACGTGTCTTGGCAATGAATTCTCGTGTCTTTCAGACTGTCAACTCAAGTCCGAATTGTCCTCACCCATTCACCATTCACCATCGCCCTATCAATGCGCCAACAGCTCCCTCTTGGGCGTTACCAAGATCTTGACGTGATCATCTTTATGGTTGACTAATTCTTCAAACCCTTTCGCCACGACGTCGTCCAATGCTATTCTTGCCGTAACCAGTTTCTCGAAACCCTTGAATTTTCCTACTGGACATCAGTCACAGGTCAAGATATCTCAAGCAGGAGCCTTTACCTGCCACGAATTCGTCCACAGTTTGTTTGAAGTCTTCTTCAGTGTAGCTCATTGAAGCCCTGAAGATAATCTCCTTCAACATGAAATGTCCCATTGGCACAATGCACTGCAAGGATTGGTCAGCTATGTGAAGCTCTCCGATGGGAATGGGGTCATTATACTTCTCTCTCCCATCCGGCGACGTTAACGTATGTCCCGCCCCGTCGAAGAGCATCCATACCATCTTTGAGACCTGGCATGATTCCCGCACAATCGAAAACAATATCCACTCCCCTACCGTCCGTTAACTCGCGACATTTCTCTGGCACATTGACCTCCTTGGGATTCAACACCACGTCGACAAACTTGGCTGCCTGTTCTTGCCGCTTGGCAGTTGGCTCGCTCACGATGAGCTTTTTGACTCCAGAGGCTTTCAACACAAAGATTAGAGCTAGCCCAACAGGTCCGCCACCAAGTACGAGAACAGTTTTATCTCGATAGTCGTCGAACCCAGACTTTTTTGTTGCATGCCTCGCTACCGTCAACGGCTCGATCAAGGCAGCTTCAGACAAGGACACCGAAGCGGGCAGGACATAGCACATGTCCTCTTTGACTGCGACGTATTCCGAATAACCTCCCCCGTCATTGGACTGGAGCCCCAAAAAGCCCCAACTGTTGCAAATATTCGTGTCGCCGATATTGCAGGAATGACAGCTGGAACAGAAAACTCGCGGGTCGACCATGACAGCCTGGCCGATTTGTAATTTGCTGTTTGGGCCAACCTTGCTCACTCGACCGCAAAATTCGTGACCCATCGTCACAGGCAGGACTGCCCCAGTCAGTGGATGGGGTGCCTCCTTCCTGGGGATAACGGCCGGTCCTGGCGATTGTTCAGGCAAGGTGTCGAAGATGTCACTGTTGGATACTACGACTTACCGACCAGATACTCGTGCAAATCAGAGCCACATATCCCGCACCATTCGACTTGGACCAGGACTTGACCGTCCCCGATCTGTGGAACATCCACTTCCTCCACCCTCAAATCGCGTTGCCCGTGGTATCTTGCGGCTTTCATCATGTAAAGATCTTTCGATGCTAGTGATCGATCGAAGCAAATTTGAAGCCAGGTTTCCCTTTCGACGTAGTGAGACTGTGCACTTTCAACGCGCCGATATATGCACCACTACAACAATGGAAGGGATTCTTGGTTCCTGACGAAGATTCTACTGATTCAGGGACTACCGAGGTGCGGCGCCGACTCTTCCCCACATTTTCCTGAACAAAGTGGCGTTCCTAATATTCCAGATTGTCATGACGAATGCTGTTTGGTGAGACTACGATGACTGTTTCGACCCGCAGAACATTCTTTGACTTCAGGAGCTGGACAAGAGTGTCATGCCGATTGTGATTCGACATAACAATTGGTGAAGTGTACATTAAGCCTTTCCTTCTATATGGCAATACTTCTGCTTTACTAAGGTTCAGCCTGCGTATACACGCACATTTCCAACACCGTGTTAGTCAGTCTATTGTCCAAGGTACGTCCTCGTTTCTCATGTAGGGGGCTAATCTTGAAGTATCTTTCATCACTTCAGCCTCCACACGACCATTGCCGAGGAACGACCACATGTTCTTGTTGTTATATCGAAAATCATAATGCTCCCACCGAACAAACTTGATGGTTTTCATGTAATGGAGCGCCTATTACAATCAGTCTTGTCCTCGTCGGAGACGCCTGTTACTTACCGAACCACCCCAAATCCACAGCTTACCACCGATGATATTGTTTTTATACCAACTGGCCTTGTTAGTTAACGGGTCTAATTCGGATATCCGTTGCGGACCTACCTCTTGCACTCCGTGTTCCAGACAGAGCCTTTGTGCCATTCGTCAATATGCTCATACAACTGCTTGACTGGCTCCATTTTGACTTCCAGGGCTCGAATGTTCTCCTCCTGCATCCTCTTCATACACTGGAGGATGTATTCGACTTGGACTTCATGCGATGGAAGAGATGTCCCAGAGGCCCAGTTGCCGCGAACACCGTTGACAACAAAATAGTTGGGGAATTTGGGCACTGTGAGGGCGAGATAAACATGTGGTTCGGGGTTGAACTCATCCGCCATACTGACGCCGTTTACTCCCAAGACCTTGAACGGCGGGGCAAACGCGAGGTTGAATCCCGTCGCGCAAACAAGGATGTCGACCTTGTGCAAACGACCAGCATCGTCGATCAGTCCTTCGGGCACTACCTTGACGATCTCGTTATGGATTGGCGTCACGTCTGCAGCTCGATTAGCCGATATCGACGATATGTCGGGCATACTAACTGTCTTTGACCAAAGCCTCGAGATAGCCATCACCAGGAGTTATTCTTCGGCCTGTTCAAATTGTCAAAAGTCGGTCCCAAAGCGTCACATTCGACATACAGCCAGGTGCCCATTTTGGAATCAATCTCTCCTTGAGTTCCTCATGTCCTGGTCCGATCCGCCGGTGCATTTCCTCTCGCATCAGCTTTTCGGCCCACTTGGATGTTTCCGATCCGGCGATAAACATATCAAACAGATTGTTGACACTAGATTCGAGTTTCTTTCGGTATTCAAGCAAGGCTTCTGGATCTTCGCGAAATTTCTTCTTGTCCTCTTCGGTGTACCAGTATTGTGCCTGGGGAGCCTGGGTCTGACTCGAGTCTGATGAATGGCTCTTGTCCTCTTCAAGAACTTGGGCCCCGACGGGTGGAGAAATCCAGGTCACAGATCTCATGAATGTGATCAGGTGTTTCGCTTTCTTCTGGACCTGGGGCACGATTTGAATGGCGGACGACCCTGTTCCAATTACTGCGACCGTCTTGTCCGTATAATCAACCGCTGGCAAAGTCAGTCATGAAAAAGGTCGGCGGCAAATGGAAAAAGTACATGTGTCCCAATTTGCGCTGTGAAGAAGCTTTCCCTCGAAGTCATGCAATCCTTCGATCTTTGGCCCTGCCAGGTGGTCAATATTTCACTTTTGTTTCTGAAAGAGGCGGACTCACACTTCCAGTCGTTGAGAAAACCGGTGCCGTTTATAATGACATGGCACCAGTCGTTGATCTTACGCCCCCCAGCGTCAACCTCAACCTCGTCTATCTAAGGTCAGTTCCTGGGGAGTCATCGTCATTTCGTGTGGACTAACAGATGCCTTTGTCCTCGACCCAAGTTGCCGATTGAACTCTGGAATTGAGTTTTATGGACGGATGGAGATCGTACTTGTCCGCGAATTTCTCGAAATACTGCTTGATCTCGGGCGCATAGGCATAAAAGCTCGACCACTCTGGATTCGGCTCAAATGAATAGGTATATGCATGTGCGGGAACGTCACAGGCGCAACCTGGATACCGGTTCTCAAACCATGTTCCGCCAATTCCGGAATTCCTTTGGAGCCGTCAGCTGGCATTTTTATGCATGACGGAAGGTGAGCACGAGCTTCTCATAGCAGATGAATTCGTAATTCTTGAAATCTTTCTTCATCTTGTAGGCCACCAGCAGGCCTGCAGCACCGGCGCCAACACAAATCACCCGAATGTAATTCGGTTTCGAATGCCATTGCGGCTCAACCTTGTAACCGAGCTCACTCACCATGTTGGATAGAACCGAAGGCGGGATCAAGGAGTCACGACGACTGCAAGGAAGGGGTAACAATCTCAAATTGGTTCAAACAACCACCCGCATTCGCCACTCTATATGGGCTTCGGCAAACCCTCCCAGGAAGCTTCCCTTGGGTCTTTCTTTCATTCAGCTTGACTGCCCCGCACAAGGGGTCAACACTACTCCATGACTTGGCAAGTATCGTCAAGACTCAAGAAGCTATTGTGATTCAGCATTTTCTGACAGGTCGCCAATTCACGCCACTGGAAAGAGGTTGCCGGCGTGCCGTGTGGTTCAACCAAATGGTGGACGGGCCTATATGGGAAAACCGCGGGACAGCAAGTGACATGACTTCCTGTGATAGCACTAAAGGTTGGGTTCCCATCCGAGGTTCATACAAGTGCTAGAGGCGAGGGCAAGCGGAACACCCTCAGCTCCTAGTTGTGCATGTGGAGAAAGCGGGGACGAGTCCTGGAGGGCAACAAGGCTGTGCCCCAGTTGGGGCAACCTAGGCACGAGAGAGTGGTTGGAGGTGTGTTGCCCCATGCTGTTTGTGCGCAGTCATTGCTTGGTGAGTCTGATGCTGATAGGGATGGTAAGAGAAAGAGAGAGATACTGGTTGCTCGCTCGTTGATGAATCTGTACAACCTCCGTTCACCAGCGACATAATTCCAGGAGCCTTGCACGTTTTACGATCTGCGAGACAGCCAATACTTCGCGATAGCAGCTCTGTCTCTAAGCCTCGGCAAAGATGGCCTTTCGCTCGGGACCAGTTGCCCCTGGCATTGCCTTTGTCACTGGCGGTGCGCGAGGGCTAGGGAACGCCATTGGTGTATCATTCGCAAAGGAGGGTGCCAAAGGCGTCTGCTTGGTTGACATCCAGGATGAGGCGACGTTCGAGGAGGGCAAGAAAGCTGTTGAGAAATACGGTGCCAAGGTAAGAGCTGCTACTGTGAAGGTCAAAACCCAATGCAACGAAAAGGGATAAGGAAGGCTCCAAATCAATTCTAATCATCCCGACTCACGTCATAGGTGCTATGCATCCGGGCCGACGTGACCAAGGAGGAGGACGTAGAACGAGCAGTCAACGAAGCAGTCAAAGAATTCGGACGTATCGACTATGCAGCGTCAGTACACCCTCTGTCTCCTTTGCCCCGAAAAATCCTGCCAGTGGGTAGTTTGACTCCAAAGAGCACAACTGAGAGAGCCACCCAGCAACTTCGCAGGTATTATCGGGCCCCTGACCGAGACGTGGGACACCGACACGGACCAATGGAGGCGAGTGATCGAGGTCAACACCGTCGGTGTCTGGCTGTGCAACAAGTATGAGTTGAAGCAGATGATGAAGCAGGACTCAATCCAGGTGTAAGTGGGAAGGCTGGCTGTCTTGCTCTTCTCTCACAAATTCCCCTGGGCCCCAAGGCTGAGGCATTGCAAAACAGCGAGGAAGGCCGACCCCGTCAACGCGGCTCGATCGTCAACTGCGCGTCCGTCAATTCGATCCAGGCCGGCGCTGGCACGACGGGATACTCGGCGTCGAAACACGCCGTGATGGGCATCACAAAAGCTGTAAGTGCACTTGCTTCCTTCCCTCTTACCATCATAACTCCCAAACCCGCCCCGCCCTCCGCCATCGCTCTCGGCAATAACGCCCTTCGTTCCAACAACCCCAGGCCGCCCTCGAAGCCCGTCGGCACGACATCCGCATCAACGCCGTCTCGCCGGGCTTCCTCCTGACCAAGCTGCTCGACCCCTTCATGAAGCAAGGCAACGGCGAGCTCGCGGCCAAGGCGTGGGAGGAGTACGAAGCGCGGCAGGGCCGGAAGGCCACCTTCGACGAGATCGGCGACGTCGTGGTGCTCCTCAGCACCCCGCGCATGAGCCTAGTGGTGGGACATAACCTTGTCATCGATGGGTAAGTAGACAGCGATCTTGACATTGGTTCATTTTCCTTGTCGCTAACCCTGATGCCACTTCTAGAGGCTTTACGATCAACGAGAATACATACTAGACAGATCTCGTCCATTTAGATCATGCATGCGCCTTTTAAAGAGCGTTCGTCTTGAAGACTCTCTTTCTTTATGGTAGCTGCTTGTATGTGATGAGCTTGTGTAAAAATATGTGCCTCCCTCGCAGCAACAGCGCAGCATCGGCGACATGGGCATTTCAGCTCTTGAACATGGGACTAGTTTGAGCATAGACCCCATGCTCCCACCCCTTCCCGACTTCGGATCCACGATCCTGAGCTCCGATCTGCCGTCCACTCTGACCTGTCTCTATTCGCAGTCGACGGTTTAAGGGCGTAGTTCCCTTTGTCGTGCTGACGTATACGCTGGCCACCTCTTCAGACATGACGGCACGAGACTCACGTACTCATCGCGCTGTGAAGGCGTGAATTTTCAATGCAGCATCTGATGTCGTCTGGTAGAGACACATCAAGTTCCTTTGGTCAGGCGACACAGGTGATTAAGGTGTACCTGCCCTCGTACACCTTTAGTTCTAGACGTGTTCCTGCGTGATAATTGCAGGTAGTGCGCAAGGTGCCCTTTACGTGGAAGTCCTCGCCAGCAGTCCCTGCACATGACTTGCCTAGGTCGTCGCTCATCGAGTTGATCGGTCGCTGGCGGCGAGAGACGGATCCGTATGGCCAGTCGCGGAGCTGCTGCCGATATCTTGGACCCGAAAACGCATCACTTGGGGGGCAGTCTATCGAAGAGCGAAACCCACCAGATGGGTGACTCCCTTTTCTCACGTTGACCAGCTCGCCTTCGGAAAGTCCATGGTCCCTTCAAAAGCCGCGATGTCGTGCTGCATCTCGGGGAACTTCTTGAAGAAGCCCGGCTTCATGGTCCAGTTCTTGAAGTTGTACGCGTACTCGAGGAAGATCTTGGATACTTCGTAGCGGTTCTGGACCGGATTGTACGCGAAGATATCACGGTCTGAATACGGCCAGTAGAAGTTGAAGTTCTCGACAAATGCGGCTGAGAAGTCGCCGGTTGACGTATATTTCTTGTGCTCGAAGACGAGTCGATCCCGGAGTCCGGGCCTGGTTTGCATCACAGACCTCTATCAGCGTTTGTCTCCCTTTTTGGAAGCGAGGGAAGAGAGGGGACAAAGACTTACCATATGAGAAAATCTATGACCGCTGGGTGTTGCACCCTTTCTTGTGATGGTCTGGCGATGGTTAGCAACGCATTTTTGACCCCCTGTCGTGGGGAAGGCATACCTAGGCCGTAGAAAGACTGGCACCCGTTCCAGGTTCTCTCGAGTCGGATTCTCTCGGTATTGGATCAGTGTCTGGCAGACGTACATCAAAGCGATTCTCTGCGCCTTGGACGTCCATGTGCCAAACACTCTCTGGTCAACCTGCCGCAGCGCATTCCATACAGGGTGCTGAGCTTCCGGACCAACATTGTCCCACCCCCAAATGGCGGCCTTGAACGGCACGTGCATGTCGAGGGTGGCGGTCGATGCCGTGTGCTGCTTGACGCTGTCTAAGCAACTGATAAACGCTCCGTTGGATACGTGCCATTTGTCGACGTCGGGAGCGACCTTTACAACAGCATCTGACGAAGGAAAGCGATAGTCGAATGGAGAGGGTGTCTGTGGCTGCCATCCATTGAAGCCCGTGGTACTACCCATCTCAAACATCTCAAGCAGCGAGTTCGGGTTGAAGTCGAAAAAGTCCTCAAGGCCTGTCACGGAGCCCATGGTATCGGGTTGTGAGACATCCACGTTGAGGCCAAGGCTGTGGCCGTTGATCACCTCGGTGACCTCTGAAGTGTCGGTCGAAGAGACGGAAGTGTGGCGAAATGCAGCATTTGGGTCTTCGAATGCCGTAGCAGGGGTGGCCGCGGGGAATGGTGTCTGAGCACAGGTGCAAGCGGACTGCATGTTGCACCCGCAAGGCCTGGTGTCTGGTTGAGCCTCACTGGACGAGTCCGGCGCCAGCACGGCCTGGTCAATGACGGTGCGCATCTTGACCAATGCATTTCGAAGGCGATTGTTGTCATTGCGCAGGTTGTCGATGATGCGCGTCAAGTTGGTGATCTCGCCGTCCTTGTCGCCGGCCTCGAGGCTGCTGAGACGCTGCTCGAGATAGGCGATGCGGTTCTTGGTCCTTTCACGCGTGGCCCGTTGGGCTAGGCGGTCCTGGATCCTCTTTCTCTCCGCTCGGCTGTCGTCGGTGTCTCGCCTCCGGGACTTTGTCGATTTGGGCGTGGGCGCTTCCATCTTCATGACAGCGGACTTTCTTACTCAGGAAGACAGAGAGGGCACACAGGTCCATTAGATGGCAGGTTTTCTGACTTGATATTGAAGAGTCAGGAAATGAATGGAAATGGGAAAGTCGGCACCTCGCTTGAGCCGGAGGAGGGGGGCACAATACCCGAGGGCAAAGCCTCCCAGCTCCCAGCTTCAAGCCAGGAGGGTGGCCAACTTAGCAGAGGCACCCGAGGCTCGTGGGGTCGTGGGTCGAGAGCTACTCGTACACCTCCTCGTCGTGTGAGGCCTCCAGGAGCCCAATATCCGCTTTTCCCCGTGTGGGGGAGCCTATGATTGCTTGGATATTGGTGGCTTCAGCCGCCCCAGATTGCCCAAAGATGGCTCACTAGGCCAAGGAGAGCCCAGGTGGCGAAGGGGGGGGGTGGATGTAAAAAGGTTTTCGGGCGAGAGAGGCTTGTCCCCAGGGGGCATGCATATGGCCGAGGACTGCAGGAGTGGCACATGGATGGAGCACTGGCCCCCAGAAGGAAGAAGTTCGATAAGGGGGCGATGCGGGACGCCAGCATCTTTGCGACAGAAAGAGATCTGACCAGCTAGGCGTATTCCTGGGGGAATAGTGAGCGCCTCTCTGGTCTGTAACATGTCGTCGTCTAATTTCTGCCTTTAGATTAGTGCTGCCTTGGGGCAAATACCTTGTCCTAGAGTCCTCGGTGCCTAAGTACAGTGCGACTCTGGCAGGGCTTTCCAAGAGAGTGACTACCTCGTAGTTTCCCCCCGAGACTGTCGCTTATTCCCATCGTAATGCCCTCGCGCCCCCTTCCGGCCCTCGACTTCGACAACTCCGCCTGCTCAAGGTCGTTATACACCCCCAGAGATGGAAACTTCTCTTCCTGGAATTGCTGGCTGGCTGACTCCCCCTCGCTGCTTGTTGTTGTTGTTTCTCTTGCTGTTCAGAGTCGAGCTTAAGCAAGAACTGGGTGCAAAAGCGCGGTTTTCTGGGCGCGAACGCACACAAGCAGAACATCCTCACCGTACGGACATTGCTGTTGGCATATCGCCGTCTCGCATCCCCGTGGGAACACGCCTCTGTTAGAATTTGTACGGGACAGCGTATGAGGCGGAGTGTCCCTTGCACGTCCCGCAGAACTCAGGTCGTACATAGCAGGGCGAACAAGTACCTACTACAGACGGGGGCATGGGGGCATGAGGCCCTGTGGCCCAGGTGGCGACCCCTAATGGTCCCACAAACTCAACATCCCGCTGGCTTGCCACTCCCCGGTTGTGTCTTCTCTACAAACCTCCCTCAACACCGTGGGCATTGGTTTCGCATTGCCCAAGAGCAGCTGCTAAGACTCATGTACCAAGGCATCAAAACCCTCTTTCTGCCTCGATGGTGATAATTACGCACGGAAAGAAATAATGGATGGGGCCTCTATTCCGAGCTCCCCTGCGTGGCTTCCGACGGTGAACCGGGCATGTCGGGGCTGCAACAGGCACGCTGCTGCCAATGACCATCTCAATTTACTCACTGACTATCATAGGAAAAAGATAAAATGCAAGTTTCAACCAGCCATCTGTACCGGGTCTGTAGGCCTAACGTTGACCTCCGAATCAAAGGCGACATGAAACGACCAGCATGTGGCCTCTGTCAAAGAGTAGGCATGCAATGCTCGTTTCCCCTTCGGCAAAAGCCTTCGAAACCTCGAAGTGGTCCGAAGAGGGTTGTTTGCAGAGAGAACTTTATGAGTTCGCTAGCAAGAACATGCCATTCAAACGGTAAGCTGTTGCATCTTTCCTATGTCCATTCAGCCTGGCGTTCTTATTGCCCACCGGCTTCAATGCTTTGACCTTATAAACACCTGTGTCTCCCCCAACGATCATTCAATGGATGAGTGAACCGCACCCTTGCATCGTCTGGGTTCCTTTGCTTAACGCTTCAGGTCGACCACCATCGGAGAAGACCAGGAAACCGGAGGAGGGAAGCAAGGGACATCCTTCGTTTATTCAAGATCGTCAGGGTTTGGTCCCTTCCCCATGCTTCTCTCGCACGCCAGGTGAAGACGAGCCGACGGACAACGTGATCGAACCACGAATAATGCCCCTAGCCTTTACTCCGATGAATGGCCCATGGCCCTTATTCCAATCACAGAGACGCAAGAATGATCTTTCTGGCAACCTCAACCCTGAAGATGGTGGTTGGCGCCTTTCCCCTGACTCAGGTGCTCACTTGTAAGTTATGTCCGATTGTCTGTTGGGTGTGGTCTTACATTTGCAGAATGCCACAACGAAAGGACTTGATCGAGACATATGCACAACAGCCAAGCGGCGTCCACTGCAGCACTAGTCAATCCAGCCCTTCGTTGAATAGCCTATTATATACGGGTAATACACTGTGGCCCTTCGACCTTTTCTCCAGCCTCGCAGACTTTGGACTCGAGAACGTGCCCGGCTGTGTGCCCAAGATCCAAGAGGTCATCGCTGTAGGTGACCGAGAGATTACCAATTCTGGAGCAGATTTTGGACTAGGAAACCGTGTTTCCTTGTACTGAGGGAGCTTGAAGGCCACAATCACCCTCGCCATCCATCCCTAAAGCTCCCGCTACATCGACTTGGACCAAGAGACAAATCTCCAAGTCCCTCAACTTGCCCCGAAAACAGGGCTTCCGGCATTTGCGGCAACCGCGACCGTCTTCGAGATCAGAAATTCCTCGACCGCAAATCTGCTATTGTTTCTGCCCCAGCCACTACCTTTCGTTCCGCCTAGAGGGACCGAGGCCTCGTCATATAGCGTCATGTTATTCAAAGCAACCAGTCCGACCTCCAACTCTTGAGCTAGCCGGAGACCTTTCAAAATATCACGCGTGTGGATGGCTCCTGTGAGGCCATAAGAACTGTCGTTTGCTATCCTGATGGCGTCGTCTTCGTCTGCGGCAATGAACACTGTTGCTGATGGGCCAAAGGTCTCGAGATCATAAATGGGGTTTCCAGGCTTCACATTGGCGAGGATCGTTGGCTCGAGCGCAGCACCACTGTCACCTTGCCACTGGTTGCCACCGATCAGATATGTCGCTCCGTGGTCCGTGGCGTCAGAGAGCAATTTGTGTGCTTTTTGTGCCATTGCTTTTGTCACAGCAAAACCGGCGTTACCTTGAAGGCGTGCAACCGCATCACGCAGATGGTTGATGAACTCGTCTGCCACATCTTGAACAACGATGATTCGCTCAGTCGACATGCAGATTTGTCCGTGGTGCATAGTTGCGCCTTGAGCGCAAAGTGCCGCGGCGTTTTTCAGATCGGCGTCCTCGAGGACGATAGCGGGAGCCTTGCCGCCGAGTTCCATCAAGACGGGCTTGAGGTATTTCGACGCCAGCTGGCCAATGATTCGTCCCACAGCTGCGCTGCCGATGAACTCGACCTTGCGAATCGCTGGGTGTGCAATAATGGTCTCGGTGATGCTGCTAGCGTCTCCGCGGTTCGCCTGGATTTGGTTGATACTGCCGTCTGGAAGGCCGGCAGCCAGAAATGCCTCGACCACGCCGTGGTGGACACGTGGGCTTAGCTCTGATGCTTTGAAGACGACGGTGCAGCCAGCGGCAAGGGGAGCCGCGAGCGCCCTCGCAGACAGAATGATGCTGCCGTTCCAGGGGGCGATGCTCAGAACAGGCCCCACAGCTTGCTTATAGACAAGACAGAAGGTTTCTGCAGTCTCCGGTGGAGGCATCTCCCCTGTACATGCGATGGTGATATTCGCGGCAATCTCTCTGATGGCCCTGGCGGCGAGGATGACGTTGAACTTGGCCCAGGCCTCGGGGCAGGACGTCTCTTCAATCTGGTAGCGGGCAAGCTCGTCCACACGGCTTTCGAGGATATCTGCAACCTTCAACAGCAATGCTCGTCGTTCTTGGTGCGGAACTCGCTTAAACGTCTTGAATGTTTCTGCGGCCGCCTGGACCGCGGCCGTGGCATCGTCGACGGAGGCTCCCTGGGCGTAGTGGACGAGCTTCCCCTGGGCCGATGAGTAGACCTCGATCAGGCGGCTGGCGTCGAGCGGTATGGGTTTCCCATTGATCCAGCATGGCACAACTTCCAAACCATTGTGCTTTTGCGTGACGGGCATATTGACTTTTGGTAGATTGACCCTTTCGTCGCTTGTGAGGTGAAGCGAGATTTGATTTGAGATCCAATAGATTCAGCAAAGGCAATGCGAAAGCCTGGTACTCACTGGCGAGGAGCTTTCCATCTTCCCACTGAGCTGGAGGATTGGGATACATATATCGCAGCCTGTTGCGCTTGAATACACATTACACTGCAGTATCAATTGCCGTCTCCACCGACAAGGCTGTGGGAGAATCGGGGATATCAGGGTTCGTAGCCTAAACCCGAGATTTCCGACCACGGTACTATTCTGAAAGGGGCACAGGCTCGAGGACACTGGCGACAACAACCCCGCCAAATGTACTGGCGATATGCGGGGAGGCGAGGTAGTGATGATTCGGCTTGGACCACCATCCGCTGCCGTCGTACATGCCATGAGATGAGGATGGCGTTAGGAGCCATTCGAATAGATTCATCCGAGAAACAATGCTCGTGGCTCCACCACAGGCCAGGATGTCCTTGCTCCCTCGAGAGTAATCTATTATCCGTTCTTGATGCATCTCGATGGGTTCAAATGATGGTTCTGGACAAGAGACGGTTTCGCCCCAGGAACATAAAGGTAGGAGGGAGCTTGTTGCGAAAGTAAGACGCTGTCGCTCCGGCGCCGATGGATGTTGCACAAGACTTTACCCGGGCAATCTTCAAGACGTGCTCGTTCTATCCAGAAAAACTGTCGACGTTGTCCGTATTCATGGGAGGATGGCGGCATGACTGTATGATTCCATGCAGACATGAGGAGTTGCTGCATGCAAAAATGGAATGTATCGGCTCCTGAGGTTCCCAGAGGCAATCTTGAAGCGTGGCTTGCATAGCACCGATGTCCAGAGATGATCCAATCCGATATTGCCTCATAAAACACCCTGCCATCTTTCATTGTTGCCGACAACTCTCCTGCAAGATGGGATATTCAGACACTCGGTCGTTCGACTAGTTATTCCACACGTCCCCTTGTCCACTCTTCTTCATTGAGGAGTCTCCATTGTTATTGAAACTGTCAAGCACATTGATTTCGCTCGAGCCTCGCCCTCCCCCCTCCCTCCCGCGCGGAGATTTTGGTCGTTTCTGGTATTCCGTAGTGCTCGGTTGGGCACCAACTTTTAGTGATAGCGTGGGCGCTGTTGGGGCTGGCAACTACGATCGACACCTCCTATATAACCACGTCTGGCGGACACACGCACCTTTCCTCCTACACATCTCTTACGCCCCTATCACGACAGTACCACTACGGTCATTCAGTGCCCACCCATAGTTTGTTCGCCAATGGGTGGCCGACGAGTGCAGTGATTCGAAATTGGGAAGTGTTTGTGAGGAGGGAAGCTAGTCTCACCTTCGTCACTCGCCATTCACATCGGTCAAATCGCATGTCCCATATGGTCTGAGGATTGCAGCAGGCGTCCCCGCAGCACATTCTCAAGCCAATGCCCGCGTCATGCCGACGGTGAAGGAGGCTTATCTGTGTGACGGTCCAATGAGCAAGAAGGTATGAACTCTATCTAAGAATATATAACAGCGCATGCGGGCGTGTATGGAGCTTTCGTTCGAGCACACTGGTCTCACGCAACCCGATCCTGGCTCAAACTACAACTCCTCTATTCTCGGCCCGCTTCTCACTTGTCATGAGGCTCCCTCCAATTTCAAGATGAAATCCTATAAAGGCCTCGGTGCGCCCAGCACGCTCGGCGCCTCACTCTCTTTTCAAAATTCTCTTCGCCGTTACCGAAAACCCTCGTGGACGTTTTATCGCTCATCCTCAAGCAAACCACAGGCCTGGTCTTAGCAGCGATACTCGCTCAAGATCGAGCAGTTTTTGGCCCATTGTATCGCTTCAAGACCTGGGGGATGGCTATTGAACAACATGGCTTGTGAGAGAGGCTTTTCATGACACTGGCTTCTGGGATAACTACTGGATCCAAAATTACGCATCTCCCCAGGTGGCTGACCTCAACGAGTCACGACGGGTTCCCACATCCGTCTGCTTGGTTGCCATTCGAATCGTTACTTTAAATAGGTTTCCAGGCCGTTACTTACATTTGACGGGCAGGAGGAAGCAGCACCAATCTTCAAAACAAGCAATATCAAAGTCAAAACTCTCGCCCTCCCCACCCTCCCCCCCTTACCCCTGCCTCTCCTGTGAACGGGGACAAGGACTCTATGAAAAGCAATTATCAATGCTCATCACGCAACAGTCTCATAAACCTACATCTGCGCCTCCATCGCTTCTTTTCTCTCAGAAGTACTTGGCGCCACGAGGCTGGAAGCATAAAACGGGCCTCCTCCCCCCTGCCTTCAGGCGGCCCGGCATCGTTCTTCCGATGCTGCGACTCGGGCATCGAAGATTAGTTCGATGACATCCTGAGGCCCACAATATTGATTTATCGGCGTGGGTATCGGCATCCCCTGTGGCAGCTGGCCTTCTTGACACATCGCATGCTACACCAACTTCCACGAAACTGATTTCATCGTCTGATTGTCCTTCCAACGTGGACAAATCTACAGAGCAATACGTGGCCAGAGGGTCCTTTGTGCTTCTCCGTTTTCTGACCCATCATGATTTGGGGCAGGACCATGTTGCATTCCTGCAGGCGACTGGTTGCTTTGGGTACTCAGCCTTCCCGTCCCCCCCATGTATGGGCTGGCGCGCACGGAAGGGGTTAGTGCCTCTTGACGGACCCTTCAGCATCTCGAAGTGTTGATATCCAGACAGCTCCTCTTCGCACAAGAGCACCTCCCGACGCAGCCTCAGATCGAAGGCTCAACTCCTCCACGCTTCTAGAGATACCCTTGCTTCTATTTCCTGAAATCTCATTTCCACGCGAGCTCACCTATTGCTTCGGATTTTGGGCGGTGTGCAATGGTGCAGGGCAACATCGACACACCAACAAGCTGCCATCGCCAGGGAGACCTCTATAGCAACTCCAGGCCGAGATTGTATGTCATCACTTTCATTCGTCAGAAAAACACCATCCATCCCCTTTCTTTCCTTGTTACTTCCCCCCTGCCTCGGACCACGAAGAAATACCAGTTTGAGCTTCTATACATTTCTTGCAGCCCGAACAGTAACAGGGGCACGCGGCGATACAAACGGATCACACGGCACATGTAGAGGACGATGGATTTTAGGATCTCTGCTACCTATGCATTGGAAAAATTCTACCGATCAATAACTCCAGAGGAAACCCACTTGCGCACAATTGGCGTCGAGCCCGTGGACGCATACCGGCTCAAATCTGACAGTCTCTCCAGCCGGGGCTAACTTGACGATTTGTCTATCGAATGTCCTCCGCAGCATCTCTCCAGAACGGCTGAAGTGAAAGAGCGATACCAGTCCAGCATAGCGCATCACCCAGCATAGGAACGGAGCTGTCTACTTCAAGTACACGGCAATTATTGGACGTGTCTGTTCACCACACCGCTTTTCGAGACAACGAGACTCGAATATGTTTCTCGAAACCACAGAGGAGCCTCACAAGCCACCACGCTGAGGATTGGAAGCTCTATCCTCGGTCAGAGCAGTCCCTCCCGGCTTTCTCCGTTGAACACCGCTTCTTCCCGAGTCGTATTTGCCGTGTATTGCATCAGACGTGTCTACTTGCATTAGCTGCGCTTGCTAACCTCGGTGTCAGATGCCCTCCATCCAAGGGAAAGAAGAAAGTGACGGTGTTTGTGTGGACCTGTGTATATTCCCGAAACAAGACCGCCGTTATCGGACTTCGTTCTAACCGAGCACGATAACAGCACAAGTGTGGCCACAATCCAATATCGATCAAGACAGGCGCTTGTCCCAAGTGCTCACACAGTCGTTGTCAGAACTGCAGCACGGAGAAGGTAACGAAGTGAGGGTATCCTGCAAGTTTTCAGGGTCTAGAGAGAAGCTAGGAGGAATTCCGTCCGCCGCGAGCCATACGTTTTGGCCCCGTCTGAGGGCAATCGCAGGGTCGTTCTATGGCCGCAGGAGTTCGTATTGATTGGCCCGGGTCCCGCGAGTCGACCTTGATGTGATCCTAGGAGGAAATGGCTAGGATGGAGAGGTCGATGTGCAGAGGGAAGAGGGAGGGAAAACTCTGCGCAAAGAGATGGAGCTGTACTGAAATGGTCTTATCTGCGACAAGGGTGGATGCTTTGAACCTAAGAGTACCGTCTTCCTGACGCCAGACAGGACAGACTCGAGATTTGACAACCAACCCAGACAACCCTTCCTCTTATCTCAAGGGCCCGTGTGCTCTTCGTTCACCGCTCTTCCGGGCTTGCCACTGCGAATCCAGGGCCTCTGACGCCAGAACTCGTCGCGGATGATATCGACGTGTCTCGTGACGACCTTGGCCTTCTTCCTTGCCTTGCGCATTTTCTCTGCCTGGGTCTTGGACATGACGGGCTCCGGGACTGCAGATTCTTCGTCGTCGTCGTCCTGCCCCTGCCCCTGCTCGTGCTCGGTGCTTAGCTTCCCCGCCACCTCGCTGCCTCGCCCTTTGGCGTCTTCCAGCATGTACTCCCGAAACACGACGCTGCCCTTGCGGTACATCTCTGGCTCGTTGTTGTAGTTGATGCCGAACCGCGACCACAGGATCTCGTTCTTGTCGCCGGACACGGTGCCCTTGAGGAGCTCTTCCGCGGCGGCGTGCGTCATCCCGCCCTGCTGGACCAGCGCCCAGAAGGTCGTGTTGTAGAGGTTGTTGATGTGACCTGTACAGATTCAGTTGGTTTTCGGCTCAATCACGTTATGGAGAGAGACGCGAGAAACATGGCTTCAGCCGCCCTCTCTTGGTAATTCTTGGAGACGAAAACAGAACAGATCGGTTGGACCAGACAGGAGAAAGGGGGCCTAAAAGGGTTTCCTTACAATCAACCTGCCTCCAGCTCAGGTAGTCTCGCAAATTGGCCCAGGAGGGATAACACACCGCCCGGCCGTCAAAGGTGGGCAGCATGTGCATACTCAACCCCCTGACCTCCCGACCCTTCTCCCCTCCCTGGCGGGGCCCCTCGAGCGCATCACCACCATCACCATCGTCACGCCCAAAGAACCGCTCCCACCCGAGCACGTACGCGGCCGTGAAGGTGCTGACGACCGTGGAGACGAGCTTGTCCCGGCGGCGCTCAAACAGCGTCGCGGCCCGGTCGAACACGAAGCTGAACTCGTCGGACACGCCGTACGCGAGCGCGATCTCCGGGATCGACGCGACGACGTGCGTCGCCGCGGCGTTCATGGCGTGCAGGGCGCGCGGGTCGTTCGGTTTGGTGAAGCCGTAGTGGGTGGATAGTCTTCGGCCATTTTTTGCGTTAGATGATCATCTCACACAGAGCGAGAGAGCGGCGCTTCCGAGGAGCTGCAAGGGCCAGGGGGGGGGAGGGGGGAGGGGGGATAGGATATGGAGAGACAAGGGCAGGAATATATAGCGGGAGATGGGACGGTGCGGGTGGAATCAGATCAGCTCATGGGGTGTGGAAGAAAAGCTGTGGCGATGGAATTTGTTCCTGTTGGCTGCCACAGTGGTTTTCAACCACTTCACCCAGTCAGTCCGCCGCCCTCGTTGACAATTTCATCCTCCTCCTCCCTCTTCCTTTTTTCGCCACAGTCACACGAGTCGCGCGCGCGATAAGCCCAGACAAAACTGAGACACATACTTATGGAACCCCCGGCCGTCGATTCTCACCACGATCCACGTGTTGGGCAGCAGGAGTTCCTCCCGCTCGAAGCTGCGCACATATTCGTATCTGATCCGAGCATCAGCCACACTCACTCTCTAGCGGCCACACGCCAGTCCGCGAGGGCAGGATGGACAAACTTTGAATTGGCCATGGGGGAATACACATGACACGCCGCGGTTCAGCACGTCCAGCATCATCGGGCTAGTGAAGAAATGGTGGATGGATGGATGGATTTAGAGTGGGAATTTCAAGAGCCCCAAAGCGGGAAGAAATACGAATCGATCGATTCATGGTGGCGGAGTGAGGCGTGTTAAAATCACTACAAAATGAGTCACTGGCATCCGATGCGATCCCTTCAAAGTCTCTGGACGAACAACAGACTTGACAAACTTCTTCTGTCACCGATATACGAATGGTCCATAGCAGCCCTCTCTTGCATGCCTATTCATCCTCTTCCCTCTCCTCCCCAATGTCCTCAGCCTCACTTGCCCGCTCGCTGCTCTCGCTGATCTCGCTTGCCGTCAGGTCCTCCCTCAGCCCTTTCTTGTTCTTGCGCATGAAGTTCCAGTTGCTCAGACTCGTTCTACTCGTTTTCTTCTCCTCCGCGCTCGGCGTCGTCGATGTGCTTTCCAAACTCCTCCCAAGATGTTCGGTTGACCCTTGTTCCTCTTCATTTTCACCGTTTGGAACAGATGTTTCCTTTCTAGAAAACAGGCCGCCCTTGTCCTTCCAGCTCCCAAACTTATTGCTGCTGGCCTTGCGCGTGATTTTGGAGATGAAGGTTGGCTTGGCCGGGGTATTTTCAAGAGATAGCTGAGCGCTAGTCCCGGACTGTGTTCGATCGAGCGTATCCGATTCGAGGGTAGAGACGGTCGCCGCGATCGAGTTGGTGTCCTTTGACTTTCGAGACTCGGGGGGGGAGGCAGCTTCCATGTCATTCACCCTCTCTTTCGACTCTTTCGCCTTGTTTTTGTCCTTATCCTTAGATTTCTCACCCCGCCTGCTGAACAGTGTCGTGAACGATGGAGCAGCTGGGTTCAACTTCGGGGTCGAGGACTGTTGAGAAGAGGCTGGCCGAGTGCCGATCGGCGCCTGTAGAGGACGCGTTGGTTTCCGATCCGGCTCCACGACTTCCTCGTCGCCATGTGGAAGCGAGAGATTGCTGGTCGATCCGTAAACAATAGAAGGACGCCGTGAGTGGGAACGAGAAAAAGAATGGAGGGATCCCCAATCCGGAGCCAAAGGACTGTTTCGCAGTGCCGACTTATCGTTCCACGCACGAAACTGGCTTTCCATCGACGGTCGCGGCATTTTATCGAAAGAGTAAGTTGATGACGGCCTTGGAGAGGAAGTATCGCCTCGAAGACCCGGATCGAAGGATGCTGACCTCATGGCAAATGGATCGTAGTTCGCCGAAGCTGCAGCCGACTTCCCAAAGCCGCCTAATCCAAAGGCACGTCGGGTTGCCGCAAAGCGAGAAACCGAAGGTTCCTTTTCTTCCTGAGTGCTGTTGCTGTTTAGGAGGGTCGATCCTGGAAACGCCCAGTTCCCGCCGTAGCTAAGTCGCCTTTTGGTTTCAAGTCGAGGGTCGAAATCTTCCACATTCCTTGGAAAGGACTGACTCTGGCTCGGCTTGAGAGACCCAAGAGGTGGTGGTTGATCCGCAAGGGTTTTTCCTCGCTGACGGTTGAGTCCGAACATGGAGGACATGGACGTGTACTTCGGCTTCTTTGGTTGCTGAACCACCTCGTCTTCTTCAGGTGTTTGATCCGACCTCTTCCCTGAATTTGACGACTTCTCATCGCCTTCAGCAGGTGCAGAGATCTGCATGGGGCTCGAGAACGACCTGCCAGATGAGGAACCAACACTAGGAGATTCGGTCCGGCCGCTGTCGGGATGCAGTACGGGCGACCCTATCGTAGGGAACGGCGTCGTCCCAGTCTCAGTTTTCTCTTTCTGCTGCGGAATTTCTGCTTCAGGAAGGTCATCTGCAGACTCGTCACCAAGTAGGTCGGCGGGTAGGAGTGAGTCTGCCCGAGGACTCATTGGGATTGAAGAGATGGCGTCAGGATCATCGTGGGTCGAAGGCGTCATCTCCACAGGCATTGCCAGTGTCATCCCATTCTGCGGGTTGAAATAGCTTGGGACAGCTGCGGTAGGAGAAGAAGTGGGAGCAGAGGTGTACTGCAGTCCCGATGGGTAAGGTTCAGGTCCAGCAAATGGGCCTCGCGGCGAAGAGATGCTGCTCCCCAGTGAGCCCGCCGGTCTCGCTCGTCGAACAGGTCTCATTCCTCGACGAATAGCGTCCATGTCGAGCGGCGCAATAGGTGCGAATGCCATTGTATTTGCTCGCCTTGCCTCGAGCTGATTAATCTGCTCCCTGGTGTAGTTAACTTGCTGGTTGGCCAGTTGTAAGTCGTTCCACAGCCGAGTGTAGGTTTGCTGCAGGCCTTCGTATCTTGCACGCCATCTCATATCACGCTCGCGATCCAGACGCTCGGCTTCTCTCGTTTCATCCGTCTCCTCGTCGACGTTCTGTAATTTGCGTTCCTCTTCCAAAGCTTTGATCTGGAGAGCTTTCTCTTTGTTGTCATCCTCCAGCATGGCGACCTCCTTCTGTTCCTCTTCGATCTTCCTGCGCATTTCTCGTAGCTCAGACTGCGTTCTACGTTCAATCGCGGCTTTCTGCTTCTCAATGCCGGCAATTTCCTCCTTCATGGCGGCGGTGGCTTCTTCCCACCTGGAAATGTCATCCTTCCTCTTCCTCCGCTGGTTTTCCTTTTGCTGTAGTAAGCGTTCCTTTTTGGTCTTTTCGTTTTGAGCTGTGCGACTGAGCGTCTCTGCCTTGTGGACTTGCTTGCGAAGGTCATTGCTGGCCTCATCGCGCTCTTTGAGACTCTGTTTCAATTCATCGCGGCGCGCTTCCAGCTCTTTCATTGCGACCTCAAACTCCCTGTCTTCCTCTTGGATCTGAGCCTCGACGGCTTCGATGTCCTGTTGAACCTTTTGGAAACGTTGTGACAATTCCGCAAGGTCACCGTCCATTTCTTCCTCTTCGGCTCTTGATCCTGCGTCTTGACCCTGTGCATCGGTGCCATGACCGGCCGGGGAAGGTCTACGGCCGGTTGTCCCCCTTCTCCCCATGGGCTGCCCTCCACTGAGATCGCGGGCCATGGAGGGCGCAGCTAATGGGGTGATGGTTGAAGCATTCCGCACCGAGACTCCTCTGACCGTGGGAACTGAGTCGGGAGCCTCCTTTCCCTCAGGAAGATGAGGAGTGCGCACGTGGAAGGGAGCGCTAGGAGTCTGGAAGGTGCCAGTGCTGACGCAAAAGACGCGGATGGCATATTTGGCTCCAGGACGTAGGCCAGATATGATGGCGCCCATCTCGCTCTTCTTGGTGGTCCCAATGACGACGCCGTTGAGCTCCACATAGTGCTCTTGAATGGAGGAGGACGGTTCCGCATGTTTCCAAGTCACATAAACCTCGGTCGGGGAGATTTCTTCGAGGATCAGGAGCGGAGCGGGGGGGATGTCGAGGCCGAGTTTCTCTACCAAGATCTCGTTCGGTGTAGTGAGGACCTGATACGCGCGCAACAGGAGCCTGAAGAGTCAGCGGCGAGTGCGAAAAAGGATGCCAGGACGACCTACCAAGAGAAAGCCCAGATGACGGCGAGCAGCAAAAGTAGAGCCATGCGACCTTTGACGTTAATTTGAGGGGCAAGTAGCTGGTAGGCGTGAGAAGCCCAATCTAATGGCTCTTGGTGCCATCTAGATGAGTCCATCCACAAGGTAGGGATGGCAGGCATGCGCTCGACAGATATATGCAAGAATATATCCTATAAATCACGGAAAGCCATGTATTAGGTTTGTAAAATGAGTGGACGAGCGGAGAAGTCGGGCGAGTGCCACAGCGAGCGTCGACGCCCGCAAACTCTGGGGCTAGTGTTGGCCTTGGCACAAGAGATGGGCAATAATGATGATACATAGGTTCACCACCAATATCGAGAGAAAATAGAGCGAGCAGATTGACTGTCAAGATCTGTGTTATATTGGTAACAGGCGAATCTCTTCTTATTGTATGGAGGAACACCAGCGGCTCCAGGGAAGCTACGAGTCTCATATAGAGAACCTGATTTCCTGCTACCTGCCGGCTGAGTCTTTGAAGGGTATCACATTTTTAATCCAGAATGCCGTCCGTATGCCATAATACACCGTTGGTGATGCCGTTGATATGATCGTCCCCGATGTCCAAGTCGTCCTACGACAGGTCCACATCCCCATCTGCGTCGGCTTCTTTTTCACCCCCTCCATCATCGGGACCGAATACATCCTCCATTGTGCCCAGGCCCTCTTCGTCTTCGTCTCCTTCCTTGTCGTCCATCTGCATGAGGTCTTCCGGTTCAGGTCGGTCTTCTTCTTCGCCCTGATCCAGGCTTTCCTCACCCTCGCTGTCCCATTCATCCTTCAGCCCCCAGCCCACGCCGGTTAGACAATATTTTTCATGTGGAAGGCGAACACCTCCTATCATGGGTCCGCTCTTGTCATTGTCCCTGGTCTGAGCCTGCAGTGATATCCGATTCCTTTCGTCCGCCAATTGCTTCAGAAACTCCTTTGGCAGGCTTCCCTGAAACTGGTATCCCATTCTCGAGCCTATTGACATCCGCAGAGCAGCTAGGCTTATGTCGCCTTCTTCGCCTTTGTTCTGATTCGGCTTGACTCCCCGACCTTTAGTCTGAGCACCACCGTCGGCTTGGTCGTAGGCTTCATTTTGAATATGTAAGGCATCGCTGAGGACGGAACTGGTGTATCGGTAGGCAAAGTCCATGAGCTGTAGCGGGACGCGCTGCTGATATGCTGCGATGCCGTGAGACACGAGTAGCAGGTGGATCAGTCGGTGGTCTCGCGGTCGATTTGAATTTCCATCGTCTGATAGTGAGGTTAGGGGCTGTGACAGGAGTGCTTCAACCTGGGGTTGTGCTGTCGCTTGGGAGGCTTGCGCAGGTTGAGGTGCCTGTGAGGAGGGTTCTGCAGGGGGTGTGAGAGGACCAGGAGGGTTTGCGGGTGAGCTCATGATGGGCGCTGAGACAATGGCCCAGGGCAGGGGAGAGGAACGTTGGGGTTTATTGGCGGCTATGCCTCAAAAGAATAGCACCATGATAAGACGACCGAGCGTAGAAAGGTGGCAGATTATCTGTACTGGCTCCTTTGGGAGATTCTAAGCAGGCACGGTGGGATGAAAATGATATGGATCGGGAGTGTGTCGCTTGTCAACTATCGCTCCTCGCACCTGGGAAAATCTGGGGAAAATAGAGACGGTCAGCAAGATACCAAAACGGGACTAGTGGCTTTCCCGACAAAAATGCTGTCATGCATGATGCTGAATGACCCGATTTCCTCATCGCCTCATCCGTTTCCCCATCCTTCATATGCCACGCCCCCATCCGTCTTCTTCTCGCTCTTTCTACCTTCCCTTCCTTTCTTTTGGCCTTGATGTCTTCCTAGAAACCCTCTGTATAACACCCCGTTGAGCTTCTAACCTGCACCCTGTGACAAGAGCATTACCTTTGTGGCGTTGTCTAGCGTTGTCCGTTTTCCCCTTCCGAGCTTTCCCCCATCAGGCTCCCAACCAATATGAGCTGATTCCGGAGAGTTCGCGTTGTTGTCATATCACTCAGCATCCAGACAACTCTCTCGAAAACATCAACCTCTGTCAAGATGCAGTATGTCCGGAGTCTAGGGAACGGAGTCTCCAAGACATGGAATTCCATCAACCCGGCAACCTTGTCCGGGGCCATTGATGTTATTGTGATCGAACAGCCCGATGGCTCTCTGGCCTGCTCCCCTTTCCATGTCCGCTTTGGCAAGTTCTCTTTACTGCGGCCGTCGGACAAGAAGGTTGAATTCAAAGTCAATGGAGTCGCTCAACCCTACGCCATGAAACTCGGGGATGGAGGTGAAGCCTTCTTTGTCTTCGAGACATCGAGTGACATTCCCGAAGGGTTACAGACATCTCCTTTAATTTCTCCCGCCAGCAGTCCACCTATAAATGCCTCAGATAGACCTCCCTCGCCTGGTCTTTCGGAACCATCCTACTTGGATATCACAGAGGCTGCCAAGGGTCGCAGTACCCCTCCCATCTCAAGTTCAGCGCCCGTTCCCATAATAAGGCGAGAGGGGACGAACGTGAGCGAAGAAATTGATCTAGGTACCATACACACTGATCCAACTGGAACTCCTCTGTCCGACACGACTCTCACCTCTCCTGCTTCACTGGGGGGGACGGCATCAGAAGAGATCCTCCCCATCGCTACTCGACAGCAGTTGGATTCGGTTAGTGGAGCTTTTCACAACAACGGCATCCCTCCTTCGCCTCAGTTCGGTCTGGACGGGACGGCTACTCCAAAAGCTTCCGCCAGCCCTCCCGCTTTGAAACCGAAACAAGCATATGACCGAGCAATGACCCTTTCCAAGAAACTCTCTTCATCCAATATCCGATCCCAGGTTACCGAGTCCGGAGACCTCATGCTTGACATGACGGGTTATAAGACGAGTGAACCCGAAGCCTTGCGAGCAGAAGCCGTGGCTCGGAAAATTCTTTCAGAAGAATTGGAAGGGAACTACGATATTGGATCCTTGATTGGAACCGACGAGCACGGAAACCTGTGGATATATAGCAGCGAGGAGGCCCGAGATGCGGCTGCTCGAAAATGGGCGTCTCAAAACCCCGAGTCAACTACCGTGCTTTCGGCGGACAACATTTCCGATCCTGGCTATCACAGCGACAGCGACCGCAGCGCCTCGCCGCAGCTTACAGCGAAAACTTCTGGCCACCAGCGCGCACAGTCTGAAGAGATCCAACCGTCTCGCACTTCCGGGGAGCAAGCTCGAAATTTCGCGAAGACGCTCCGCCTAACGAGTGATCAACTGAAGTCACTTAACCTGAAACAGGGTGAAAATCAAATGTCGTTCACCGTCAACCGGGCCACATGCATTGCTTACATGTTTTACTGGACCTGTGACGTCCCCATTGTGATATCGGATATTGATGGTACAATCACCAAGTCGGATGCATTGGGCCATCTACTCAATATGGTTGGGCGCGACTGGACGCATGTCGGCGTGGCAAAGTTGTACTCCGACATCGTTGCCAATGGCTACAACATTTTTTATTTGACGAGTCGCTCTGTTGGACAAGCCGACACAACCCGAACCTATCTCAACGGGATTACACAAGATGGCTGGAAACTGCCTCGCGGCCCCGTTATCATGAGCCCTGATCGGACGATTGCCGCACTGCGGCGAGAGATATACTTGCGGAAACCGGAAGTCTTCAAAATGGCCTGCCTGAGAGATATCCTGAACTTGTTCCCTGGCAAGACTAACCCATTCTACGCCGGGTTTGGCAATCGCTTCACAGACGCGCTGAGTTACCGCAGCGTCAACATTCCTTCGACACGGATCTTCACAATCAACACCAATGCAGAGGTGTCGCTGGATCTGTTGACGCTGAACAAATACCGCAGCAGCTACGTGTCGATGCGTGAGTTGGTTGATCATTTCTTTCCGCCCGTGTCGACGCTGGTCAGAGAGGGAGGAGAGGACTATACCGACTTTACATACTGGCGAGACACGCCGCAGGACCTGGAAGACTTTGAGCCGACAGATTCAGAAGAGGAGGATGAGGAGGATGAAGACTTGGAGGACGAGGAAGACGAAGCCGAAGTTGCATCGGACAACGAGATGGGCGACAGCTTCGTCTCGCGAGAGAGCATGGATGACTCTGCGCTGAGCGAGTCGATCCGAGAGTCGATCGAAATGGACGACGCAGCTGAGATGCTCGAGGCCGCGCAGATTGCCGCAGGAGATCGACAAGACGAACAGGACTTTACAGATGATTATCTGGAAGACATTCCGCGGCGGTCGACGAGACAAAATACAGTCTAGAGGTCCAACTGGTATACTCAGCTGCCTTCCGGCTGTATGCGGCCAACGCGAAGCAACATGCATGGATGGATTTGGAGCTTATTATTGGCAAGCGAAAGGTTCATTTTGCGCAAGAAGTACCCCGGACTGATTGATGTCATTGTTATGGGCGCGACCCGATGTTCTGGCAGTCTTCATGACGACGACTCCCTTGGCTGACGCTCATTCGGGTGTCTCAATGGGAGCAAGCAGAACAAAACACGAGGGTGGCAAGGATGGGATCGACGACACTGAGCGAATAGAAGCATGAGCATTCATGGCGTAGGAGAATCTTGAGAAGTTTGAGGATACATTTGCTGATCCCATGGCACTCATAGCGAACTGTAAATATATAACTGGGTTCTCAACGTTGGTAAGCTTGTGATGGTAAATGGGTCGAACTGTTCGTGGATGCATGTAGAGAGATGTGACTTCCTACCTAGAGGTAGGTAACAATATGCGTGGTCGACGGTGAACTCCCTCCCTCTCAGCCGCACGAGTCTCGATCAATCCAAAGCCCTCTCCCAGCCAAAGATCTTCTTACGCATGCACGCTCGTCAACCTCTTGCGAACTAGTTACGACGGGCACGCATGCAATCTGAGACGGCTGGTCCGGCGCACCTCAAACACGGATGCGGGAAATTACGCAGGAGTCGCTCGGTCGTGGTCCTGACACACGCCGCCTGGCCTGGCCTGGCCGGGGCCCCTTTTTTTTTGGCCCAAGCATTGGCGCCCGCCGCACTGCCTACATAGTATACTCGGTAGGTGACAATTATAATATCAGGGCGCCAACGAAGGGAAGGGAGGAAAAAGGGAAAACTGGGCTGCGTGAACGGCTAGGACCGAGTCGTTTTTCCACCACCCCCTGGTGTTTCAAGATTGAGTTTCGCCTCCGCGTTCCTGAGTTTGGAGGAGTTGTGAGGACGAGGGTGAGGCAGGGGGATATTGGCGGGCTGCGCTCCACTGCTGGGCTATGTATGTACCTAGTAGGTATGTATGTATGCGATTCAACGCCTTTCACCTCTCTTAGTCCCATTTCCTCTCTACAACACCGAGTACAACTCTGAACGCCGACCCATGACGAACCAGCACAGAACATAATACCTTTGAACCTCCGTGCCTCCCTTGCCTCTCTCCCCCTACCAAAGTTCACCACCAGCCGAAGTATTCCCGCAACGTTCAGGGACAAAGCGTAAACAAACAAACAAACAGCCACTCTCCGCACGGAGGTTGAAAAAGGAAAGGAACAGAAGAAACAAAAAAAAGCGAAAGAGATAAGCAAGCAGGCAAAGCACACACACCCAAAAAGGAAGGGAAACGATGTGGCAACTACACACACTGCTGAGGAGAGACAAATGCGTCAACCCAAACCCCAATGACGACGTATGCGAGAAATACACGAGCCAGTTTCTGACCACGGGGGTGCCCCTGCTCATAAGCCTATGGTATGATTGCTTTGCTTGCCGGAAAGATACAGAGAGTACCTCGCACCGAAGTACTCGAACCCTCCTCCCTCGTTGCTGCTGACACTTTTCCCAACCGACGCACAGCCTGTTCATCATCCTCGCCATCGTCCTCTTCGTCATCGTCCGCCGCAAGCGCCGCCAGCGGCACGCCCAAGAGGCCGAGAAGAACCGCGAGATCGACGACGACACCGGCGACCTGGAGCTGGTCGTCAACACGTACCCGCGAGACCAGGCGTATAAACATTTCGAGGCGCAGGAGACGACGTCACAGAGCCAGCGGCAAGGGTCGGGACAGGGACAGGTACAGGGCCTGGGACTGGGACTGGGGCCGCAGAATCCGTTCGAGGCGGATCTCGAGAGAGGGGGGAGTCGCGACGTGTCGCCGGTGGGACGATGACATCTCAGAGAAAATTGGGAGGGCATTTTGAGTGTTTTGGGGTGTAAAACCAAAAAATGGGGGAAAGGCGCCTTTTGTCGTATGCCCTTTTTTTTCGCTTGGGGTATGGGACTTGGAACCGAAACCAAAAGTGAACAATGAATGAATGGTATTGCATGTTCACAATTCATCGTCATCATTTAGCGCTTGTCGGTAAAACTCGACGTTAGGGTATCATCAACTGCTCGATCGACATCTCTTTTGCTGGCTCTGGAACCACCACCACCACCACCATCCACTTCTCCAACTAACCACCACAGCATCACCCATTGATCATTCATATTGCATTTTCGTTGCACTGCACTCCTTATCCCCAGCAGAACCACCCCCCACCTAGGACTTGTTGCCCTTCTCGATTTCCGCAATGATCTCCTTCTCAATGCTCTCGGGCTTGGTCATGGACCCCCAGCGATGGACGACCTTGCCGTCGCGGTTGATGAGGAACTTTTCAAAGTTCCACTTGACGCGCTTTAGGCCCATGATGCCCGGCTTCTCGGCCTTCATCCACTCCCAGACGGGCTCGGCCTTGTCGCCGTTGACGTCCGTCTTGCCCAGCACGGGGAACGAGACGCCGTAGTTGACCTGGCAGAACTCCTGGATCTGGTCGTTGGAGCCCGGGTCCTGCCCGCCGAACTGGTTGCAGGGGAACCCGATGACCACGAACTGGTCCGGGTATTTCTCCGAGATGTCCTTCCACACGGTCTCGAGCCCCTTGAACTGCGGGGTGAAGCCGCACTTGGAGGCCGTGTTGACCGCCAGCACCACTTTGCCCTTGTGTTGCGCGAGCGGGTAGTCCTCGCTGCGCTTGTCCTTGGGGGTGAAGTCGAAGAAGGTGGTCGCGGACGACATGGTGGGCGCGGGAGCGGGAGCGGAACCGGGCGGGGAGGATGATCGAGGAAGGGAATGCGCAAAGGTGCGATGTTGGTGCCGCCGATTGAGCACGTCTGCGCTGGTGTTGCGGGCGATGAAGTGACGACTCGAGACACTGAGCGGCGCAAGAGATCTTAAGTTTGAGGCTTGCTCCTTCGGAAGGCCTCTTCTTGCGCAAGCGGGACGACAAGGAACGGATTTGAGGGCGACGTGAATTTGGAATAAAGCTGAATTTGACAGCAGCTGGCGCGGAACTTGCATGAACCGAGAATAGATACGCAAGTTAAGCTAGAAGCGCGGTTTGCCCTGGGCTTTATGCAGCGATGTGCGTGTAACAACGTCAGCAGGATAAGGATTTGGAATACCAAACTGCGGATCAGGAGACTGTTGGGGTTGAGCCTTGCATGAAACAAGCATAAAACACGAAGGACGGTTCCACTCATCAGCTATGGATGTTGCGTCGACTTGAAGCAATGGGAAGGCCACGCAACATCCGAGGCTCAAACAGCAATCGGTCTCGTCATGGTGGCGCCATCGTGCGGCGTCGCCATCGGGAACCGGAAGATGCGATCGAATGCCAAGCATTTCGGAACAATCATTTTCCGAGAAAGTCACATGCATCATCACGTGGTATCACATGTGCTAGGAATCGGCCCGACTCAAGCTCAGCCTTGGCCCTAAACGGTGCCGCTCAGCAGCATGGCAGCCTCACAGCACCTCGTATTCCATAAGCCATCAGCAGACACACAGGTCAGCGCCCCTTTCCCCGAGAAATCCAGCGCATCGCGGCTTCTGGGATGGGTTGGAACAACTGTTTCTCCGAGACGAGTGCGTGCTGATTCGTTCAACCTGCATGGCCCAGGCCAAAAAGTGCGGGGGTTTAGCACATGTTGACCAAGCACAAGGCAAAGCACACCCTCCAAGTGCAAGTCTGGTAGGGGTCGAGAGTTTAGAATTGACGACACAGACCCTAGAGATGGGTGAGGGTGCTCTTGCAGCTGTGGCATCCATAGGCGACAGTCGTTGTTCTTGTCGAGAGCAACCGTCATATAACTTCCTTTTAGTTCCCCCGTTCTGCCACTCCATCTCTTCCCTCCGAGACTTTGTGTGATGATATAGTCCCAATCAGGAAATCATTCAATTTCTCTCTTCGATCGGGGCACCGCCGCTACCTTTCTCTGACCTCCATCACATTATCATTGCCGCTTTATCCAAGCGAGATCCTCGAGACTGAGGTCCAGATCGTGGAGAGCTGTTCGAACGCTGGAGACGTTGTTTGTCAGTACCCGTCCTTACTCAGCTTTCTCACCAGGATTACATACTCACGCCTTTCGAAACCCTCTAGGACCTACCATCGTCCTGGTAAGATTCACCCTTCTCGGTGCCCAGGGACCACCCCCACCTACAAGCCCACCGTTGTGGACATTTTGGCTGCGACAGACGCTTGCAAGCCGACGTCATTGTACATCAGCATCAACAGAGCCATACCACTGGCATTACCTCGCATACGCTGGGGCTGAGTGTGGTTGCATTGCTCGAAACCCGTTTGACTTATATCGCTCCAGGTCCACACCACCTCTTCGACCAGATCAGGGATTGTCGGAGTTCACCACACAGGCCTCTCGAGAAGCGAGGCTTACATTCCAAGCGTGGTCAGAGCACAGATCGAGAAAAGACGGGGGTTCCACATTCGCCATACCAGAATCGGTAGCGGGATCAAGCCTTGTTGTTGGATGCTGCATTAGGTAAACGCGTACATCCAGCACCAGGTAAGCATTACCCCGGTTGGCAGACTCCCAGTGTAACCGTGCGAAGATAGCAACCCAGGTCTCGATCGAATCTCGGTTCCTTACCTCCCACAAAATGTCTGGCGCCTTCACCATGCCGCATGCCCTCACAGGTGGGCCCGGCTACAAGGCCAATCCCACGTACGACGAGTTCCTGCGCAAGCACAGTGGATTCTACCGACGTCACAGTGCTGCCTCCAACGCCATGGAGACTGACCGACGAGCCTCGCAAGCTGCGCTGGACGAACACGCCGCGGCCGCCGCTCAGGCAGTCCAGAACGTTGCTGCGGACAGCGCACATCGCCGTGCAAGCGTCACGGTTGCAGAAGGAGGTGCCGCCACAGCGAACTCCCGAAAGGGCAGCGTGGCTGTCGCCAGCGATGTCACCCGCAAAGACAGCATCTTTGGGCTTGAAGCCACGGGGGGGCGGAGAATGTCGGAGCAACGCAGGCCAAGCACCTCTCTTGCTAGCGATTTGTATCATAAGATCAAGGGAGATCACAAGTGAAGGAGCACCTGGTCGAAGGAGTTGGTCGGTTGGAAAGACTCTGGGTGTCGAGGGCGGACGCTGTCGGAGGGCTGCTGAGGCACACTGGATGTCGGTCTCCGTCCCACGCATTGTCTGTTGCTTTGGCTTGTGATGTGCACCTGCTCTGTTCAGTCGCTCAATCGTTATGGTACCGATATCCACACAGTTCTGAAAGTTGTGCTATCCACCTTGAATTCTATCATTCAGCTGTCTGCTTCCGCTCCCTGCCGGTCTTGGGACTGCTTACGGGGAGACATGCTGGTATTGCCGAGAGAGTTCCTGAGTTTGAAGGTTTCTTGGGAACGGATTGCGGCATCCCCTGAGAGTAGACGCAATCCCCAGTTGAAGCTGACCCTCGCTTGTTGTTCTTTGCATCTGCGCACCCTGGATTGTTGCATCAATCGATCATCGTTACCACATTGTCGGTACGGCTTTCTTTGAAGAGGAGCCTCGAACCTACCGGATACCGCAGTTGGTGCAGACGACTGCCCCTTTGGTTTCTTTGCAGATCAAGTAATTACGGATCATCGTGGACGCCGCGTCGAGGCTTGGGAACTGAACTTGACTCGGGTAATATTTCTGCCCTGCGCCCCCTGGAGGAAACATATATCCGCTTCACTTCAACTGACCAGGGCGTGACGTTTGAAAGTATATTCGGTATCTACCAGACCCAAAGTTCACAGAGATGCTGTAAGTTTCGTTGCATTCACGGGCTCTGTCTACGCATACGACCCGTCGCCTGCGCGGGCTGACTGATGGAACCCATATTTGCAAACCTCGAATACGTTCTCCCAGCATTCAGTTTACTATCCACCAACCAACCCTCCATGGCTGTGACCAGCGACGGCCCCGTCGTTTTCTCGACTCATGATCCCAACCTGTACGCGCGTTTGTCTCCCCACGACTTCGGATGTTAGCAACTCCACCTGTCATGTGTGGGTAAAATGCAGGTAACAGCCCTCCGCTTGTGCAAAATCAGGAGCTTAGTCGAAGCGAGGTTGTTGACGCGGAGTTAAGCCTCTTCTAATCTCACCAGAAAGTGGGCATCTTCAACCCGCATCAGTGAAGAGGCAAGGACGCATAATCGGGAAGCTCAAGAACTACTACAAGGGGAAAGAAAGGGTCGAAGACTGGAAGGCAAGAGGGCCGTGATGAAAGGTAGGGGTGGCGCTGAGCAGCCTCGACGTGTGCATGGAATGAATGGTTGGCAACCACAGTGAGAGTGAATGTCATTAACCTGTTCAGCTCGCAATACGGCAGCCACTGCCATCCGCAACATCAACACCTAGACCGAACAAAAGGAGTGCAATCAATCCTGCGGAAAGGGAAGTCCATAGCATAAGGGTGTGGCGCCTCGTCTGCTCTAGCTCGTCCTGATGAAGCCCCCAAGTGCCGTCTCTTACATTCTATCCATGAATGCATTTCCAGACATCTCCTGTTTCCATGACCCCTCTTACACAAGCCGTCAGCCAGACGCATTGGGGGCGCTTGTACTGGGCCGCTCACCCTCAGTCCCAACAATGCCTTTAGAGAGTTGCAGCTGCCTGAATGGATTGACCTGCAGTGCCGCCCAGACGGCATGCTTGGTCTGTCCGGCAGATCAGAGCCCACGCTTCCTTCACCCTCACGTCTATAGTCGTTGTGAAAACCTCCCTATTCACATCGATCGCTGATCGATCGTGTCGAAGTTTTTTGGTGGACCGAAACAAATGGTTTGCTGACCGAAAAGTATTTCCTATACGCCAACGCTGCGAGAATGAAACGGAAGATAGTATTGCCTCCTTTTTGATGGTTAGAATATGCCCGTGTCTTGCAAACCTCACCACCGTGGAAAATGCAACAAATGTCGAGCCGACACTAACTTATCCCGACTTGATCCGACCAGAAGACCGTGCTTGATTCTGTGTTGTACTGCGCCATCGAAATCGAAAGATACGCGGAGGGCTCACAGCCCCGGAAACTTTTGGCTCTGCCTCATTACAAAACAAGTCGTTGAAGGTTCTTCTGAATCAAAATATCCTGCACGTCTTCCATGGTCTTCTTGAGGAGATTCGTATCAGTTGCATTGGTGAAATGAATATAGATTTCGCGGTTGGAGTTGCGGTTGATGGATCGGAACTTGTTTGCAAAGAATTGCTTGGCAGCCTCTTCGTCGCCGTCTTTGCCAGTATAGTCGGGAAAATGGGCTGAAAGTGGTGATATGGGTAGCTTCTCGCGGAAGAGATCTATTTTGTTGAGGAACAAGATAATGGGCTTATCCTTGAACCACTCTCCGTTGACCAATGATTCGAACAGCATCAGAGCCTCGTGCATCTGATTGGCATTGACGTCCTCCACGAGGCACTGGTCGTATCCAGACAAGGCGGCCATAAAAAGCAGGCACTGCACACCTTCGAAGCAGTGAATCCATTTCTTACGTTCCGACCTTTGTCCTCCCACATCCATCATGCGGAAGGTCAGCTGCTGGAGCTCGAAGACGGTCTCGGTAATGCCGGTCGTTCTGAGTCTGGCGTGGAGCATATCTTGGTCGTTCGGCAGCCAGTCGGGCTCAAACATGCGATTGATGTTCTCAAAGTAAAAGGTCAGATTGTCGTGAAGCGCGAACTCGTGGCCTTTTGCAACGGCCTTCTGTACGCCGGCATCCTTCCAGAGCGCAATCATGGCCTCCTTGACTCTCTTGTCCCGGAATGCTTCATGCGCATCGACGTCAGCGTTAATATTCTCTAGGTATTCGGCGTAAGCTTCGTTGCGCTCATCCGCAAAGTCAATCCCTTCATCTTGCATGATCTCGTACAAAACGCGGAATGCGATAACGACATTGGAAAATATGACGGCCTTCACCTGGACGCGCTCGTCATCCTGGAATCCACTAGAATGGATAATGCGCATCTGCTTGATGATTGTCGATTTTCCGGATTCACCGGCACCTGTAGCTATGTTAGCGGGCCGTGGTAGACACAACGAGCCCGTAGCCATGGCCGCATACCTAGCAGTAGGATCTTGACTGTCCGAGATTCCATTCTTCTATCTGCACGTAACTGACGTTCAATCTTCGCATTTTGTTGTGAGGCCTCCTTTTCCCGCGGATCTATCTTGGATCCTGTGCAGCCCATCGTGACAACGCGACGGGCGCCCCGTACTCAGATGCGAAACGCGGTCGGGCTGATGTGGGCGCTGCAGTATTGTATAGGCTGTCTATTTCGATTGGTCGTGACTAAGTCATGCTCGACCTGGAGAGAGCGATAGCGGTGGGGAAATAGACCAGGAGGAGCTTGGGATACGATTCCGCTGTCCAAGGAGATGCACCACCTGCCGCAGAAAAAAATCCATGATTAGCAACGGCCCAGGGGGATTATGTTGAGTCTTGCCAGGGAAAAAACCCTGCCAGGTGAAGAAGAGCCCCAATGGAAGATTAAACTCACCTCAGAAGAGAGGACAATTGTACTGTGAGAATTTGGCGATGGGAGAATTGGACGCGGTTGCGTCCGATGATTCTCCTGTGTATGCTCGCAAAGGTACAACGCTCAAGCAGTCGCGGTGCTAGGTGAGGGTGATAGACAGATGGAGTATGGTAGAGGTGTTGGCTGCGTGCAAGTGCAAGTTGCAAGGTGGAGGTGGAGGAGCTGGTGGTACGGCAGGTTTGGCTGAAGCGTGGTGAAAGAGGGTGGTGGAGAGGAAGCTTTGCAAGCTCCAGCGATTAGAATTGGAAGGACCTGATCGCTTAGGCTCTCAATGGACGGGGAGACACGGGGCGTGATTGCTATCCGGCCTGGAGGGAGCCGGCGCCAAGGGTAAAAACCCTCCTAAGGGGGCGTGGAGGGGGCCAAAGGGGCCTATAGGAGCCTGTAAGAGGGCTCCAAAGAGTCTTCGAGGGATACAGATCGAAGATGGTGGCTGCCACGGCGGCCACAGCGGCCACAGTGGATCATAGGGGGGAATTGGAGAGACACCCAAGAGGTATCGCTAAAGGAACGCTAGACCCCCAATATGGTCTAGAAGGGGAGTTAGAACGATATGCCTAACAGGGGCCGGCCATGCACCAGCAGATTGAATATGGGCAGGATCTGCCATTTTGGGGGCTCTTACGGCACCCTTATAGGCCCCTACAACTCTAGGGTCTACTTGTAGGGGCTCCCTTTAACCGTAGACTTAGGGATTGACCCCCATGTGCAGCTTTTCAGGGGCCGCTCAACAGCATCTGCACCATGCACTCGCCACGTTTTTCTGTGTTTCAATCGTAAATCTTCTCCCCCATGTTGCCATCCCCTTGTGCTACGCTCTTCCCGTCGCCTTGTGTCACAGACTCATATCTCTGGGTACAAAGGTATCTCAACGAAGTGTGTAACACGACCCATAAACTGCTGCAAGCCAATTCAATAGACTCATGGGCGTGAGCTGTGAACCTGTTTCTCGTCGGGCGTATCCTCTTCCTTGACATTTACAGGTGCAGTCGAAACGTTGGTCTGAACTGGTTAGATGCCCACGCGAATTACGAGACGAAAGTAATCTTTGTCTAGAAGTTGTACTCGTGGTATTCGTACTTGTATGCGTCGAGCCGATGTAAATATAGGCGGCACAGTCTGAGGAGAAAGGGTACTAAAGCAGCAAAGCTGACGCGATTCACTATTAACTTGAAGGTATTCATTATCCATGGGAGCATTTATTCTGACCTTGGGCATCGTGGCATCCGTATCCTTATGAACAATATTAGCTATATATGATTTGGCAGCCACCTCCTCGGTATTAAGTGACTAGCTACATTCTGAGATGACGTCTATTCTGTGTCAGGCCGTGCCGTTGTGTTCTGGATGCCTGGAGTCTTTTGGGCTGCAAGGCTGCACGTCCATCTGGACCAGGTTCCCTAGGTACATATCGAACCACGTCATGTGCATGAACCGTCGGGTCAAGTCAACATTCATGTACAAGCAGGTCGAGAAGGATCAAGCCTACTTCCTACGGTCCGCTGCGGCAGGTACCAGCATTCTAAGCGAAGGGGTCTTCAGCCTTCACGCTTGCCGCCAGATCTCTCGCAGAAGGGAAGATCCACGGTACTCATAGATCTTGGGTTTGAAGCTCACATCCTGCCGACATTCGTCGTGGTTGACCCCTGATGTCGTGTAACCTTCGTCCTACGCCTACGCCAGGGTCTGCCACGAGGGAGCGGGCGACTCGTAAGAAAGTCAAGGTCGAACAAGGTCAGGCCCAAATCAAAACGCAGATCCTAGCCAACAAGGAGGCCTTGATGGCAGGGTCCAGTCGGTGAGTGCTCCATTCCATAACGATTCATAACGAACATCAATCGTTTCCCCAGGGTTGCATCGTCAATGGAGCCTCAGAGTTTTGGGTAGGTCTATGTATGGGTTACGCAAAATTTGCAGTGCTCTGTATCAGAACCAAAGGCGGCCCCCTTCTCCGAGTGAAGCCAGCTCGCGACTCTCCCGTACGACGTCAGCTCCGCCTGCTTGTATCCTCGGTCTGGAGCTCAACAACCTGGGTACCCATCATCGGATCAATGCAAGACATATCAACCGGCATATTAGGATCAGTTAGGCCCCAGTCGTTGCTCGGCGCAACTTTCTCATTCTGGGAAGAAACGGCGGTCATCGGCTGATCTCTGGAACAATGCCGGCTAATAACGAGCGGTGGTTGGGGAATTGTTGAAGTTTCGCCCCCGTCGTTCTGCGTGTTACGTCCTGCTCGTGGGCCGGAGTTGTGGCCACGTTGAGATTGCCCACATCGCTCCCAAAGGCTCTGCTGCCAGCGGTTCAAACGCAGCCCCATATCTCCCGCGGAGTCAGCGGACAGACGCACGGGATAGAACTCCGTACTTTGGCCTTCGTGAGGCCTTTGAGGCTTTATTCTGGTGTCAATCGACCGATCTTAATATGAGTTGTCAGAGTTGATATCGAATACACCGAGATCGAGACCGAGACGAATTCAGATACCGATTCCTCCGTACCTCCCCGGTCATCAAGTGTTTAGTGCCTCGGACTGCGATATCCCGAACCGGACTCGTGTCAGAGATTAGGGCAAGGAGCACAAAAGGAGCACAAATGAACACACACAGCCTTGACGTATATGGTGATGAGAACAATCATCTCGACGCGTATACCTGGTCCCTGACGTGCGGCAGTGCAATCGACAATGCGGCATCTGCGTATCCGCGTATCTATTGCACAAAGCTTGGGGCAAACCTCGAAATACCTGGGGGAAATGACGGGGGTTCAGAGGGCCGTTGAGTCGCCGTTGATACTCTACTACACTTCATCCGTCCAACATGACTCGACCTGCCCTAAAGCCGTGTACCTGCAGATGTGCTCTGTGGGAGGTAATCTGTAACTGTTTACCTAAGAATCTCCTAAGGAATACACTTGGCTGTGAAAGGTAAGGTTCACGTACGACGTCGAGCCTCAGAGAGCGCAACTGTATCTGCTTTCGAGCTATCGGTGACAATATCACCCAGTCTTATCCAACGGTTCTAAAACGGGGAGAACAAGGGGCATCGGCTTTGAGGCCCGAACATACCTTGTGCTGTGGGGTTGCCGTGCTCACTTCGATACGGACTTATCGACAAAGTACGCCGGCGACTGTACCTAGGTAGGTAGGTGCACCGCAAAGTCTCAATATCGGAAGACGTGAGGGTTACGTCCCATTACGCGCCGTCCAACGACAGTCAACAGCTTTTGGGTGTTTGATATATTGCATAAAGAGCACTGACGTGCCGGAGTTCTTCCTGACTGATCATCTATGGATGATGTCGGGAACAAATGGTCTTTTCTAATTCTGTCTTCTCACAATCGTGCTGAGACCGAACTATTTCCTGACTTTATTCTCACTGCATACAACGAGGACAGGTACCGGAGTCAACTTGGCCAACATGTGATTCGGGAACGAAGCTCAAAATCTCTTCCTCTTTGAGTAGGTGCTTTAAAAAGTTGCCTATTGCGGCTACGAAAATGCCGATCAAAGGGTCTGCAAAGATGACCACATAATCCTCCGGACCATGTGGTCACGGCGGTTTCAAGCAGATCATCCCCAAGGGTCGTTTGGAAAGTGTGGGTTTCAACGGTAGCTCCAGGTTGCGGTCCGAGCGGCCCCTACCAAGCCCCGCTAGATATTGATGAATATCCTAAAACTGATACATGTAAGGCAGCGGTATCCTGTCAGCAACATCGAGAGAGGGGGATGTCGACTGGAGAGCAACGGAAAGGGGGTGCCGACGACTCTCTGCCAGCGATGGAGCAGGAAACTGGAAATGTCGAAGGCGGCGTAGGAAGTTTTGGACTTTCGTATTGCTCTCTCTAGAGCAACAATGTGTTGGTATCGGATCAAGTTGCTTTGTTCCGCAAGTGCGTGCGAAGACGGACCGAGCACTTCAACGCGCGGCTGGTCACAGAAACACCAAGGAGAACCGATATCAGCCCGAGAAGGGCGGTTGCCTCATCTGGAATGTGTCCTTCTTGGCACCTGCCCAGCATTGCAAAGCTCAGCCCTGCTGAGACCGGCGCCGCTTTTGCGAGATGGGGAGTTTGACGATCTGCTCTCCTTCACACCACCGAGCACATGACTCGACGGCTTCTCGGAATCATTTGCAAGGGTCGAAGCAGGTCACGTTGCTTCAGGCCAGGCTCAAAAGGGACATTGACGGTGTAACCCGAGCGTTGATTGGACTGCACATCCACCAGATTCGCGATCGGCCCATTTTTGCAGAGAAAGAGCAAATCAGATAGATTTCTACCCATTACGCCCTTGGGTTAAGGCGCTCCGGGTTGAGGTATCCGCACCAGGCCTCGGAGTGGTGGGCAGGGCCCGTATTGATCCCCAGCATTCATGCGGCATGACGAACTCAAGGAATACACCCTAGCACTTACCGCTTTGAGCAGTTTGTGGCGTCGACGCTAAAGCAGACCGTCCATCAGGTGCAAGCACCAACGTTGAGGAATGCCTCGTCCAGCGGGTCACTCAAGGCGCCAGTGGGGTCACATTGGAAACTTCCTTGGGGGAGCCCATGCATCGAACGAGGTCCAGACGCCTCAAACCTCGAACAGACCGCCGCGCTTGCCATGCATTGTGTTTGACGTGGCTAGCTAAGGGACGATTTACGAAGCAGCAAGAGAGGCCAAGAAAGTATCGGTCAGCAAAAAATGTATTACATGAGCCAGCATCTGCATGGGAGACGCGCGGGGTCTTCTGTTGCGTATTGGACGGATGACGCTTTGAGCACAAACATTGTGCTTGTTGGCACGTTGCGGTTGGCGTGGGCAGTTGGGGGTGGGCTTGGGTGTGACTGATGCTGATGATGGCTTGTCGGCATTGAGGCAAGGTGGTTGTTGCTGAGAGCACCAGCGGTCTTGTCAGTCTAATGTTTCTGCCTCTCTCCTTCGTCCTTGAAAGTTGTTCACGATCCGAGTGATGTGAGCTTGGACCCCTCGATCGAAACCTGATATTCGGGAGGGATTCTGATACTTGCTAACTCCTCGAACAGGGCTCTATCTGGTGCGGTTAGGTACAGAGACAAGCTTTGGGGCCGGTGGGGGATGGGGATGATATGATCATCGATACATATGATACCTTTCCAAAGGCATAGGTATGATACTCCATCACCCTGGACAGGGACCTTGAGGAGGGACCATCAGGGCAGGTGGTGAGATGCAAGCTAGCCTCACAGAGGCAGTTGGACTGAATTCTCATCTATACCTAAAGCAGGCAAGGGCGCCTTCCCAATTAGGAAATAGGGGTGGGTCCAAGCCTCCGCTGGCCAGTCAGCGCTCAATGCCAACCTTCGCACACAAGGGCCCGGGAACCATTTCACGCGACGAACAAGGATATCCACGCCGAGCATCGCTCATCCAACAAAGCTTGCCTTGGTGATGCAGCCTCGAAATGATGACTTTGCTGTCTCTCCAATCATATTCTTTTGGCCCCCGCCTTTGGCTGACAAGGACATGCTTGTAGGGCCCCCTTAGGCTGTCCATGTCCTCCCACCAGTCACGTTGTACCTTGGTCTGAAGTACTGCCGGTGGTCCACTCCGGAATTGCTGACCTCAGGGCAAAGCTTCTAACCTGCTTCCAAAAGTCTTGGGTTTGGCTTGACGGGGATGCCAAACCTCTTTGGGTAGTCGGCATAGGGTGTCCGTTTGGTTGTGAGGCAGCCTAGCAACGTCGAGCTGGCCAGGATCTGTTTCTGCCCGTACATTTTCCCGTCGGTCAACCGACTCGTCTTCTCCCAAGTGACCCTCCAGTTGCACTTACCAACCGCTACGCCCCGGCACCCTCTACCTAGGTCATCCACCCCTGCAAGCGATCAGTTCGTGATTCTCGGGGCTAAGGAGGCCGGGGTGCTACCAGCAATGCGTATCAAGGGCATGGCAGAACAATTAATCCTCGTATGCTGCTCTAGCGCCGCTGGGCCCTGGATAGCCGCACCCAGCACGCCAGATCCCCCAAGGCGAATTATATCTTAATTCCCCTTTCACTGTCCATGGACTTCCGCCGCATCTGACATTTGATGAAATACCAAACGCAGTCCGAGATATTTTTTTTGGACGCTTCTGTCTTACATACTCAACGCTTACTCAAGTTCAAGATCCGGCTTTGAGGTTTCAGAAAAGATAAAGAGCACCTTCTCAGACCACCTGGTCCCTCGAATGACGTCGATCTGGGATCGCAATATCAACATGGACTTTGGCTTTGTGAGCTCCCCGAGTCAATCACCAAGTCAATCACTCTTCACCACCGGACAATACTTCGACAGCACCTCTGAGGGATCAAGTCCCAACTCACCTCATGTAAGTCCAGCCTCATCGACGCTTTGACGACCTCGATCACTGACCCTTCCTAAAGCAGATGAATCAAATGATGTTCAACAACGCCCCCATGCAGTATGACCTATTCCAATATGGAGCCACGCCAGCGTCTTTCTATCCCCCAACTCAGACGAACAAGATCCCTGTAGAATACAACAACGCCGCGACCATTGATCAGACCGACCGAAGAAGACGACGATCCGGCAGCACTTCGGCCCCAGCAGCCAAGGACAAGGAAACCATTCCCAACATGCATTTGGTTCGTCCCTTCCTCACATGTTCTGCTTGCAAGGTTGACTGACTCGATGGCAGCGACGACGTGCCCAAAATCGTGCATCTCAACGCGCCTTCCGCGAGAGGAAAGAGAAACATGTCAAAGGCCTTGAGCGCCAGTTGGAGGATCTCCATGAGAAGCACCAAGACCTGCTACAGTCATATACTCGACAAGCCGACGAAGTCACAAAGCTCAATGGCAGAATATCCGAGCTATCAGCAGAGCTCAATGCCCTTCGGTCATGTCAAGACCAGTCCTTCAGCGAGATGCTCATGCCAGACAAATTCGACAAGTTTGATGCCTTCTCCACCCACGACAATATGCTGTACAACGGCCCAGACTGCTACTTTGACAAGAATGCAGTCGACCTCAACTCCGAGTTTGCATTACACTCTTTTGAGGACTCCTTGTAGCATAGTCATGACGGATTGGGACTTGAGGGCTTGCACCTTCTTACTGGCGTTCTACAGAGGTCTTGAGATACCTACCTTCACGGGCTGCTTCTTCTTTCTTGGTTTTTTGTCGATTGCACTTGAGCGAAGGCGCGCATCGCGCAAGCATGGACGGAATAACTTTTGGTATTCTGCACGACTACTTTTTGATGGAACATGTGATACGTTAGGGTCTCCCCAAAGGGAAAAAAAGAGTCCCCCTTTGTGGGCAGGAGAATCCGGGAGAGCAAAGACCTTCTACATGCCTTCTACATGGGTTATCGACAGCGGGCTTTCACAGGAGCCCTGCGGATGTGGAATACCAGCGGTTCAAAGGATCAACGGATCAACAGGGTGGGAGGCCGGCAACTCCGTGCCGATTTTGAAACACTCAAATAATCTTTCTGTACTACAAGGTGATACCTCCATGAGAGTACACCGATGTCTCTCACACAGAGATACGAATTTACCCTGCATGCCTTCCCGAGCATTCCTTTCTCCTTCGCAAACCTAGAAAGACCATTAACTGAACAAGGCATTCGCAGAAAGAGTTTTCAGAAAGCCAATTTCTCTTCTCTCTTGGAAGTTTAAAGTGTGTGATTGCTTTGGCACGCGAGGCCTCAGGCCCTCGCTGTTGGCTGGCTGCTCTGGCTTCCCAAGAGGGGGTCCAAAGGCCGAAGCAACTGTAGCCAGTTCCGAGACAGCACCAACGGCATTACGAGTCTTCCATGGAGAGTTGAGAGTCACAGACACTGGCCAACAATGTTCGGGGAGGTTTAGGACGGCGAACGCGGGGAACATTTCGAGCTCGCCACCCTGCCTGTGGTTGGGATGCCGGCCTACCAGGCCAGGGTTGGTTGTACGTTGTCTGCACCCAACACAACCTGCACGCCTCGTCAAATATTCTGAGCTTTCCCTTCTTCCAACAATATGGCAGTAGCGATCGTCCAGACTTTTGGGACTCCCGTCTGGCTTCAAAGTGTTTACTCGACAACGGATTGCAACGGCTCCTCGGTTGGGGGCATTCGGCTTCTGCTCGTTGCCCTGTTTGGGCCAGCCGCGGGCATGTCCATGAGCAAGGGGCGGCCCAAGGGGAATCTTTACGGGCCACCTGAGGCTCCCGGGGAACTGCAATTGCTTGATCGGCACCGCCTGCAGCTCGCAGTGCCCGGAGCATTGGGCTCCATGCTCGGGCTAGAATATCAAGAAGTCTAATACCCGTCCACGTCGCCCGGAGCCCTCTCTTTGCTTCGTCTCCCACCCCCCAGACACGGGCTGCGACTCGCAAGGGCCGGAGCCTTTCAATTCATTCACAAGTGAGCACTGAGCAGCAAACAATATCCCAATGGGGATGAGCGCCCGGCGTTCTCCAAGCGAGGAGCTCGAAGAAGGAACCTCATCACACACGTGGTGGCTTGACTGTGCGACGGCATTTCGAGAATCGTGGACTCGTAATCTTCAACTTCGAGTTCTGATAGGGGACACGCCCACATAGGGGCAACCCTACGAGTACGCCCTACCCCTCGCCGCAATTCCTACCCACAAAGCAGCATGGACCTTTCCCTCCGGTCAAGGGTCCCAAGATTTTCCAAGACCTTGGAGATCATGTCAGCATGCATTCGCACTACTCCGGTCTTCTCTTTCCACCTGATTGCGCAGAAACGTGGCCCTTGATTCGCTCTGCCCCAAAAAGAATGAGAGGCATCAAGGGTGTGCCAGTCTGGGCGGCCGGGTAGGGTTAGCATGAAGTCTCGAGTGGCCGCCTCGAGCGTTTCCGCCTGCGCTCGGACGCTTCACGATGTGCTGCGAGCCTTGATTCGTCTATGGGGTTGTATCACTATCCCGATAGCCCTGCCTAAGGTGGTATTGCCCTTCGCCTGGTCTGTTGAGCTACGGGAAGAAACAGCAATTGATCGGTATCTCTCCTGCCCTGACCAGCGTACTCGCTTCTCACTCCCTTTCTAGACATCCATCCGCTCCACCCATCCAGACCATCCCACGGGAAACCACCATTTTCCCTTTCAGGCCAATTTCCCAAGCCAGCACGACCGCTAGGCGATGAAATGGTGGGGGCTACAGGTCTTGGGTCAGGGATACAACGCGTGACGATTAAAACACCTCGCAGTGAGAGACACCACCCCTACGCCCCGTAACGATGTGACACGCCTGACTCGTCCCTCTCTATTATTGTCTCTTCTTCGGAAATGAACCGCCGAAACGAGTGCTTACCTGTCACCCCATATCTGGAACATGCCGGAGTGGGTAATACTAGCATCCCAGCCACGCCAAAGGGAGAAGTTGCTACAGCCAACCCACCCTCTTCTCAGCTTCCCCCTTCCCCGGCCTATGTCTTGATCCATTCTCGTGCCTAATACTCAGGCAACGTGGCAATGACATCATGACACCAAATGATCTGAGTTTTGTCCAGAGCCACAAGCGCCCAGTCCATCCCACCGCGTGCCAGGCTAAGTGTTCTTGCAGTGACCGTTTATATTTGGAGACCAGCATGCTACTAGTCTAGAGGAGATACTATGTCCAGCCAACGTTGCGAGGGGGGCTTCCGCACGGAGCCGAATCGGTCTGTTGAAGCAGTCATCAGCCCTTGAAAGGGCCTGCAGATGTTGGTTGTTCGTGCGAGCCTTGTGACTCGGCAGGGCCCCCCCCTTCAACGTCCTAGTGGGCGAGTTCACATTCGTCCGTTTCAACTAGCACGACCACAGATCGTTGATCAAGCTGCAGGTGTGCTGAGATAGATATGGAACTTGCCGAACAACCGGCGGAGCATAGCTCTGGCTCTGGTTCCGAGTCCAAGGCACGGATCCGACCCTTGCGGAGGTTGTTTCCCCTTTGGCGGTCCTCCCTTGTCGGAGCTACGGGGATTTATGTAAGGGATGTGTAAGGGACTTTTGAGTCCAGGAAAAGCGGCGATGGCCTTGTTCACTATGTCCCTTGCGGCTGGCGATAGCAAGTTTGGTGATCTCTGGAGCCTGAATGCTGCTTAATAGGGCTGCTCAAGCGACGACCTCGTACAGCCTTGGCTAATCTGTCTTTCTGATCCTTGATCGGCAGCAGAAAAGATGAACACAGAGACACATTTGGCTCCCCCAACTGGAGATGCACCTCACAAGGTCCAGTGATCTTGGCAGTTTCAAAAGAGATGTTACCAGAGGTCCTGGATCATGAACACCTCCAAGGATTGCCTGATTGACTGCCTGATAAACATGTAGGTGCCCCTCAAAGACAGGCTATGAGGAGAGAAATGGAAAGCAAGAGCTGTCGTCTGCCAATGCAAGGATCCGATGTCGTTCCTGCAGGCCCTCCTCCTGGGAGATGTTCTTACGATCTAGCAACTCAAGGGCTCATGGAAGCGGGACCACCTTCCACAGCGCTCGCGCTCGACCCTCTGGGCTTCTTCTCATTCCGTCATTCAAAAGAGTCCCTTTGGTTCCGCCGACCGTCCAGGGCGGAAGGAATGTCCTGTGGCCGGAATTGCCTCACCTCCCTCCCGAATTGGGTTCGAGCTGTGCACCTGCAGGGAAGCAGGGCGGCGTCTCAGATGATGCATCACTTTATCCAAGCGGACCTAAAAGTCCGGCTAAAGCACCGAGAAACGATCTCGGGGGATCAACTCAGCGATGATTCGATCTCGCGGCTATTGGCATCTGGCATATAGCCGTTGGTGACGGATGCAAGACCAGGGCCGAACCATACAACAGTGGCATGACAGAAGGTAAGATGGCCGTCATGCTCCGAGCACGCGCGGATATTCCGCAGGCAACTACGACGTTAACGGCCGACGGACGCATATGCAGGGGGTCAAATGGACCTTCAAAGCCTCCGGAGCAAGACCCAAACGAGTCTTGGGGTCTCCTGAGACGCAGGAACAGGCCAAGGATGTGGGAGGCAGGATGAGGAGCAAGAACGGCGTTCTGCTTGGCATGTCACTCATGGGGAGGATTCAGGTCTCGCTTGGTCAAGATCATAGAGCATCAGACATCGAATTGATATTGAACAATGATCGGCAAGGGTCTCCGGCTACAGCGGTCCCGTCACTACTAGACTGCCTCTCTAGACTAGAACTCGCCTTTCGGCTGATTTCCTGGGCCTCCTCTCTCCCCGGTTCTTTCCCTCGTGGATATTGCTCGACTCGGTTGCTGGTCTTAGACCCTTTTCAAGGCCTGCCCGGCAATGCACAGGACGAAAAAAACCGCTGCTCCCCATCGCTCCCTTCGCCGATTCTTTGCGTGATGATTTCCCCCCAAAATGTGCCGGTATTGTAACAAAGATGTACTCCTGTATTATTTCCTCCCCTTCCTTACTCCGCTCCAATGCGCTTCCGTCTTCCAGCCCTCTTTTTCACGACCTCGAGGATCGCCACCGTTCGGCTCTCTTCCGTGCTTCAGCAACACTGGCCGGGTCGCGGACACCCCACATGAACAGGCCCAGGGGGATCATGAAGGCGGTGAAGAAGCCGGCGAACTGCATGTTGTGCCGCGACATGGACACCGGCGATGGTCTCCAGACGAGAGGGGTCGTCATTTTGGTTGCTTTGTGTGTGTGTAGGGGTTTAGATTTTGGGTGATGATGGTGATATGTGTCCGATTTGGCTCGTCAATCTATTCGAGCTTGACTATTTTGTTGCTTTTACTGGGTTCCTTTGTTGGCGGAGCGTTTTGGAGGCCTTTCTTTTTATTCCTCTCCCCGGAGTATGGATATAAGTGTGCTCAGTAGATGGTTGGTCGATGTCCAGTAGATGTGATTCTGACCTCGAAGACCTAGCTACAAATCCTGGCCTTATGTACTCTTGCCCTCCTGTAAGGGGTGGAGGTCCAGCCTCCCCTAGCAGAGCCTGCGCAGGGCAAGCACACCACCCATGCTGGCACGATCATACCACCAAGGCCAGGCCACATGGAAAATGGCGCAAGGGCTGTATAATGGGATCATGGTTCATGTCATGCTCGAGGACGGCGGGAGGATGGTGGTAGCATACCCATTCCGGAAACGATCTGACAATAGTGTCAGTTGATGAGTGGAGTGACATCGACAGGGGGATCTGCGGTGGGGAAGGGAGATGTTGCCTCATTCGCCGCGTGTGCGGCGGTATTGTTCCTTGTACCTCTTGTATACGGGGTATTCCCAAGATAGCCGGATCTCCAATGGTGGTGGCGTTGGAACCACCAGAATATCTGAGCATGCTCTATACTTCGAGATCTTGAGCAGTTTCGACAAGTACAAAGCCGACGACTACACTCGGGCCCTGCGTAGAGGGATCTGATCTCTGTTTCGAGTTTGCCGGGGCACGAAGCGGCGCGCCCAACGGTCGTCGCCACCAGGTACTTCGGAGGTCGGCGAATGTACCGCATTATCATGCGACTTTTCTGTGGCATGACCCGCTAAGCTGATTGCGGAGTCAGGCAACTTCTCCCCCACAACAGTCATCATCAATCATCTCACATCGGGAGCATCGGGACTGCAAAGCACTGGCGGAGTGTAGACCTGGCACTGGCAAATCCCGCTCGTTACAAAAGCCTTTGGCTGACGTCGTCCGCCGCGGCCCTCGTTGTCGGTGGCAGCCTTGTGCAGCCTTACGCCGTGCCCCACTATGTTGGCATTCCCAAGTCATGGCATCTGATTCGTCTCACCTGCTCCCGCTGTTATCTGCTCGATGCGCGATCTGAATGCACTCATATGAGAGCATAGAGGATGGTGAAGTGTCAATGAGTGCCGAGCGTCGAGATTCGCGCTCTGCATCCGGAGTCGTGGTCGCACTTCGAGATAAACTCTCCACAGCCACCAAGCACACTCGCAAGAAAGCCTTGACAATTCACTTGGGTGACCAACACATCGCCAATAAGTTTTCATCTGGCCGGAACAGAAAAGCAGACCGAGGTTCGTTGATAGTCATCTAGGGCCTGTGGACTTTGCTTAGATTGTGAGTCTAGCGACGATGACTGTTGCCCAATAATAGTGCAATAGCACATGAGAACCAGTGTACTGTATTCTTGAGCTGGCCAGAATTTCCACAGGCCTAATACTCCGCTCTGAGCTCTTGACGATTTCAATTCGAGCAGGCTCGCTGCTTCCTGTTGCAACTTCAACCTTGCTGTTCATTTCCTGGCCGTCTCGTGCCGGCGTTACCGACTGATATTACCAAGAGGGCCCAATCCTTGGGATCTATAGTTCAGCGGCCGGCGAGGGGCATTATATGTGCACGCATCCTGATTTCTACCACAAGACCAACTGCATCGGGTCGCGGAAACGCACACCTCCACCATGTTTGGTGGCATCGAATAAACCTGCCACCTCTGCACCCACGTGTGTGTCAATTAAATGAGGGCTTCGCTAGAGACTGCCCGCCCCCGGCCTGCAATCCTCGCTAGCCGTGTGGACGACGTTTGTCGGTGGTAGACAGTAGTTATGTACGGAGTACTTGTACGGACATGCTGGTAGCTTCGAGGCACTTTCAGGCCTAGGGCTATTGATTGTCTCATCCTGCGGTCTCGACGCTATTGCTATTAGAAAGCGCGAGACAGTGCCCTAATTTCACCAAGCAAATTGTGGGAGGTGCTGGAGCCTGGAGGAGATCCTGTACTCTCTCCCAGAGACACCCGAGAACATATTATGTCTCGAAGCTCATGATTCGAGGCAGGGAAATGCGGCTACCCCTCCACGAAGCTTGCACCCCCCTGTCCCCCTGATCTCTGCAGCTCCAACCTGGGGTGTTTCAGCCACATTTGCTTGCATTGGGACTCGCACAGGGCAGCTGTTCTCGCCTATCACGCGCCTTAGTCGCGCCGTACCGAGGGGCCGAACCGTGCGAAGTCGTCATTCTTTGTGCTACGTGATCGAAACCCTCAGTTTCTGGGGCAAGTGACCGTGTCCTGTTCAAACAACCCATTCAACTCTGACTTCTCGAGACACTCCCCTGCTCTCACTGTTGTTGACAGCTGCTTTTGCATAATCCCACGACAACTGAACTAGCTGTCGCGCTAAGTCCTCCGACATAGATCGGTTCTTAGACGAACTTGAACCCTTCGCTAAAATCCCTGTTGTTGCAATTTCCTCTGTCTTGCTTTCTTCTCGCTTACGTCGCCAGCATACAGAACCCTCTCTGTTGGTCGAGGCGCAAAATGATCGGATTGACTGACAACGGAGGTAGTGCAGGCTATAACTCACCATGTCCCCTTCCCTATTGACAAGCACATACCGTCTTCGTGGGTTGAATTAACTGTCCCATCGTGGTCCTTTCTTTTCCCACGCCGATACTAAGGTTCCCAAGCACCATGCGTGTCTCAAAAGCACTCTTTGCAGCGATGCCTCTGCTCGCGACGGTCACAGGCTCGGCAATACCATCTCTGGAGACGCGCCAAACGGGATGGCCAGCTTGTCAGCAGACGCTCAGCTGCACGTTCGACCAGATCCAGTCTTCAACCATGCAAGAACGCCTGACGTTCGTACAGTATATGGAGAGTCAATGGTTTGGTCCCTTGAACTCTGCCGACCAATTCCGCGCCATTGAGGGGGTCATCACCTTCTTCATTAGCAAGAATCTCGGCGCGCCCAATAGCTGGATCAGTTATGTCGACACGGGCATTGTCGAGGCAATCCAACGCGGTGGCGCCATGGCCCTGGGTCTCAGTACAGACACGGGCGGAAATCCCGGCACTACATTGTGGAGGGATTTTTTCATCGCAATGCGAGATGGCACGTTCGCAACACGACAGGTCAGTCTCTTTTTTTGTTTTGGGCGATTTCGAGAGATGGACATGCACCATCGTTTGTATCTCTCAAGCCTCAATCCTGTCGCTATCGCCCGCGCTGGCCGAATCGACTGCTGACAATCCAGTAGGACCATGACTATGCCTGGGGCGAGGCAGAGGCCACTGCCACTGAGTGGTCAAAAGCAGACAAGGCCGATGTGCTGGCCTCAGCTCCCGCCACCCAGCAAGAATTAAACTGGTACGAATTCACGGTGCTGTTCCGATGGATTCTGCGACACGAGCCTGAGACCATCCTGCTCCTGACGCCCATTTTCCTGTTTGAGGCCGACAACTTCGTGTATTGGCTCACAGATGTGACGAGATCCGAGCCCACCATTTGCGGATCGCAGGCAGCCTGGGCGATATCGGGGACGTTCAGCTTCACACTGGATAGTATCATTGAGTTCCCCGAGAACGTCGTCGATCTGTTGACCGCTATTTATGACTGTGGTAGTGACTTTTTTGAGAACTCTTGAGCGGCGCTTATGCGCGCACTTGCCTCGCATTGGAGGAGAATGAAGGGAGAAGTGTTGAAGTCTCAATTCCATGCCTTTGTACATTTACCGTTGATACCATAGCTATGTAATAATTTCGCATAAAATCGCCGCAGCTGATTGTTCCTGGCACGACATATACCTTTTTGCATTCGCAGGGAATTGGGAATAATAAGATGAGATTATGGTAACTGCGCGGTGCTTGAAGAGACTACGGAGATGTGGCGCCACAGCCAAGACTCGATGAGGCTGAGAAATGTGGCTTGCCCGATCTTTCCCACATTGGGAAAGAATGTAAACACGAGATGGGCCGAAAGTGCGTTCAACCACCACCACCATCAATGATCTGCACAACAACCATTTCCGACTCGTTTCCTCGAGTTGTTTCGCTCGCTTTTGTTGCTTTCCGGACTCGATGGATGAATGAATGTCCTTTCAGCGGGAGGTGAGGTATCCACGGCTTCTCGGTCATCCGACTCGCACCAGACCACACCGCCAAATAATTTGTGAATACATGACGATTGCGGGTGGACCTTTCCTCTCTCTACTTTGCCTGTCGACTATCGGTACTCGATGCTTTCCCTTTCGCACCGAAACGGCATATGACCAGCAATGTGAAACATGTCCTCACAGCCCTACAGTCTTCGAAGCCGGCTGAACACTCAAGTCCCCTCCCTGCGCTCGACCCCGACTCCTTCGCCCATTCCCAAGGCCGGAACCGGGCTTGCTCGCAAGGCTCGCTCTACGGACTATGCGCTGCAATTGCAGAGGGTTATTGGGACAACGACAAATGGTCCGAGTGGGCTGGCATGCTGTCCGAGAACAAGCTCGTACGCCTATTGCGCGGGAGCGGTAGCGGTGCTTGCGAGGCTCGGTTCCGATGATACACCTATCCTCCGATATTTCAAGGCCCGACCGACTGCGGTTTCACTGAATCCACCCACTTCTCACTATGAAAGCTCACCATCAACCACGCCATCCAGGAGGAGGATCAGCACGTTTACTCCCAGAAAGGGACTGGAAGAATATAACGGTGGCCCCGCAGGCCGCGAATGGCTAGAAGAGTCTGGCGGGCAGACATGGACCGCAAGGGAGCGTATCAAAACCGCAGCTTGCGTGGCTCTGAGTCGTGACGGCCACTGGCTCGCAGTCGGGGAAGCAGGTTACAACCCTCGAGTTCTCCTGTTTTCAACTGCCGAAGAAGCCTCCTGTGAGGTACCTACTTCCATCGTCACGGATCATACCTACGGCCTGAGATGCATAGCTTTCAGCTCAGACACGAAACATTTGGCGACTCTGGGCGACTACAAGGACGGATTCTTGTTCGTCTGGTCCTGTAATGTCAAAACCGGTCAATTGAGTTTACACTCGGCCAACAAGTGCACTGCCAACATTTTTGATATGACTTGGTGTGGCAATAATGTGATAACGGTTGGCACGAGATGCGTTCGACTCTGGCAAATACAGGACGCAAGAAAGCAGTCACCCGCCAGGAGATTGAGATATCGCCCATCCGAAGCATCCCTATCGAGCCCCGGACCAGTTCCGTTGCAAAGTCGTAATGTCTTGCTGGGGCCAATGGTGGACAGCACGTTTACGTGTGCCGTGTCAGTCGACGAAATCAACGTCGTCATTGGCACGGAAACTGGACAAGTTTGTTTGGTCGACATCTCTCAGAACGTGCTGGAGCTCAAAGTTCTAAAGAAGCTGGATTTCTCCATCACCTCCATCGCCTTCATTCTGGAAGACAGAAGACTGTTGGTGGGCACTCCCCACGGGGTGCACAGCGAGAATTTTGACACGTTGCGGAGAGAGGAGAGTAAATCGCCTTCCAAGCTCTCGTCGCGGAAACCTCGCTTGTCATCCATACGACGCTCGCTCGGCTTGCTTGACCAGGCGGAGAGAAGTTTAGTGGCCATAGGGACGCTCACAAACCACACGATTACGTTGAACAATGATGGCTGTTTGCAAATCCAGCGTCGCGGTTTGGAGGATGGGGACAACCTTCAACCCACATTTGCCGCTCACAAAAGCGTCATTCTAGGAGTGCGGACGCTTCCAGAGTCTGCTGCCCAAGGCAACTTTTTCACCTACTCGAAGAATGGAGAAGTGAAGTTCTGGAGTTCCAGCGGCGCACTACTGAAGCAAGAGAGTCTGCCTCCTGACACGGCTGAGTCACGAGACGATGAGTTTGAGAATGAGCTGACCCAGATGCGTTTTCTCTCCCCTCATGATATCTTCATCGCTGGTGATCGATTTGGATTATTGAAACTGATCAAGAGCCACGATTGGCAAATTGCACACACAATCAGGGCACACAGCGCAGAGATCACCTCGATCGACGTTCTTGAGTCTGGATCGCTTGTTGCGACATGCAGCAGAGACCGGATGATACAGTTGTTCCACGTGAACAGCGATTCCTTTGAGCTCCTACAGACGATGGATGACCACGTTGGGTCCGTCAATCAAGTGATGTTCATTCAGAACGGCGAGAAATTACTGTCTTGTTCTACAGATCGGTCTCTGGTCATTCGCGAGCGAATGCTGCGACAGCCCCATGGTGTCAAAGCTGTGGCCTATCTCGCTACCAAGGTCTTAACACTCAAAGGCACACCGCTGTCGATGGCGATGGCATCTGGAAACACCTTGATCGTGTCGACCATGGACCGTCGTGTTACAAATGTCGATATCTCCACAGGCACATTGCTCGAGTCGTTCAAGGTCGGCGATGTGGAAACCGATGATACCGTTTTTTTGAATTCTATGGTCTGCTCGTCGATCCCAGACAATGGAGATCAAAAGATGCTGATCGGATACTGCTCCATGGACAAATCTATCCGGGTCTACAATGAGAGGAATTTCACACTTCTAGCGCGAGAATCTGGACATACGGAGGGAGTGAGTGATATCGCCCTCCTTGAACAGCCCAATAATTCGAGTCCCGGTTCTCGGTGTACGGTCATAAGCACTGGCTTGGACGGCACCATCATGATCTGGAGCATCTCGAAGATAGCACCTCTATTACTCACGCCAAGCATCTCACAAGGACAGGCTGGAGGCTTGGGACTGGTTGCTGACGAAACCGAGGTGGCTAAACCCACGCCGTCATCACTTCCGCCATTGAGAAAGGTTTTGACAAAGAGTGATATAACGGAACTCCTAGGGGCGAATGGGCAAGCGTCACCTTCTACTCCTCGGTCTCTGTCGCCGGTGCGATTGCAGCGGAAGACGTCAAGACTTGCTCTTGCGACGTCCCTCGAAGACCTTGAAGAAACGCCAAGTAGGAAGACCGGGTTTCCTACCGAGCACAGCGATTCACCCAGTGGTGAGAAAGCAGAGATGCGACGTTCACCTTCTCCGCCGCCAAGAGGGCCATCGAAATTAAGAAGTCAAAGGTCTCGAGCAGACATCAGCAAAGACATCGAGTCTAAAAGAACACCATTGGCAGAGCGCTCGCCATCGCCGCCTGCAACGGCCGTCTCGATGCCGAGCACTCCGAAACTGCGGCAAAAAGCCAACAATGGGCGATTGCGAAGACCGCCTTCGGTGCCTTCTGATCTGCGGGCTCAAGCAGCAGCTCAAGGCCGCCGGCAGAGTATGAGCCAAGCATCCGATTTTGGCAGTATGGCCATGGCAACCGATCAGGCGACACGGATGCTCAAGATATATAAGAAAAAGTTGACCCTCAGTAAAGAGGCAGTTGATCTGGATGATCTAGAGTTTGAAATTTCCGGGCTGTTGAAGATACTTCAGGAGAGGAAGAACAGAACGCCCTCGGGACAACAGCAAGATGCTCGAGCAGCAAATACCAGTGACAAAGCAAAAGTTGTGACAGAGAGCGAAGTTGATCAGTTGGCGGTTTTGTTGGAGGGATCAAGTATGACTCAATCTCCGACAACAGCTTCGGGCAGCAAGGATATACTGGGGTCCAATGTATGAATCTCGTTGGTTGTTTTCTTTTCGGGTATTGGTCTGTTTCACCTGGGGAAGCGCAGGACTTGTCCTTTTGGGCATGGAGTTATGACGGGATCTTTCTTGATGTCTGAGACTTGGGCTTTTTAGTATGTGATCTCGGATTGGCATGGAGGGTTGTTTCTTTCCCTTTTCTTCATTTCAGTTGAACGGAACATGGTTCGGACGCAATCAGAAGCTAGGGAAGAACCACAGTTGCAAGGAGGGCTGGAAAATCGTGGCGGACAATGGAAAGCAGCCACAGGCGGCGTTTGGGCTCAAAGGACAGAAGATACCACTATTTTCATTCTGCGTGTAAATAAGCGGGAGAGCGATGTATAAAAGGGACCTATTTACTATCTATTTCTACCTTTGCGGTCAAGACTAGGGACCGGTTTGACCTGATATCAAGATGCGACCCAGCCTCGTTGATGCGGGGTGCCACATCTCAGCCTCACCAGACTTTCAGCCTCGTCCACTTCCCCGCATTTGCCATGAGCCATTGACGTCTCTGGGAATCGCACCGTTTCGCATTGCGTAGCACAAAACACAGCGAGTATGCTGACCCCCGACTAATCTAGAGGCGTTAGTGTGTGCCAGACTATCTTCTCTACGTTTCCACAGATGAAGGCCGATCCATGACAAGACGACCATCTATCTGTCCTTGCATCCTTGCAGACCAGGTGCTTGTCAATATCTTCGATCCCCTGCAAAGTTCCCCGGCCAGATCTACATTACACAACTTAGCCACCGTCCTTGCAAACCCGGGCAGCGATGGCCCCCGCCTCGGAACCCTCGCAGGCCACGCACCTGCACTACCTGCGACAGGCCCTGTCCCTTGCACGCCAGTCGCCGCCGAAGCCCACGAACTTCCGGGTCGGATGCGTGATCGTGTCGTTCGCTGCGTCACCTAGCACCGGCTCCGACGGGGCCGCCACGACATCCAATGTAAAAGAAGGGGTAGTTGGAGGAGGAGAAGCACAGAACGAGAACGATGTTGTGATGGAAGGCGAGGTCTTGTCGACGGGATACACGCTGGAGCTCGAGGGGAACACGCACGCGGAGCAGAACGCGCTGACGAAACTCGCGCACGCGCACGGTATCCTGTCGACCTCGACCTCCCCGTCCCTGTCCTCGTCGCCCTCGGACCTGGCCCTGCTGGGCCGCCGCGTGCTCACGCCGGAGAGGAACGTCTACCTGTACACGACGCTGGAGCCGTGCGGGAAGCGGCTCAGCGGGAACACGCCGTGCGTGCAGCGGATCGTCGCGACGAGGGACCCGACAGCGGCGACCGGCGGCGGCGGTGGCGGCGGCATCAGGAAGGTCGTCTTCGGGGCCCGCGAGCCCGGCACGTTCGTGCAGGACTCGCAGAGCCTGCAGATGCTGGACGCCGCCGGCGTGCCCTGGGAATACGTGGCGGGGATGGAGGAGGAGATCCTCCGCGTGGCCAAGGAGGGACATGTCGTTGTGGTGAAGGAAGAGGGGGGATCTTCAAGAGACACGCCCACGCACAGCCACGCGCAGGGGCCCACGAATGTCGACGACATCTCGCCCGAGGAGAGACGGCGGCAGGAGGCGCTGCCCCGGAATCCCAAGAAGAGGATGATGGAGGTCGACGTCCCGCAGTGACCGAGGAAGGGGACGGACTCGACATTTTCTCTTTTTCGATCCTCCCCCCCTTTTCCCCCCATTGTTCCGAACGCCCGTTTTACTTCCCGATGGGAGGAATCCAGGGCGGAGTAAGCGAGAGGAGAAAGGCGACAACGAGCTTGGCTCGAGGGAGTCACCACGACATCACCGTCTTCTGGGACGCCAGCACAAACTTTTGGTGGTTAAGCCATTCCCTTGTTCCCTGATACCGGTGCCGTACCGGTGCCAGTGCCGGTGGCCCTGCTCTTCCCAACGCGAGACCGGCAAAGTCGAGGTGTCAGTCCAGTCAGCACCCTTGGACTCTGGTTTCTAAATGCTGGACCGGATGAGGGAAGACAGGGCAAATATGCAACGATGAAGAACCGTTTATGACGGCGATGAAGCGGCTACGAAATGCTCTAACACAGCAATCAGAGATACACATCTATTGCTCCAACGGACAGACACGTTTGAATGGACAGAATCGAATGTTGAAGTTGTGCATCGCCGTTGATTGTCTTGCATTGCTTTGTTTTCATGCTGCTTTGTGCTATATTACTCCAGCTGGGCGTCTGTGTCGAAGCAGAAGCGTTTGAACACTGTTCCCTTTCGCCCAGCAACCACTATCGACTATCATAACATTCATTCACAATCGTCATTTCCAATCTTCGACCGTCGGCCCTGGGTGCGCCGTTGATCCTTTCTGTCATGCTAACGCTTGTGCTCCGCTGTCGCTGCGTCTCTAGATCCTCGACATATCCTCGTCCGATGTTAACTCTGGTGGCCAGACGTCCCGCTGACGGATCTCTTCCGCCCTGTTCATAACTAGATAACAGTCTGTATGCTGAGAATGCCGCCATTAACATCTCTCGTGCCATTCCATTGTGTCTCAGCTGTCAGGTCGAGACATGAACATTGGACTGAAAAGGTGTGCGATGGACAATTTCTTCCGCAATAGACTCGAAGTGGTCGCCGCTTCTTGCACGGCTTCGACAGACAACTTAGGGAGTAATGAGTCATTAGAATCCGTGCGTTCCAATTGCTTTGTTTCCATGAGCTGCCCGCTGCCGGCTTCGATATCTTCGACCGCTCCCGTCCTCTTGCCCTTGTCGTCGCCACTGTTCTGCCTCCTTTTTTCCCACTCGGCTTGACTCGCCTCCCATTGCATTCTCTGGTTCTCCTTTTCTGATTGCTAATCAATCCTCCCCTGCTGCTCCTGTAGCTTGGCTTCTCGCTCCTTCCAGTCAATCTTGCGCTTCTTCTGTTTCTTTTTGGCTGGTGACTCGGCTGGTTTCTGCTCTGGATGTCCCTGCCGTGCACCATTTTTTGACCGCTAATCAATTCTCGCTTGTTGCAAGCCTCGTCGTTTGGGGGGAAGATGGCTGGCCATCAAATTGTTGGTTAAACGTACTTTAGAGCTACTGATGCGGGTGTTCGAGTGGGTCTTCCTCATTTTCTTGCGCGCAACCATGACTGGCACTGAGGATTTGGTGACAAGATAGTTGGAGAAGGATCCAAGGAGGACGCCTTTCAGAGAACTGCGGCCACGCGTGCCCACGACGCAGAGAGTTGGGTCGAGCTCGTCAATCTAGGAGAAGGTCAGAAATGGTCATGTATAAAGGTTAGGGGAACAAACCGCTCCAAGAATCAAATGTTTTGGACTCTTGCAGTGTATGACTTCGACCATGCATCTCACTTGCAGTGTCGTCTTGCGGACCAACTTGACAAAATCCTGTGTCAAGCCCTCGATAGCTTTTAAACGCTCCATTTCTTTCTTAGAGACTTTTCTTGCGTCGACACTGCCAGTAAGGCTCTCGACTTCAGTGGCGGGGATATACTGTGATTCCTTTCCTAATCCGAAACTGGTGCCACCTCCCTGTGTTGTCTGGCGGGTCAGAGTCTGCATGACGGCGGAAGCGTCTTTTCCAGCCTTGCTACCTTCGGCTGTCAGAATCTCTCTTTCGGCTTCGGTAGTCTTCCCAGAACTTTCATCCTCAATTGCGTAGATGGCAAGGAGAGTATCACCATCCCTCATCATGGTGCCTACAACCCATTCCATGGCATAGCTTGCTTCAACGCTTTGATCACTGCAAAGGAGATAGAGTCTTGCCGTCCTTTTGCCGACCTCCGACTCTTGGTAGAAATGCGCCCAGTTCCCGCGCAGAATGATTCGCACATGCCGGTCGGCCACGGTGGAGTCAAGTGGTGATATATTCAACGCCAGAGTTTTGGCCTTCCTGATGGCGGCTTCCTCATCATCATCTTCCTCAGCCGATGTCACAGACGACCGTCTAATAGGTGTACCCGTGTCACCTTTCTGATCTGTCACATTTTCTCCTGTGGGACTGGTAATGGAAATGGATGGCTCAAGTAGCGACCTGACGAATTGTTGAGAGTGCGAGGTTCTCTTGACACCCTCAGGTGATGAAGCACCATTCGTGGCAGAGGACTTTGCATCGGTGGCTGCCGTGGTGGCTGACAGTTTTCGTCTTTCCGACCGACCCCTAGTCTCGTCTTCATCACTACTGGGAGACAAGACATCCTCGTCACTGTCGTCCACAGCATCCTCTTCACCCGCAACACGGTCCTTGGTGAAACGATCAAATCCTTCTTCTGAATCTTCGGTTGCAGTCGAGAAGCTACCTGACGACAATCGAAGATGCGCCTGATCGTCCACAACAGTTCCGGATCTCGTCGTTAAGGGACCTGATGGACTGGTGGGGCTGAGGAATCCTGCTTTTGGGGGTTCAGGCTTCCGAATGCGTGAGGATGGAGATCTTGAGCTAGCACCGACACCCACGGTGGAATTATGTCTTCCATGGCCCCCTGCTGGGACGCCTACATGGAGGGAAGCGAGATCCCCGGACAAAGCAGCGGCCATGGCGGAGCCAGAACCCTCACGTGGTCTCTTGTTATCCGGGGAAGAGCGCGATGCAGATGAAGATGAAGGTATTGAGGAGATATCAAACTGATAATTTTGCTCGAATCCTCGCTTCTCGTCCGCCTGTATCTTTGGCAACCCCACCGGCCGTTCGGTCTCTGACGAGTTCCGCTGTCTCGTGGTCACTGGAGAGGTCTTGGTGAGGACGGGGGAGCTCGGTTTGCTGGAATGAGGAGAGGTCCAGCTACTGGGGTCTGAGGGATCGAGTTCTTTGGCCGGCTTTCTAGATGAATTGGGACTCGTGACTCCAACACCGATGCCCGCTATGGAGCCATGTCGCGGAGTCGGAGAGTCGACGTCAAGCATGCTGCGGACGGGCGGCGGAGTGGCGGTCCTAGGAGGTTTGAACCTGGGAATGGGACTGGAGGGTCGTTTTCGATCAAGGGCAGCTAGAACTTCTCTGTTTTCTTCATCAAGCAAGGCCTCCATGCTCATGGGAGCTCGCGACCTCGAAGGCGGTCGATCCATGGTGTCACAGTGGTGAAAGGAACTCTCTGTGGAAATAGAGGATAGAACAATACGACTGACTTACAACAGGGATAGGACAGATGTCGTATGTGTGCCCTCATGGAGTGAATGCTAGGAGCAATGGACAGCGAGATGGTTCGTGGTTTCTGTGGCCGACCAAATCGATCGCCCGCGCTTGCCAGTGGGATTGACACTCTTGGCCGCAGGCGGGACAAATGGCTGGCGACCAATAATCAAGCAGGCACAGCCTCTGCCCAGGAGTCAAATTGAGTGGTTTTGAAGCGGATGGGGCATCAGCAAGGAGATGGCCGTGTCCCAGCTCGTATGTAAACCTGCGCGTGCACACACAAGGCATGGCCGAGCGCATCTGGGATCTTGTCAGAGAGGGATTGGCAAAGACATTGTTGACCTCGACGACGACGCGGGCACGATGCGTTGAAAAGGTGCATGTCCGACGGGAAGGGACGCAGTTGGTGGGGGGCGCGGCCGGGCTTGGGGGGGGGGGGGACGGGGGGTTAGTGACGGACGCCTTGGTTTATCGATAAGAGATGCCTAAGCTTCAGGTGCTACTGGCACCAGTGGAGGTGGGCGACTGGGCAGCTGACGAGTAGCCCTACCCTATCCCCGTACCCTCATTAACTGGCTGCTGGCCAACCTTTAACCAATTGACAGTACCTGTAGCTTCCTTTCAAGAGCATGTCATGCATGCCACCAGCCGAGGCAGCCTCTAGCCATCATCCACCACCCCCGATTACACTGATGCCAATCCTCCCTTGGCGAACCCTGCCGTCATAATGCCTGTGGCTTCATGCACCTCCAGCTCCTTAGATTGCACACAGCAACCCTCTTCAGCACCGTCATTGGCCCCTTTCGCCCTTGATGCCAACTTCTTCTAGTAACGGCGTACGAGGTACAAGCGTCAGAGCTCCTCCAAGGCTGATGTCGACAACGCCCTGAATATATCCGGAGCCTGAGGAAGCTCAAACCCTGTCTGTCCTCGTGAGGCAGCTGCTGACCTGCTGTTCTAGCTCCGATTCATGCCAGCTCTCAACTTCCATGCGCCTCCGAGAATGCTACAAATATTCCCAGCCTTCCCATTTTTCACCATGGCTGACATTCCCCCCTCCAGATCTCGCCCAGCGCCAGGATGGCCGGCTCCTACGTGTTTGCGGTCATTGTGACACTCCTCTCTGCGTTGGGCCCACGCTCTACGGCGGCTCAGAATTCCTGTGGCACGGATCAAAATCCATACTGTGCGGGCGACAGCACATTTGAACAAATCTGCTGCCCTTATCCCAATGTTTGTTACTGGCAAAACCGTAATGGTGAGCCAGGTTGCTGCCCGGCTGGTCAGGTCTGCGATGGTTCCTCTCCTTATTACCCCTCGACCCCTCAGCCAACGCCTACCCTTCAAACAACTACCGTACATCCATCTACCATCACAATAACGCCGACCCCTGTCCCTGCGCCGTCGACTACTGTGGTCACTGGCGGGGGGATCATCATTGTCACCACTGTTCCTAACAGCGGTGCTACTGTTACCACGGCGCCCTATAGCATTGTCACCATTACTACCCATCCAAACAGCGTCAGTACGATAACCACCATCTATACCGGCGCTTGTGGTGGTGGAGTTTGTTCAACTGTGACCTCTGGAGTGGTTGGCGTCTACTCGACTGTGACTTCAGTGGTTAGCGGAGCATTCTCCACCGTCACTTCTGGTGCTGCCAGCGCATTTTCCACCGTTTCTGGGATCCTGGTGGGATCCAACAATGCTCCCGGTTTGAGCCCTGCCTCGATGTTTGTGCACTTTATGGCTACTTTGTTTGTGATTGTGGGGAATTTGTTTGGATAACAAATTCGTGCACGACTGGTCGAACTTTCTACCCATGGGGCTAGTGGTGGCCTCGAGCCAGATTTATCTGATCAGCGGCTTTCGACCACCGCTGATTGGACAAATCCAAATACTACAGAACCAGTCCTGAATTTGGGGATTCCAGCTATATCTCGCTCTCAAAGAGAAGGTCTGGAGGACGTGGATGAGCCGCAAAGACGCTCTACGGAGCGGCAAATCTGTTGAGAAGGAACGCTACAGACTTCACATGCTGCGCAGAGGTTGCAAATCTCGACAGGACCGGGTTTGCCGGTGCCTCAGTCCTCAGTGGACAGTAATGAGCCAAAAGACCAATTTACCCAGCTAACGGCACGATGACACGTTCGGGTAGGACAAAACGAAGCCGTTAACGCAGGGAAAGCCTCCGAGGACGAGACTCCTCGCTGGCAGGTTTCGCACCGCCGAATGAACGCTGGAAAGGCCTGGTGTAATGAGGCTACCCGAAGATGTCTTTCCGAGAGTCATCGAAGAAAACTTCTGGATCATCAGGGTCTCAGTAAGATCAAGTATTATGCGCGGCGGAAATGGCAAAGAAGCTGCACCAGAAGAATCGATAGGCATCCCTGTTACGCAGCCTCACGTTCTAAATGTCCGCCCACGTCTAAGATGAGATCAGAACAAAATAACAGATTCAAGAGGTTCTCGGACGCTGCCATATGTGGAGGCGGAAGGATCCACACATCATCTAGATGGCTACCTTTCCTTCCTTCAAGAGAGACATGACTCCAAAAACATCTATGGGGTTCTTCCGAGCAGTCTGGATAGTCTTCTGTGCATAAACATCCCCTTCTCGGTCGCCATCTTATCTACCGCCCCCTGGGCAGCCGACCTCTTAATGACATGGGAAATGGTATACTGTGATCCCGACAGCCTCTTCAGAGAGAACTCGGAAGCATGACGACGTAGATAGCGTTTCGGGTGCAGGTTTTCAAGATAGTTGGTTGCGAGCATTCAAGAGCTGACTATGAAGGAACACCTAATGCGCATTAGAAAAATTGTTTCACAAGCGAACATCAGACCCTAACTCCTTGTTTTCCAGTCAAAGCAATCTGGTCACACCCTCCCACACGATCCTGAACTTCTGCTCGTCCTCTCGCCCGATGTGCACGCACTGCCTCAGTATCCCGTCGAAGTCATCCCAAGTCGTACAGCCTTGCGCTCGGCAAGCGTCCGCGAGCAGGGCCACAATCCACGGCTCGCACTGACTCACCCAGCTACCCACCGCGAGGACCCACAACTGCAGCGCCGGCACCGCCTCCCAGCTGCCAGCTTGGACAAACGACAACTCGTTGCGCAGTTGCACAACCAGCGCCGGAAACTGGGACCAGTGCAAGGCGTGTCCGCGGATGTGGTGGTGAACATACATCAACGCGGCGTAGGCAACGGTCCGCCACATGGGGTCGCTGCCGCCCTGCAGATTCGTGTACACGTGCTCCTGGATCGTCGTGATCCGCGTTGCAAGACACAGCCGGCGTTCAAAACGGAAGAGATTGTCGTGTCGCAGTGTCCTTTCAGTCGTTGTCAGCGTCGCCAGAGGTCGCGCTTGGACGTCGTTGCACACAATCTGGATCTCGCGCAGCAGCGTCGTGATCTCCTGCGCGAGGTCGCCTGCAAAGCGTGCCTGGAGCGGTTCAAGGTGCGTGACCGGATCGTCGGCAATGGGGGCGTAGAGCGCCTTCCACGCCTCCTCCCACCGCGGCAGAAGCGAGAAGCGTAGCGTTCCCCCAAAGAGTTCCACGAAGAAAAGATCGTTCCACGTGATGATTCGCTGTAGAAGAACCCCGACCGTGCCCAGCCTGGCGAGGCCGTCGAGCCCTCCTCGGAGCTTCACCAAGGCCTCCAGGCCGGCCATGTGCCTCGCAGCTTCGTCCCGGTTCAGGAATTGCATCGACACGTTGATGAACATGGACACTGCGGCGAGGGCCTCGTCCGTGACAGCAGCCGAGGATAGCAGGTGCGCATTGATCATTTGGATGGCCGCAATCTTGTGTTCCAGGATCCGAGGGTTCTGGTATAGAAAGATGTCTTGGTTGATGCCGGTCAGTTTGCCGTGCCAATGCATCCCCCAGGAATACAAGTTGGTGTGCAGGAGCATCGGTGAATTGGTGACGAAGGGTACCCATTGAGACTGTCCGTTGACCGGGCACCACGGGATACGGTCGTAATTGAGCCATCGTGTAATCAACGTTTCGTCCCAGGGTTGGACATGGATTGGCAGAGTGGAGAAGACGTCCATGAGGTTGCTGCCGCGCGGTTGCCTTGAAATCGCGGGCGGATTGTAGGGGATGAACTGCGAATAGGCCGCTCTATCTGACAGCGTAAGAGAAAGCGTCTCCTGGGTTGATTGAGCAGATTCGTCGGAAGATGATAACTCGGTTGTTGAAGTGCGCGGTTTTCTCCTTGGCCGAATCGTCAATCGCTCGCGCATGACCAAAGGCTGGACAGCTGATTCCGGGGAAAGGAGCCCTGGCAATGGCTCTTTTGGCGCAATGGCATACGTGGTCGGGGTCGACATTTTCCACTGCGTATTTCTTTGCTGGGCAGTCTTCCGCTGATAGTCATGCATCACATGTGCTTTGGCCGAAGCTCGAAGCTCCGGTTGGATTTTGGCTCTTGCTCCAGGCGCAGCCGACATGGGGATGAACATGAAGTTGGGAGCTGGCTCCTTGGCCGTTTTGCTCACCCCTGGATTGTCGCAATGTTGTTTGCGCTCGGCTTTTCCAGACTGCAGATTCTTGGACAGCCTTGTCTGCCTCAACGACGTGACGTTGCCACGTGGTCCTACACGGCGCTCTCCGAAGCCCGGGGGACCTACAGGTGACTGAATCATTCTGTGCAAAGTTCAATGTCTCACCAAATGATTTCTTTCTAAGTAGGAAGTGCTGGGAGCAATTTTACCAGCAGTGAAACAGGACTGGGTGGTGTATGAGGAGCAGCAGCATATGAACGGGAACGAAACTTGAGCCATGGTAGGACTTTTATAGGGGAATACTTCACCTTGTAAAACCGAGCCTCTAGGAGATCAAAATTGGCTCCAGCAACGAATGCATCGGACCAAGAGCTTCGCCAGCTCCTCTCACCAACGGACCATACACGATGGAGAGTCTGTTCCGCTTCCAGTGGTGGAATGGTCATCCCTTTGTCAGCGGCGTGAGGCCAAGACGCGCAGCACCTGCAAGCGTGCCAAAGTGAGGGATTAGAGGTCAGTTGTTGTGACCGAAGCATTAGGGAAATGCGGCCAAGATCACACAAGCTTGATTGAACACGAGCTCTAGGTTATAAATCCTCGATTGAGGGCGGTCCGACCATGTGCCACGCTCGAGGAAGATGGAGACGGGTTGAGGCAGGGAACAGCAAAGGACCCAATGGTGCGCTCGAAGGGAAGACGTTGGGTTGCAGACGCACATGCTGTGGGCGCCCTGAGGCACTCTCACGGGAGCCTTTTTCTCTTGGTTTTTCTCTAGGGCCATGGCAATCCAGAAGAGAGGTAAAAGAGGGGAACATGGATGAGGGTTTGTCAAGGCAAGCTGGGATGGAGGTTAGACCAGTTGGTCGAGCTACAAGTACTCTATTGAGGAGTATTGCAAATTCCGCAGGGGGAAATGCTACTGATTTCCTAGCTAGTGTTAATGGATGCCCAGTAGTACCTATTAGGTTCCTATTATTGCCTAGCTCTCGAGCACTGTCAGTAATAGAGGTATCTGCTATGAACTAACCAGAGGAACAGGCTCAGCGATGACGTCGATCGCTGGAAATCGGAAAAAAAACACGCTCTCGAGCGCGGCGCGTCCTGCGGATTGACCTTCACGTGGACCTTCACTGGACCTTTCCTGTTGCCAACTTGAACTTCAATCTCGACTTCCTTTCACTGCAGCCTTAAATTTCTGATTGTCTTGCATATAAGATCTTTCCCTTACCGCTTCGTCTAATCTACACACTCTCTCTTGTCTCGTTTCATCCGTCTGTATACCTCGAATCACCCGCATTCGACGTTCCGCTGCTTCCTCTCCTCATCATGCCTCGAAAAGCCAAGTCGAAGCCGCAGCCCGCTCAGGCCTCTGAGCCTGATGATAGCGGAAATCACTCAGAGGGAGGAGAAGATCTCACTCTAGACGCTCCATCCCAGATCGATCCCTACGCTGTTCTGCATGTCTCTGAGACTGCTACATCCGACGAAATCAAATCTGCTTACCGCAAACTCGCTCTCAAACACCACCCAGACAAAGCTCTCCCTGAAGAGCGCGAAGACGCACACAAAGCCTTTCAGCAAATCGCCTTTGCTTATGCCATCCTCAGCGACGAGCGCCGACGCAAACGCTACGATGCCACAGGAAACACGGCTGAGAGCGCCAACATTGACGACGATGATTTCAACTGGGTAGATTTCTTTCGGGAGCAGACCGAGAACGTGGTAAGAGGTGATATGATTGAGCAAGTCAAGAAGGAATATCAAGGCAGCGAAGAAGAGAAAGACGACGTGTTGGCAGCATATGAGCAGGGTGAGGGCGATATGGACGCAGTCTTTGAGAGTGTCATGTGCAGTGACGTTGTTGCGGACGAGGACCGGTTCAGAAAGATCATTGATGAGGCTATCGCCCAAGGCGAGGTGGAGGCATATAGTCGGTACACAAAGGAAGACAAGAAAAGTCGGGAACGGAGGAAGGCAAATGCAAAGAAAGAAGAAGCGGAGGCGAGAGAACTAGCTGAAGAGCTGGGAGTCGCGGAAAAGCTCTTCGGCAAGAAAGGCTCTGGCAAAAAGAAATCCAAGACAGGAGGGGACGACAATGATGCTCTTCAGGCTCTGATTCAACAGCGTCAGCAGAGCAGGGCTCAGAACTTCTTCGACGATCTGGAGGCGAAGTACGGGGGTGGCGCGAAGAAGGGCAAGCGTAAGGCCGTGGATGAACCGCCAGAGGAGTTGTTTCAGAAAAATGCAAAGAAAGGGAAGAAAGGCGTCAAGGCTTGATCTGGTCTCCTCATTTCTGCTTTAGCTGGGCTACAATTGCTCTTGCACGAGGTGGGTTCTTGAGCACGGCGCTGGGGTAGTCAGGGAGGAACTTTTGCTTGCTTTTGCTCACGACGCCATGGACGCGATGACACGGTGATCCTCTCAAAACAAAGGGCGCATTGGTTTTTGGCAAATGTTTACCGGAATTCTTGGAAAGTCGAGACACGCCTCTGCTGACGGTGGGCTGGTGCATGAGTCTACGCGGGAATGTCGCACAATGAACGTGAGCTGAATATTTAGGTATCACGATGAACTCTGGTTATCCTCTGCCGGTAAACTTAGTGCATGTAACCGGGAAATGAACCAGCTTGTTGGTGGACGTGAGACTCGCTCGGTTACAATCTTTTCTGCATATCCGTGCAGAAAACAGTCCATCCTAGAAGAGTGAATACTCGATTGCTGATCGGGCGAGTCAATGTACCCCCGTATGCGCATCAACCATGCAAGTAATATCAGAGGTAATATTTTGAGCATCGGCTTTTTCCCAACGCCCAATGGCCGAACTGGGGGCCCCCTGGTCTTTCGGCATGTGGCAGAGTTGAGTAAAGCCACTAGAAAAACCCACGAACACACCAAGAAACTGGCACGGACATAAAGGGTGTAAAGAGCGCTGTGCCGCCGAAAGGGGCGACCTATCATTCGCTTGGAGATAGCGGGACCCGGATGCGAATCATTCTTGCCGGACCACCATCTCCTCACAACTCCTCGAGGGTGACGCGAGGAGTAGGAGCCGTGTCGGAGAGATGAGGGAGAAAACGAGGGAGGAGGCGCATTCGGCTTTGCGGACGTTTTCTGTGACTTGTCGGGGGAGGATGGAGCCACGGGTGGGAAACCCATGATAAGCGTTGGGAGAGTGAGGCAGCAGGTAGACGAAACCCTGGCTCAAATATCGTCATGAAGTCACCAATGGACCAGAGGGTCGGACTCGCTTATGGGACGCCCATGCGACGCCCATGTCCCCCAAGGGCCGAGCCATCATCTGACGGTCGAGGGTTGAGCGTGGATAATGCTCGGTACATCCCATTGTACGAGTACTCTGTGTTAAAAAGGGGGAAATCGAGGAAAAGAAAAGTAGTAACTGGGTGGAAGTGATTGGGAGAAAACTGAGTGACGATCAGGGATGTCATGGAGTGACGGTCATACGAACAAATCCAGGAAGCCAGCCCGTCGTGAAGCCAAAAGGTGCCCCGGGCACACTGGCACCCCGGCCGTACTGCTAAGTCGATGCTTAAATAGCGAGTAATAGGCAGCCCGAGGGTAAGATTGCGGGCGGGTTGCGCCTACGAGGCGTCAAGCAGCCAGCAAGAACTGCCGTTTGGGTGGCTCGCTGGGCCAGTCGCGGTCCTCGCAGGTCATTGCCAAGCCGCGGACTGACCAAAAAATTTCGTAGAAAGGAGAGAGCCTTGAACCGCCTCTTTCCCAACTGCGGTTTTCTCTTGCTCAAACTTTCATACCACCCCCTTCAACAAATTCCAGTTGCGCCTCACCCTTGCGTGAGGCTTCTCTGGTATCGTCAACGACATCCCTTGTCGTGTCTTCTTGTCCCTCTTGAGCAGGGTACACTTTTGCCGTCCGTCGCCGCGGTTTTCCTCGTCCTGAACAGGCCCGGAAATCTGCCTGCGTGGTGAATCTCCTCTCACAAGAAAAAAAAAGAGAATCACAAACACTTCTCCCTCTTCGCCATCCTCCACACAAGCACGAGAGCGGCTTCCGTTCACTCGAGACAGTCGCCGCAAAGTGGTTCATTCACCCTCAATTCTTCCTTCGCTACCCTACAATCACCTGCGGGCTCGGGAACTTTTTTTTTTTCCAACCTTCACTCAGAGCTACGTTTGTCATCCGCTGGGTTTCAGCCTTCCAGTCAACCTCACATATCCGAATCGCTGCCTGAAGTCTTTTCATCACCTCTGATGACATCGAATCCTCAGCAGTCCTCCTCTACTCGATCAAAACCTTCTTTCGCTGCTGCAGTAGGCCCACAACAACCCACAGCCTCCCATTTTGCGACTGGGTCGAATTTGGCTAATCAAGGCCGAACCTCGTTTCCCTCCGCCTCCAAACCTCCTTCTACACCAAATGCATCGGAGCCCACCAACATGTCTGCAGCAGTTGGAGGCGCTCCGCCCGCCCATGGGCATAGCGATTCTGTAAACGGAAGAAATCCCACCATTCCCGCCATCCCTTCTGTCAACGGAAGCGTCTCACTTCCTGACCATACGCGCAAACCGTCAATGACAGTTACACCAGCAGGCGCCACCGGCTTTGCGGCAAACGGCGGTGGTCCTGGTGGCACTCAGAACAAGACGGGAAATATTCAGTTTGGCTCGTTGGGAGTGGCCAACCCTGCTGGTTCCCCGGCGATGGGCACACCCCCTTCGTTGGCGCATCAAAACTCTGCAAATCTCAGTGTCAGCCAACTGAATCCTCGCGCAACGTCTCCTTCAAATTCTCCATCACCAATTCCTCAACCTGCTTCCGTCAGTGGTGGTCGCCCTCCTACCGGTTTTCAGGGTCAAGGAAATGGATATACATTTGGAACTCTCTCGGGTGATCAGAATGACCCAAGTGTAAGATCAAATCATGTTGTTTTCACCAGTTTCTGACCTTTTCCCGCAGGGTATGACTAGGCCGATATCTCAGCTACAATTTGGACCTCAACAAGAGCATATGAGACGAGGCTCTTCGCAATCGATCCACAGCGACGTTGGTGGCCCGGGTATCCCAGCTGGCCCAACCCGTGGAGGCTTTCCAGGCGGTCCAGGCCGTGGAAGAGGATTCAATCCTGGGTACCAGCAACAACCCATGCATTTCTCTCCCCAACAACAATTCCGACCTACCTCGAACGGACGCTCGTTCCAAACTGGATATCAAGGCCGAGGTCAACCACTACCTTATCAAGGATCTCCCGCGATGGGCACCCGCAGCCCTGCTCTTGTTAACGCCCAACCAGGAACGCCGAATATGGGAGGTCAAATACATATGGTGCAGCCCGGGATGCAGCCTCAACCCAATGGATATTATATGGGACCCCAACATGTAAAGAACCACCCACCATTTTCTTCTTCCCGTGATCCCGCCAGAGAACCCACAAGAGAGAGAGGCAAGCCTACGAGAGGTCGGAACCGTGGCGGTCGTGGAGCTGGTCGCGGTAAAGGCCCTGGTAGAGGTGGACACGAGGAGGGATCAACGTTCTACAGCAAAGATCCAGCCTCGGACTACTATCGCCCCGATCTCGCGCATCCATCTGTTCAAGTTGTCCCCGAACTTGGGCAGCCCCCTGTTCACGTTGTCACAAATGCTCCCAGTGTACTTCCTTACCCTGACTTATCCCCCGAGTCTGGCAATTTTGAACGTTTTTCAGAACACTTTCTGACTGCGAGAGCACAGGCGTTCCCCATGACACAGGCTGATCCTAGTATTCAGCAAATGTATTTGCAACAAATGTATGCCCCGGGTGCCATGCAGGCTCAATACAACCCCCAATACGGCATGCAGCCTCAATCTCCTCGCCCGCACTTCAACCAAGGCATGTATGCACCTAGCATGCAGCCTTCGTACAGCAATCAGGGCGGCCCGCCGCCTTCGATGTCGAGGCAGTCGTCCCAAATATCTGCTCCCGATCGACCCGGTTCCAGCATTGGCCAACAGCCGCCGACTCCAGGCCCTACTGGCCCCCCACATCCAGCCAATCGAGCCCCGAGTGTGTCTTCGCAGAAATCAAACTACACCATCCCCCCGAAGAAGAGTGCCGCCATCACAATCAAGAATACTGCAGGCGAGGTCGTCTCCTTCAACAAGTCCCCTGCGTCGCCTGCGAACCCGACTCCTGTCTCAGCTACAGTGCCCCCACAATCTGCGCCCACGCCTCCTAGTCGGACTGCCAGCGCCGCCGACAATGCTCACAGCCGAACAGAAAGCGTCAGCACAAAAACTGCGGAGGAGGTGAAGAAGCAAATGCAGGAAGCTGTTGCCAAGAAGATCGCCGAAGATGAAGCCAGGCTGAAACTGGAGAAGGAAATGGCCGAAAAGGCGGAGATGGAGAAAGAAGCCGCAGCGCTGGCCGAGCGGGAGGCCGCCGAGGCTCAAGCCAAGGCGGAGGCCATGGAGAAGGAGGCCAAAGAGGCTGCAGAGAAAGCTGAAGCTGCTAAGCAGGCTGCAGAGACAGAGGCTGCAGAGGCTCCGGCAGCGTCTGTCAATCCGCAGCAGGACGAGCTTGACTTGGATGCTCTTGCTGCTGAAATGGAGGCCGAAGAGGCTGCCAGGGAAGCAGAAGAACTGAGACGTGAAGAAGAATACAACAAGAGAAAGGCTGCTCAGCGCGAAGCCCAGCGGAAGAAGGAGGAAGAAGAGGCCGCGGCTTATGAGACCAACATGAAGGAGCTGGAGCGCAAGGCCGAAGAGGAAGAACTAGCCCGCCAAAAGGAAAAGGTCGACGGCGCATCAGGAGACGAAGCCAGCAAGAAACTCTTCGCTGAGCTCAAGCCCAATCCATTCGGCACCCCTGCGTCGGTTGAAAGCCCCGCCGGTCCTACGACGCCCGCTGAAAGCGGAACTGCTACACCTGTCTCGGACGTGTCAATGCCTCCTCCTGCAAAGGCCCCTGGTCGTCGTACCAAGGCTGCCGAGCTCACCCTCGACACTAAGAAGCCTGTCGAGCCTCCTGAGCCAAGTGCAACGTTGAAAGCCCTCCAGTCTGCCAAGAAGCTCGGTGATATCTCCAAGGTTGTTTATCCGTCAGATATCGCTTCGCCCAACCCTGCACTAAACGCCAATGCACCGGCTGACCGCGGTTTCAAATATAACAAAGAGTTCCTGCTCCAGTTCCAGAGCGTATTCAAAGAGAAGCCGACTCTTGACTGGGATGCTCGCATTCGGGATGCGTTGGGTGACGGAGACGCTTCGGCCCGACCGAGTGCATCAGCCAGGACTCCTTCTGGCATGGGTAACCGCAGTGCTTCGTCTCGCGGACCTCCTCCTATGAGCAACTTTGGAGCCATGGGCTCGTTTGGTGGCGGACCCAACAGACCAACTCTCCCGCCAGGTACAACTTCAGAGCAGCGATTCGCTGCATCGAACGCCTTGAGGAGTGGTGCCATGGCGGCGAATCCATTTGCACAGTTCGGACGTCCAGGAGGTCAGATGCAGCCGTCGATGGGCGGCCGTACGCCTTCCAACAACCCCCTTGGACCTATTCCTGGCTCTCCTCGCGTTGGTGGTGCAAGTCGTGGCGGCTCTCGTGCTGAGAGCAAGCGCGCCAAGCAGAATGCAAAGCAGATGCAAGAGGAAAACAAATCCATGCCCCTTACTGCCGGTATGGCCATCACAGCTCTCGAGACCTCTTCCACTGGTTGGAAACCCAGGAGCCTCGTTCAGCCCATCGTATCTGGCCCTGCTCCCGGTGGCGATGGCTTAATGGACCCTGAGACCGTGCAGCGCAAGACAAAGGCGCTTCTGAACAAGATGACACCCGAGAAGTTCGACAAACTCGCGGACCAGATCTTGGACATCGCGGCTCAATCCAAACACGAAAAGGACGGTCGAACTCTGCGCCAAGTGATCCAGCTCACCTTTGAAAAGGCCACCGACGAAGCTCATTGGGCGGGCATGTACGCCTCTTTCTGCCGACGCATGTTGGAAAGCATGAGCCCGGATATCAGAGACGAGGGGATCAAGGACAAGAATGGCAATGTCGTGACCGGTGGTAATCTGTTCCGGAAATACCTCCTCAACCGCTGCCAAGAAGAGTTTGAACGTGGCTGGAAGGTCAATCTGCCGCCCAGACCGGAGGGAGAATCTGAGGAGGCTGTCATGCTGTCCGACGAATATTATATCGCGGCAGCTGCCAAGCGTCGCGGTTTGGGTCTCGTCAAATTCATTGGTGAATTGTTCAAGTTGTCAATGTTGACTGAACGAATCATGCATGAGTGCGTCAAGAAGCTTGTCGATTACGAAGGAACCCCAGATGAGGCCGAAATTGAAAGCTTGACAAGCTTGCTGCGAACAGTTGGCAAACAGCTTGACAACCCCGAGAGCAAGGCACAAGGACGGATGGATCTCTACTTCGAGCGCATCAAGTCCATGATTGACCTACCGGAACTTCCCAGCCGCCTCAGATTTATGCTCATGGATGTTGTTGATCTACGGTCTAAGGGATGGGCCTCTAAGGAAGACAACAAGGGCCCGAAGACTATCACCGAGATTCGCGAAGAGGCTGAACGCCAGGCACGTGAGGATGAGCTCAGGAGACTCGCGAGCCAGACCGGTGGTCGTGGCGGGGGAGGCCGGATGCCGATGGGCCGTGGTGATGCGCGAAGCTTCAGCGGCTTTGGAGGACAAGTTCCGCCTCCTGACACGTCGAACCGTGTGGGTACCGATGACCTGAGAAAACTTGGTAACCGCAATGCTCGCCATCCCAGCCACACGTCTGGACCCGGTCCTTTGGGGCCGCCTAGCTTAATGGGCGGGCGTACCAACAGTGGGCGTCGTGGACTTGGGCCGGGTGGCCTTCTGGGGCGAGGAGATGACAGTGCGACAAGCAGCCGAACTGGAACGCCCCCTGCTCAGAAAGACAAGGAGAAGAAGGATGAGTCTAGCACAAATGCTTTCAGGTAAGCCCATATGACAGTCTGATGGAACCGTGCAAAAGGCTAACACTTCGTCAGTGCCCTTGCCGCTCTCGAGAACGACGGACCTGGGTCACCGCCATCTAATCCCGCATCACCTCCCGTGCAAAAGTCGCAGCCAAGCATCGAACGAGAACGATCGAGATCACCGGACAAAAACGCCGTGTGAAAGCCACATAATCCCGATCAAAACATGTGTACAACATAATACGATTCGATTACACTAATATTTGACCGACGGCCGCTTGTGGGGATGGATAGAAGAAAAGATGTGCATTGATACCCCGGCGAGAGCAAAGCCACCTGTTTAGCATTTACAGCGCAACGAAAAAGCGGACCGTTTGTTTTTCCCCTCGATTCTCGTCCATGCAAGATCACAGCGGATTTTGGCAACCATGGATTTGAGAATCGCACTTCGAGCCTTCGATTCGAGCACGCGGAAACGCGGGATAGAGAGTGTGTTTCTACTCAAAAGAATACATCATGCATAGGGTTGATTTGAGAATTCGGGGAAGGAAGGGGCTTCCATCTACTGGCTGGTTGGAATCATACTACGGCTTCGTGGAGTAATGGTGGAAAAGCGCAAATAGACTTGCCATGGAGAGCTGTTCGTCAGGAGAGCATGGCAGAGTTGAGAGGAGAAGGACGGGACACCAGCGCACCCTTTCGATCTCACCCATTCAATCATCAGCAAGCAGGTGTACTTTCTCGAGCTAGATGGGGTCTAGGTCGGGTTGTCGAGTCCAGACTGATGCGTCGGGTTGTTGTCATCGACGAAGGTTGGTTCAACGTCGAGCGGCTTCCTTGGTCGATAGGTGGGTTTGATGGATGGGTAGCCTTCTTGTACTGTACATTGACGAATATTCAAAACCTTTTCGTTCCAAACGCCATGGTCTGTTAATGTAATCATCACTGATACAGGTGGCGCGATCACCGGGCAAAGGCTGAACAAGACATCGAGAGTGGCGGCAGCAGTACTGTTAGCCTATATTATTGTACGGCACAAACACCAATACCGGGTCTAGCGACGAGGTCCGGCTGCATTATAATGAGCCAACTCAATTCAATCCAAAGACTTCATCCTCTTCCTCCTGGGCCCTTTCAGTACTTCTCCCCATTTCCGAGCCTCCTGTCCCTCCTTCTGTCTCTGTATCTCTTCCTTCTCATACTCCTTCTCAATAATTTGCCTGTGCCTTTCCTCCCTGTCCCTTCTTTTGGTCTCGCGCGTCTTCCTCTTCTTCGCCCGCTCGATGTCGTCGGCCCTCTCGTGCTGCGCTTCGTCGCGCAATTTCCTCTGTTCTTCCCGCGTCAGTACCCAGGGTCTGGAGAGCGTCGAGGAGAGGAATTGTGTGCGCGAAGCGATCAGTGCCATTTCGTGGGTTGTAGTTGGGAGGATATCCAGACGCAGGAGGGAAAGTTGCCGCGTCGAGCGGAACGTTGTGAGGGTGCCTTTGGCTTGCACGGTGGTGCCGATATCGAGGAGGGAGAGGGTGTCTTGAAGCTGTTCTTCTTCCGTGGCTTCTCCATCTTCTCCAGACGCGGGATGGAACTTTGGCCTTGACTTTGATCTTGGGTCCAACTGTTGTTTCACAGTTTCTGTGGCCCGCCTAGTCCCTGGGTTGCTTGGTCTGGCGCCCAGCTCGCCCTGCTTCTCCTCTGGCTTGGGACATGTTACGTCAATGACTGCGCCACTGCTATCGTCGATTTTGAAAAGCCAGAACTTCTCGAAGTAGTCCTCCAAAGTAACCACCACACCAATCACCTGAACGAATTGGACGGGATGGTTGAGGTAGAAGAGCAGTAGAGGGGGGTCACGCTGGCGTGCGTGGGGGTCGTTACCTTCCACGGCTATGGAGGTAGTGACCTGAGAATATTTCTCATGACGTTGCAACACGGTGTGAATGTCCAGACAGGTCAGTTTCACCCATTTCAACCAGGTCGCAGAGGCCTTGAAGGCATAGGCTGGATAGAAGGTCAGATGGGTGCCCTCATCCGCCGCCTTCGTGGTCAGGCTTTCGGCAGTGGGCCCGTCAACATGATGCTTCTGGAGTTCACGTCGAGGACGAGGATGAGGATGAGGTCTCTGCATTCATCCGCGAGGCATCACATAGTGCATAGCCCGGGGTTGTTGCGGAGGGATCTTGGAGGTTGCGGCAATTGCGAATATCGGCGGCGACGCGCCGATATGCGCAGCGATGGGCGGTGAGTGGCAGAGCGCGTGCGTGGAGATAAGGCGCGGGCAGGCAGAAAAGGGCGGGACAGAGGCTGTGGATTGGAGAAGAGGCGGTGGGCGGCGGTCAGTAGGGTTGGAAAGGCAGATTAGGGGGGCCACTGGGGGGGAGGGAGTGGTGGTTGAGGTTGCTCGGGTGGTGGCAGAGCCTAACTGCAGAGCCGGAGTCTGTCCGGCTCATCGGCTCAAGCGGCAACTCTGAGGGCAACCCCCAATCACCCCCACTGAGCCCCCAACTGCCCTTGGGCAGGTACTGAAGTTGTAATGACGCCGTGCAAAGAATTCTGGATATGAACAATTGTTCATTTTCAAGGTTGAGAGGGGAGAATGACAGAAACGAGGTACTTCCAAACCCCCTCCCTCTTCCAGGCCATCTTCCTCTCCCGAGAAACACCATACACCTGCATCGTCATGAATCTATCATCGCCTCAACGACGGAGCCCAAAATTTTCTGCAGGCCCGCTAGGGCTGCGGTATGGATTGCCGGCCCACTGAATGGCCAGAGAACCAATACATCGCCAGGCATTTGACGGTCTCCGTGACCGGCTATTGTCCCTGCGATCTCCTCATGCCTGTCGACGCTTTTATCTGCCACTATGATGCTATGGCTGGTTCTTAGACCTCGATTTTCCCTCCTCTGTTCCTCTCCTCCTCTCCTTCTCCGGCGTTGTTGGACTTTTGGTCTACGAAGCAGAAGAGATCCATAGCCAAGAGGCTTGCCCATGATCACTCAACAGGCGATAGGCACGCCTAAAATTGCGTTCAAGATCCCCGATCAACCCCACCACGCCCACGAGACCCAAGCTTTTGCCAGAGACTCTCTCTTTCTCACCGAGTGCCCCGGCTGGACTTGATGTCGGGAGGTTCCTTTGTCGCGGATCAACACGCCCCAAAGATCCCAGCATCATCAAGTGGCAACCGCTCTGCGTTTGACTCTACCAAACACCAAGAAACACAAACTGTTCGCTCGTGCGCGGAGACGCGGCACTCACCGTCGCAAAGCGAGGCATCTCACACCAACGGACATGGCGCCCTCGAGAGGATACCCACTGCTCAAGAAGAGCTGCCAAACACTGTCCAGGCCGAACGAACAGTAACCGATGCGGGTGGGGGACCAATCCATTCCGTCTTCACAAAGAACCAAAAGCTATTCATAGTGTTTATGGCGTCGTGGGCTGGGTTCTTTTCCCCTGTATCCGGCCAGATCTATTTCCCTGCTCTGAATGCATTAGCGAAAGATTTGCATGTCTCGAATTCATTGATTAACTTGACTCTGACCTCTTATATGGTACGCTATCTTCTCCCGTGTGGCCATGTCGTTCACGGAAGTTGACTTGACTCTCGTACAGATATTCCAAGGCCTTGCCCCTACGTTTGTTGGAGATCTTGCTGATGCTGCTGGTCGGCGTCCCGCATATGCCGGTACGCACATTGGTCTAGTTTCAATACTTCTAACTAATTCGCTCAATAGTTTGTTTTACTATCTACATCCTCGCCAACATTGGTCTTGCACTTCAAAACAGTTATGCCGCGCTATTTGTCTTGCGCTGCTTCCAGAGCTCAGGTTCTAGCGCCACTATAGCCATGTGTAGCGCCGTTGTGTCCGACGTTGCCACCGCGGCAGAAAGAGGTAGATACATGGGCTTTACCCTTGCAGGTTCTCTGCTCGGTCCAGCGATAGGCCCCGTCGTTGGAGGTGTCCTCGCCCAATTCTTGGGGTGGAGGGCTATCTTCTGGTTCCTGATGATCATGGGCTCTGCCTTCATGGTTGTCTTTGCGATTTTCTTTCCGGAGACAGGTAGGCCGGATCAAAGAAGAACGCTGCTCAATCGGTCGTTGACAACTTAATAGCTCGTACTCAGGTCGGCAACGGTTCTATCCCACCAAAAGGCTGGAACATGTCTCTGATGAACTACCTGGCAATACGCAAAGCTCGAAAGTTGCGTCCTCGGGACCAGATGTCCTCGAAAGACGATCAATCCCAAAGCGAGACCCGGCAGAAAAAGAAGTTTCGTTTCCCCAATCCCCTGCGGTCTCTTCATATCATCATGGACAAGGAGAACGCACTGCTTCTTTTCTATAACGCTTTCCTGTTTGCCGCCTTTTACGATGTCACAGCCAGCTTGCCTTCTCAACTGCAAGCGATTTTTGGTTTCAACGAACTACAGATCGGCTTGTGCTTTATTCCTTTCGGCTGTGGGTCCCTATGTGCTGCCCTGACGAATGGACAACTCTTGGACCGTAACTTTGCCCGTTGGTGCAAGAAGCTGGGAGTGAAGATCCGCAAGGGACGAAATCAGGACCTGAGCAATTTCCCGATTGAAAAGGTGAGGCTGCAAATCGCCATTCCCGCCGTGTATCTTACGTCAATGTTGGTTCTTGCATTCGGCTGGATCCTGGATGTCAATGGCCCTCTCCCGGCATTACTGGTGGTCCTCTTCTTCACGAGCTTCAGCATGTCTATTGCATTCAACGTCACGAGCACGCTCTTGGTTGATTTCTATCCTAGAGCCCCTGCGACGGCAACGGCAGCCAACAACCTTGTCAGATGCGGCCTAGGTGCAGGCGCCACGGCCGCCGTGATCCCCATGATCGATGCGTGGGGACGAGGCTGGACATTTACATTTTTGACTTTGGGGCTAGTTACGACTTCGCCGATGCTTTGGGCCGTGTATTTCTGGGGGATGAAGTGGAGAACAGAGCGAAGAGAACGGGAGACGAGGGCGAGGCAGCTGAAAGAGGCAAAGCTGAACCGGGAGAGCTCTGGCGAGAATGGGTGTGTGACGGAAGACAATGAAAAGCCACCTGTCGAAGGGGGAGCTGTCGAGATGACGGCCATGGCCGAGAAGGACCAAGAAAAGGGGTTCGGCTATCACGAGTCATCAAAGGACATGTCCAAAGTACGAGGTGAGGATAGGGACCAGGATCTTGACGATGTTACGAGCCGGGAAGAACAGGATATCACGCTGTCAAGATCGTTTTCATATGAGTCTGGATATTAATTGAGTAATCAACAAGTTTGTGAAGAAACAAAGAGTCCCTCCATCGAAATCCAATCCTATCCTCACTTACGCACTCCTGCTTTTCGGTCTCAGTGAGCCTCCTTGACGCACTTCCTAGCAACTTTCAGTGACCAGGGACATATGAATTAGATCCAATCAAGTTAAAGCTACCACCAAGAGCAAGTCACATACCGGAATGCCTAGCCTACGACCCTCAGCCTCACCAGCAGTCAGCTGCCAGCTCAAAGCCGCGCGTTAGCCTGATCGGCTCAACAGGGGGAACATGAAACGGGCGTTGATGCATGGGTCGCAGCGAGAGTTCGCCTCGTGCTCTGCCTCACACGCAGCCCCGTTGTGTCGGAGCATGCCATATGCTCGCTATCATCACCTTGCTATTCGAGAACTCTTTCTCGTTGCGGGCGTATGCCTACACCGTCGAGACTCGGCAATCCCGCTTGATTCAACCCAATCAATTATGACAGTAAATCACTGGGACGAAGTCGTCTTGAACGCAGGGTTCAAGCCACTGAACGACACCTGAATGTCGCAGGTGCTTTGCTGCGATCAGAACGCCAGCAATTGTATTCGCCAGGTATCCGCGCAAAAAGAGTGATTGCTGTTTCTGACAGTATCTGTCCGATCCCGGTCTCTACTTGCGCCCTGGAAGATGGGGTATCGATTGGTGGACGTACGACAGGCGAGGTCACACCCCATCGTTCCCTTCTCCAGATTCCGAGCACTGACACCCGACATAGCAAAGAGCATGCCTCCGCAGTCTTGCAAAGCGGGAGAGGTTTCCTCCAAAGCGTCAATGACTATGCGAAGGTCGTCTTGCGAAGTCTAGGCCTTGCCATTGCTGGATCGCTGGGAGGTTGGCGGGGATCTGAAGGACCGAAGATTGCTCTTCGCAAAAGTCGTGGCATTGCGGCGGCGAGAGCCAGTGTTCACCTCATCCCCCTGGTCGCTTGCGGCGTCGTCCTCGGATACAATTTTCGAATCGTCTTCGTCGAATACAACGCCGCCTACTCAGCTCTCCAGTTTGTCGCTAAGCTCCACGAGATGTTGATGCAGGCGTCCATTGCGGCAATAGTCCTTGCTTATATTCGGCAAGGACTCATTGGCAACACAGCCTTGCCTTTTGGCGCTCTTCTCGCCGCAAGTCAAGTACAGAACACCTCGACGATTTTTTCGTTGGAATTTTGGGGGGCCGTTACCTCTCCATCTCTCAGCCTCCGACGAAAATTCGAACTCTTCACTTTTGTGCTGGTCAGCCTGGTCATGGCCGCTTCGGTAGGGCCGTCGAGTGCTATCTTGATGCTACCAAGGGGAATGCAGCCTCGAGTTGGGTCGCTCGACGTCTATCTCAATGAGACGGTTTTTTTCCCGTCTCAGTTGACAGCGGCTTCAGCTTCGGGCATAGCGTAAGCGTGAAGTCAACTCAGGCACGAATGCGTACTAACAGTTTCACAGTAACCTGGCAGCAGCTGAACAGATTTTCTACCGAGACCTCATCGAAACGCCTTGGATTACCGCCGAGTGGTTCGACGACATCCAGGTAAACATTACGTATACGGTGAGCACGGGGCAAGATGTTGGAGGGTACACTGTCTGCAGTCCCAGTCTCGCTGCGGTGTATATCGACAATACTTCCGAGGACAATCCGGCGTGGAAACACTTGGACAAGCGACTCTCGAACGCGACAGGCTGGTTTTCCAGCTATCTCAGCAAACAGGCTTGTGTCAAAGTCTTCTGCGGCGTCCAAGAGGTGAGTGGGGACCACAACTCCTCCTACCTGCAATTAAGGGGAAGCCAAAGCTCTTCAGACTCGCAACAGGCTTCTGGGCTGCCCGCGAACTTGAATCTGACAGAGGGGGCGTTTCTGGATTCATATAATGGGACAACAGATCCACACCTGATGTGGCTGCGAACCCCTGAATCCTTACGCAGCAACTATTCGATTATCGCCGTCTATGCACCAAGCCGGCCCGAAGACAGTGGCACCACGGCCATAACGTGTGGTGCTCAGGCGGCCTGGCTGTCGTCCCACGTCAAGACATCCGACTATTACTCCGGAACGACTTACATCAATGGCGACGTTCCATCGGAGGTTCGGGAAGGGGATCCTATCACGAATACCGGCGGGGACCCCTATAGCGAGAGTTGGTCGGAGCCCACTGTCCCCATCAGCGTCGAATGGGCAAACATATCGACATCACCTCAGACCACCAACGACGGTCCCGATCTAACATCGATTGTCACCACCCAAGACTTGTTTTATCGGCTCGACATGCTCTCATCCTCTGACGACAGCGGATGCGGTTCTCCGTCTCCGGATGACTGTGCATCTCCGTACGTGGACACTTTGCCATACTTGACCGCTTTGCTGGGTACCATGATCGCCACTGCAATGTCGGTCCACAACGCCTCGGCTCCCCTGAGCCTTGGTGGTTCTGAACAGACAGCCGGCTTCACGCGAGTTCGGCTAGACTTCTTCGGCATCGGCACTGGTTATTGCATCGACACCTTCCCCGACGTGATTGCGGCATGCGTCCTCGGCCTTTATTGCGCGTGTGCTCTTGGCCATCTGGTTTGGTCGATCTGTTCGGGCCTCAGTTCCAACAGCTGGGATTCCGTCGCGGAACTGGTGGCTTTGGCGCTCAATTCGAAACGGCCGGCCCAACTCAGGTACACGAGCGCGGGGGTCGAGACGATCGGCGTCTTTCGAGAGCCCATCCGAATCCTGGAAAATGAAACCCAGTCTTTGGAGATGGTGTTCGAGAATGATGCGGATCTGAAAGGAACTCATAAGAGACTCAAGAGAAACCAGGAGTACTGACCTTCTCGGCGTATGTATAATACTACAGCGCAGAAGAAGGGACGAAAGGAGATCTAATTATCTTGGCGATTCAGCTGCTGGGGGGGGATGTTGACCATGAGCGACGAATGTCGTGACGGGAAACGTGAGGCGCGGCCAGAAGCGTGGCGCGGCCTGAGGTGAGTCGCACATGAGCTCGGGCAAGGCTTTCCGATCTTTTCGTTGTTCGGCCTGACATTCGACTGTAATATCGATTACTTCCTTGCCTCTTTTGGTCTTTTCAACGCCCCAAAAAAGCCTCAGAAGGTGCCTACTTGGCCGAAAAGCGGGCGTATCTCACACATGATATTATCAAGGCCTCACCACAAATGCGCATCTCCCATTAACGGATCCTCTTCAATCTTTTAGCGTTGTTATTGGTCATGGGCTCGACCGTCGTCCACTCTCTGAGAAATTGATCCGCAATGGCCGCAGCAGGGTCGTCGCTGAAGGGCATGTCATCCTCGAGGCGTCCGATCTAAAAAAAAAATCAAGTCAGTCGATCTTCTTCTGATTTGGTACGGAAGGTAGATACAAATTACCTTTAGTCGTAGCATTGCAGGCGGCCGCGGTGCTTCGACCGTGGCCCGGGAAAAGGCAAGCGAGTTGAGCCGTTTGGCGGCTCCTTGTAGTTCGTCCGAATTGGCGTCGATTTCTTCAGCCTGGGTTTCGTCGCGCTCACGGTCCAGCTCGAACTGGTACCGGACCCGTCCAGCGGCGAGGTTTTGTCCCGCGGGAACCGTTCCATCTTCGCCGCCCTTGACTATGCGAAGACGCGGCGCGCGGGACTGGGCTGACGAGGGAGCGTTGTTCGCATACGCAGCGAACATGCTTTTGTCCAGCCTCTTGGGCTCTCTTGGCTTGTTCACGGCAGCGTCGGTCTGAGGGCGTTGGCGGTGGAGGTTTTCGTCAGTGTTGTGCAGTTGCTCAGCTTGAGCGCCGAGTCGAGCGAGGGTGTTGCGCCCAGTCTCTTCAGCTTGCATTGCTAGTCTCCGAGCATTTCGCGTTGAAGGATCGTCTTGCTGTTTCCCGAATTTTGTTTCGTCTCTGAGTGCCGTGATGTCCTCCACGTCTTCCGCCTCGGGCTCAAGTGTTCGGTATCCACGAATCCCATCACCTCGGACTCGGCTAGCATTGTTACCTGGGCCATACCTTTCCTCTCTGGTATCGGTCTCCCGGCGCTCAGGGCCCCAACGATCCCGAGGATATTTCTGGACGTCGTCCGTCTTGCGCTTCAGCGGTGTCGCTGTGGCATTGGAGTCAAGCATCGGCTCGGTCGCACCCAAATCGCCCATTGATAGCATGGCGCTATCAGAATGGTAGGCATACCTGTTGGAGGTGTCTAGGAAGGCGTCGAAGTCAAAGTTCTCCAGCACATCATCGTTCTCCAGAGAGCTGAAGTCGAGATTGAAGTTCTGCTCCGTGGGATAACCCGCGAACTCAGGCTGTGAGGGATACGCTTCACCAACCCCCGGAGGATTGGGTGAGGCGACGGTCGCTGAAGTCAGAGGTTCACGTCTCGGCCTGCTGATCTCACGTCTCGAATTCCTCGTGTAGCTCCTCCCTCGCGATTCCGTTTTGGGAGGATTTTGTGCCGCAGGTTTCGTCGCCATCTCATACCAGTGACGTGCGAGGACAGGGCTCGGAGACAAGATCGTTTGCAGCATCTCATCGCCGTACGAGGCTCTCAGGGCCTGCCATTCACGCCAGTGCAGTTCCAGGACACCGTCGTGGAGCCGGTATCGCAGACCGTGGTCCAGCGCATACTTGCTAGAGTTGACCTCTTCGAGGAGACTCTCGATCAGGAGACGGTAGTGGTCGAGGTGTAGAGGATGACGGGCGTCCTCCGAAGTTTCATGACGAACAGATTGGTCAGCAGCATTGGTGACTCTCGCACGCACAGGTACAGCCGGGCTCCAAGGTGGCGCAGGTGGCGCAGACTTGTCGGCACTGGGGAAGGAAGAGATCTGGACAGCTGACATGGTGGCACCCAAGCTTGTCATTGTCCCTGCGGCGTCCATCGCTGTTCTCGGGGCTTGAACACGCGACTCTGCAAGCGAATGAAAAGGTGATGGCGTCCCGGTATCTGATGTGGTTTGGGCTCTAGGACCAGGCGCCTCGATTCTTTTCTGCAACTCTTCGATTCGTTTCTCGGAGTCGCTCTTCTGCTCGGCCAAACTTGCCACAAGCTCTTGCTGTTCCTTCAGGACCGCTGCTCCCTGCCGGCTTCGCTGCTGTTCGGCGTAGATGAGCACGTTGAGCATGAGGGCCAGCGAGCTCTTCAGCCGCTCCAGATTGGTCCTCAGGAGGTCGACGCGGGGCCCGAGATACGACCATTTGAGCTTCTGCTTGAATCCCAGAATCACCTTGCTCCCCTCTTCGCCCGTGATGCCCTGGTCGATCTCCCGGAACAGAGTCTGGCATTCGTCGACGAGCTTGGACGCGGCGACGACCAGTCCGTGCGTGCCGAGTCGGCTGGCCGGGGTGGTCTCTTCGTCCTTCCGCACTTCCTCGCCCAGCTGCTTCAGGATGGCCCCCGTCGCGGCAATGTCTTGCGAGACCAGTTCAATGGCCCTGCCGGCATCGTGCACCCTTTTGGAGAAGGCGTAGAGCTTGTAGCTTGACTTCCATCCCAAGTCGGCGATCTGGAGAATGCTGGCGGCGAGGCCAATGAGCTCGATGCCGGACATCGGTCCTCGCGGCCCAATCTATTCAACAGATTCGTTGGTGGCAGATGGGACGGAAGTTGGAGGTTTGAATTTTCAGGCCCGAGGCGGATTGGGTCGAGAGCCTTGCTGGTATTATTACACAATTGCGCCCCGATTCGCCTACATATTCGGTTGGCGACGCATATCAGTCACCACCACCTTATTGTGCAACGGGCAGGTTTCAGGGAAATCTCCTGGCGCCCGAATAAAAGTGTTGCCGCCATCAAGCAAGCGAATGCGGGGATCATCTGACGTTGCACAAATTGATAAGGCGTAGTCGTAGTCGACGAGGCTGAATTTAGTGCCTCAGGTGTGGTGCGCCAGTGACCCACCGGTGCAATCCTTTGTCTAGGCTAAAATTGCAGTGCACTGTCATATCATTAATAATTGGCCTCTTCCCTCTCCATCTTCTCGTCAAGACTAAAAGTGCAGTGCAAGTTCAGCCCTATCTCTGCGGACATCTGGAAACCGCGCCAACTGATTTCTCGGAGACACTAAAAGTGCAGTGCAGCGACAAACCCCTATTATCACGACAAGCCCCTAACACGCCGCAACACAAATATGACTCGATATCTACGCCATCCTCCGCGCTGATGGGTATCCGGTATGCTGCCCCAGTTTTCATCCCTGGCATTCAGGAGAACAACACACGTTCCTCTCCTTGAAGCGACTAAAATTGCAGTGTTGAGCGCGTACCGTGATAGATCCTAGTCAAGAGCTGTCTGAATGGTGGTGGTGGTGGTGGGAGCCTGCATCTGTCTGCCCTTCCACACTAAAAATGCAGTGAAATTTGACAGATTACGTGGTCAGAGGTCTGGGGCTGTCCATACAGGTATGACCCAGCAGAAATCGCAGAGTCTTTTCCGCCAGAGATGATCTTGGGAAACTAACTGGCATGTACAAAGCTGACAATTAGCCGATTACCTGAGATTCCGAGCAACAAGAGGCGGCGAGGATCAACCCCTTTCAGACCACAGCCTCGCGTCGTGCACAAGGTAAAGTACTGTACCTAGATAGGTACGTATATCGTCGTCTGTCAAGCCTTCCCCGAGATCAGCAGCTCTGTCCTAGGAAGTGCCAAGTCAGTCCACCCCGTCCCTTAGGTACTTATCGCACGCTGGCCGTATGCTTCCTCGTGCTCTATCTTTGAACGGCCGACTTGACTACCAAACTACCAGTCTCGGTCAAAATGGTTTCCCTCTCCACGTGAACTTGACTATGACTCCGGATTGTCGCCAAAACCAGGCGGCGTCCGTTGTCCACTCAGGGTCCGAAGCCGCCCATCTGATGTCGAGATACCTCAACACCTGAGGGACGAATTTCCCCATCTCCAGGATCGAGATATTCTTGCCAATGCAAGTCCGAGCGCCGTAGCCAAACTGATATCGGTCAGTTCACATCCCCTCCCACACCACACACCACGAGTTTCAACTTACAGCGAGGAAACTACGGTCCATGGCCTTCAATTGCTCTGGCGATGCCTCCAGCCAACGCTCCGGTCGGAACTGGTCTGCGTCGGCGCCAAAGACGTCCTTGTCCATGTGGATCACCGCGGCATTGACGCTGACATTGGTGCCGCCGGGAAGTGTTGCTCCACATATAGAAGCCCCTGCCGGCGGAACGTATCTCTCCAGAGGAAACGCCACGCCAGGATGGATCCGCAGGGCTTCCTTCATCACCGCTTGTCTAGGAGCATAATGTTAGAGAGGAATACGTGCGCTCGGGAGTAGATGACAGCACCGCTGACTTACAGATATGGAAGTTTCAGACACTCGTCGTACGTAATGAATGGAGATAGTTGATTGTTCTTCTCTGCCTCGTCAATCTCGGCGACGAGTTTGTCGTAAGTGGACGGGTTTTTCATGAGATAGTAGAAGATGGCTCGGAGAGAAATCGCCGTGGTGTCCGATCCAGCCAAGCTGATTCAAGGGGTTTAGTCCTCCAGACCTCTCGTTCGTCCGGGGTGGGCTTACATGTTGTTTGCCAGGTGATTCACCATGTCACGATGAGGGATCTGGCCGTCTTTGGCCTCTTTAGCCCTCAGTTGCGCCAGGAAGTCGGTCCTCCCGCTCTCTTTGTCTTGTTCATCGTATCTCTTGATCTCATCCTCTGTGATCTGCTTCGTATCTCAGCACGCCTTGGACCCCGTTGTACAGAGGGCGATGGAAAGAAGAACGTACCTTTAAGAACCGAGCCAGGGGATCTGGAGGGGCCAGGTGAAGCCTGTCCAAGATTCGCAACAGGGTCTTATTCCCGACGAGGTAGCGATGGAGTCCCGGAAACTGCCCTATAAACTTCGCATACAAGAAGGCAAAGTCGAGGTCCCCAATCATATGGTCCACGTCGCGACGCTGCTCCATAAACCCGAACCGGCGTTGAAATGTGATGGAAGCGATCACGTCGAAAGCATACCATTGTAGCCAGGCTCCCAAGTCAATGCTCTGGCCCTGCAGCTCGCGCATCGTGTCGATGAAGATCCTGGTACATTCGTCGGCGTAAATCTCGTAATTCTTCATGTTGGTCATGGAGAAAAGCTGAGCAACAGGTCGCTTGAGACTCTTGTGGTAGGTCGAGTCGCGGGTGGTAAATATACTGTCCATCGGCTCGTCTTTATAGTAAGGGGTGAAGACGACGTAGAAGTTGGTCTATTGGAGTCAGACAATGGACAACATGGGGCATGAGGTTCTTGCTTCACCTTCACATAAGTGCTCCCAATTCCATATATTTCCGGAATAGCCGCGGGATCCGCGACTGAAACGTGGTTTGGCCCAGTCCTGACGACGGGGCCATATCTGCGGTGCAGTTTCCGATATTCCAGGGGTGCCTTGCCAGCATAGACCAGGGATAGACGGTACAGGCCAGAGAAGCGGGCAAGGAGAGGTCCCGGCAGGTCTCGTAGTCCTGCTCGGAATGCAGTTCGGAGACAAGCAATCGAGAAAACAGTGATCAACGCAACGCCCAGATAGATTACGAGGCCGAATTCCATGGTTGTTGCAGTGAAGTCTGCGGAAATTTGGGATACCTGCGGTGTTTCTGAGCGGATCGATACCTATCGCGAGCCTCCTTTTTTCGTCGAAAGCTCCTGTTCTTAACAAACATATAGATAGTCAAACCCCCAGATTCCCAAGTCCCTAGAGGAACCCCACGGTGGAGGGTGCTCCATATGGTCACCTCGAACTCGCCCCAGGACATGAAGGCTCGTGGGACGTTCGTCCTGTTCGAAACCAGCGTTCCTGGGGATCGGACCGCGGGATACATCGAGCAGCCTCGTTTCTGCGTGCAAAAGGGCGAGGTAGCTGCACGGCAACCATTGGTTCGGACAAACTTCTCGGCTGATTTCGGTGAGAGCAACAGTGATGGAGGTTCCTTGGTCTTGATTCTCATTCAACGGGTCAAGGCCTGCTCATAGCCGACTGTTGACGACAAGTGCGTTCGGCAGGGGCCAGTATTTGGATTACTGGTTGAGATCTACCTGTGGCCTTGACCATCCACCTAGAATACAGATGACTGGTGAATATGAGTCGACGAACTCCTGTCGACCATAATATCCATTAGTCGGCACTTTGCTACGTCCTCGCTATAGATGTAAAGAGTCCCAAAAGTCGCAATGATGGCGACTACCCCATCCACTGAACATCGAAGGGGTTGGCGTTCGAAGTAACATGATATTATCGTCTTTAGCAGTGTAAGATGTCCAAACCGGTGCTACGCCTTCAGCGCCTTCCGCACTCGGTCTTCCGTGTCGAGCAAAGGTCGTCCAGTAGCGCACCATATGTCTAGAGAGTTCCTGCTGTGCGCTGTTCAGTGCACGTGGAATTCCACTGCCTCCACAAAAGAGAGGGAATAGATACTGTAGCTCCTGGGTATGACCAGACTCGTATGGAAATGATGACTGTGGCCAGGACACTGGTGAGTCAGGCACATCGAACTCATAGGCGTATACCTGGTCTGAAAACCGTCCAACAACCCTAGCAGCCCTTCGGCCGCACGTGGAAATGATGCTGGCATCTCCCACGGCAGTGGCAATCGCTTGACCTGGGCTCGCTCGTGGATCAAGCGGATATCGCCGAAGAACATCCTCCATCGCGTCTGGCGATATCTTGGTCGAGAGAATTCGAAATTGGGCAGCAGCCTCCAGTGTCATTGCGAGGACTTGGGGGTACATCGCCGCGGAGATGACGCTGCCCGTCGATATTTCCATCATGCCTTGAAACCAAGTGAACTCATCTCGATTGACGCCAATGAGTAAGGGTACACGACTGAAGTCGCCGTTGTTGAACTTGTCTCGGAGTGAACTGGGAATGACAACACCGTCCTCCATGAGCCCGACGGTAAATTGGCCAACGCCGAAGCCACCTTCAGGTACGGCATTGGCTGCAAGGATTGATTCTGGTGTGAGGAGCCTCAGGTTTGTCGGGGTCTGTTCGCCACAGCCTGCTGCCGCAGCGAGCGCGATTCCCCTCTTCTCTAGCGAATGCACTGTTGGATAAGATACCGTTGGGGGCGATCCTCCACTTTGAACAATTGCCTTATGGAACAGGCCCATTGACTGGGGTGCCGCAAGGTGAACCATGACGCTGATCCCGCCGGCAGACTCGCCCATGATGGTAACATTGCGGGCGTCACCACCGAATGCTTCGATATTGTTCTGGACCCAAGCAAGGGCGAGCTGTTGGTCCATGATGCCATAGTTTCCCACGGGATGGTCTTCGGCATTGATCGCAGGGTGGGAAAAGAACCCAAAAATGCCGAGTCGGTAGTTCAGTGACACGAAGACAATCCGACCTTGTTCAACGAGGCTCGCTGGGTCGTAGTCGTTGCCGCCGCCGCAAAAGAATCCACCACCAGGTATTAATACCATGACAGGTGCTTTTTCTCCACGTTCATGTTCGAGTGGGATTGGCGTGAACACGTTGAGGTAAAGGCAGTCCTCGTTTGAGCTGCTGACGCCGAACCCAGGGAAGCATGATGTATCCTGGGCGCAGACGCCGCCGAATTCGACCACATCGCGAGGCTCTTGCCATCGAGGGGGCGGGACGGGTGGGCGCCATCGTCGGTCGCCAATTGGCGGAGCCGCGTATGGCATTCCTAGGAACCTCCTCATGCCG